AATTTTATAAATATAAATTATTTATGACAATTTTCATTTCATAATATCATCTGCAAATTTAAATATTCCAGAGAATTTCTAGAATTAATAATGACAAAGAATCTGCATAATATATATCGCTTACACCGAAGATCTTCTTCTCCTTAATTAAATAATCATGCATTTAAAAATCTAAATATTTTTTGAGAATCATTACAAGAGACTATAGAAATTCATATAAAGATTTATGAGTGATGACTTCTACCCCCATAAGATATGACAGAGATGTATGCTCTTCCCATTCGGGAGCCACGAACAAATCTCAATGAAATCAAAGGCCCCATGCACTCCCACAAGAAAAAACCCGCCCCCACCCCGAATTACGAGAATGCACGGAGCCTGAACAACAACCGCACCAAAACGGCTTGGAGATTGCGAAGGAAGATTCTCGTCGAGCTTGGCGCGTATGAAGGCTCTACTTAAAGCTTTTGACCCAGCCGTGAAGAAGTGTAAACACCTGCACAATGCCAGCAAGGAGCCAGAAAATATTACAAGTCGCAATGATGTGAGGCTCTGCTGCTGTATGTCAAGATCGCGATTCAATTACAGAAGCGTGCGAATCCCAGTACAACTACGCAATATACCTGTCCACATCCACATTGCGCGTGCCATCGCGTGCCTCTCGTATTTCTCGTTGAACTTGGAGCATCAATCAGCTGAATGCATAGATTGAGTAGGCAATGTGGTGATATGGTGATTGCTAGGCTCGGGGCGGAAAGCTATTGAGCAGCTCTGCTGCCCAGCGCTTGCCAAGCTCTCAGCAGAACAGCATCTCAGGAGCTGAGTGCCAGCAGTTTAGAGCCTGCTCAGGGTCTACTTTGCTCAGCCTCGAGAGTTCTTGCGCCGTGCTGGCTTTCCAGTTCCCTGCGCCTGCTGGACAGAAGTACTTCGGGTACCGACTGGTCCTGAGCACTTTGAAAAGAACCGCGCCAGCCAGCAAACACCTCCAAGACATCCACAACGATTAGGGTCGTTGCCCACTTCTCTCTGTAAGCCACCTCAAAAATCAAGACTTTGCCCTCTAATTGCTTTACTCGATTCAAGCGCGTTGAGCAGAAGGAATCTTTGCAGCTTGATCTACGCTATGGCTCCTGCAATTAATCCATCCTCTCCGCGAGTCAAAGTACATGTTCCCGACAAAGTCACCTGAACTGTATTGAACTGTACTAGTTTCAATGTCCGAGAAGCATGCCTGCTCAAGCTCATGGTCATCAGACGCATCAGACTCAGCATCATGCTTTGGGGTGTACGATCGGAAAATTGAACCTGATCAAGTTGGCCACGCATGGTCAAGCACCAGTGTGAAGCTTAGTTTCAGGTAGCTCATCGGCGACGAGGTTTAACGCAGGTGCTCCTGGCATTTAAGGTTCCCACGCCAGGGTCTCTTGGAAGCGGAACTGGATTTTCTTCCCGCCATCGAGCACGTCGACGTCACCGACAAGTTGGACATTGGACTCCGAACCCACAAACAGTGCTTTCGTGCCCTTTATGAACTTGTCCTTCTGATACGTGTCGATCTCGTCAGTGAATGTGCAGGACTCATCGTAAATCTCCTCAGCACGGAAAGGTGCAAAGTGCGTTCCCCATTGTCCCATGTGCAGGTGTGAGCTATCAGTGTCACGGACTGCTGTTGCTGGGAGAATAATGAGATTACAAATTACAAAGTATTGCAAAATATTGCAAAATATCGCAAACATGTGTCTGGACTGAAGTCTGCCGTGGCCAGGAACTGGCGATTGACTAAGTCGTCACGCACGATCTTAGCAACTTCAGCAGCGTCAAGATTCCTTCTCTTGCCATCGCCTTGCCGGTGTAGCTCGAAGTTTACACGCCATACACTTCATGATAGAACAGTAGTAGCTGATGTGCCGACTTTACCATGTGCCAGTGCCTGCTAGAGCGGAACTGGCTGGAAGGCCCAGGATTCCAACCGTGGCGGCCAAACCAGCACGGCGGCTCACAGGCAGATTCCATGCTTGCGATGTTTGAGGGGCTCGGGCTCGAAGCCAAAGCCAAATAGTCAGGCACGCCTCAGGAAGAACATGCCAACTCCGACACACTCTACTGGAAGCGACCAGAAAACCTTTCGACTTTAGCGGCGGCTTTCTGCATCTATCTGCAAGCGCAAAGCTGCAACAGCCAATGGTTGGCGCCGCATGGAGCCGGAGCGCGCCATGGAGCCCCTCCGCTGAGATATTCTGACCACGTGAGAATGAAATAGGGGCGGGGGAGGGGTGCAGTGTGAGCTGTACTGGCTGCGGTATTAATTGGTAGCTGGCAGGACAGACTTAATCCCACAGCTTAGATACGCTGCGACAGCCTCTTCTACCTTGAGCAAACCACTCAATAGAGCTGTACCGGAATCTGCACGAATTCTGTGGGATGCATGTCTGCCCCTGGACACAGGGACTGCCTGGCAATCTCCCGCACTTTTTTGTCAATCTTTGCCGTCTGCATGTCCGTGCACTGCCCTGCCCTCAGAAAAGTCGTGTGAACGCCAAGGACACGAGCATCAATGGAGCCACTGTCTTTTCGCATCCTGATTTGGACTTGATGTCCTTGGTCTCCTGAGCGTCTGACCATCGCGCATACTCTGTCAATTTCTCACCAATTTACAGAAAGCCCTTTGAATTTTGCAATGCTTGCCGTCCTTTGTTGAGGTGGCGTTGTTCTTCTCGCCATCCTTGCCCGTGGAGGCGGCTTTGTCCTTCTCGCCATCCTTGCCCGTGGAGGTGGAGTTGTCCTGCAGTAGCATTTCGCAGTTTTTGCAGAGAGTGATGAGAAGCCTGGACCTAACGATTAGCCATTCGCATCTCCGGCCTCTGCGTCTGCTTCCTGCGAAAAACAAAGAAACAGAATAAAACATCAAGCTCGGCTTGAAGGCACCAGAGGAGTCATTCCAAATCTACTCGCTCTCCCTCTCACTCCAATTCTCCAATGGCCCCAAATTTCCAACATTTAACATGTCTCAACGCAACATCTCGACACCTCTTCCTCATCATCATCCTTCTCATCTTTGTCGGTATCCTCCTGCGCTCTTCTCTGCTCAGAGATTCCATGGGCATCGTGTCGATTCACAGACACAAATAGGTCCTTCTTCTCGTTCTGCTTTGCAGGCTTTGCGGGCTTTCCATCAGTGCTTTCGGACGACTTTGGTGCTGGCTGGGCCGGCTCGGACTTGCTCTCGGAAGTGCTTTCAGTTTTTTTCTCTTTGTCCTTGAGGGTAGGTTCCTGGAGAAGGGCAGTCAAAAACGGTCACACGGCCATGTGCAAAGGCTCTCAGAGGTACGCGCTGGCCGCAACACTACAAGTGGTCCTTAGTTGTAGTGGTGTTGGCTGCAAGCTCCTTTTCCACCTTCTCCTGGTGTCCGGCTAGCAGAGAGGCAACAATAAGTGGCGGCGACAGCTTGAGAAAAATCAATGTCTCAATGTCACTAGCCTCTGCTTCCTTTACAAGCTGCTCCGCCATTCGCTCTTCTGCCATCATCTGTTCATCTGACACCAACGCTTTCGTATCTGGCGCAGCTTGCACCTTTGCGGAGTCTGAGTTCCCCATGGCAATGGACACTCAAGTCTGCAGGCGATTGATGACAGGACTCTGCCTCACCTGGGCCACGTGCGCGCGCTTGTGCCCATGCCTCACATATCCCACGCTGTGTCCCACGCTGTTGTCATGGTGGTCTGTCCAGTTACGTGTCGCATGCTGTGGTCCCATCGAGCTTCAGAGCACTCACTGCCTTCACGAACACGTAGCATGTAAATCATATTCGCTTTACGAACTAGACTCACTAGACAGGCTGCCGAACCGAAAGCCTTGCTGACAGGGTACTTTAACAATGCCGCGCGAATCCGTCCTGGACGTCCCTGCATATCCCTTCGATACCTACTTAGACATACTTGAGGCGTTCCGAAACACATCTTTCGGAGTGGATCCTTCAAGTCACATCCCAAAAACGTAGACTGGCATTGTGGAGCCGTGTGGAGCCGTTGGCAGCCGTTTCTGATGTTGTCTACATGCATGTCGATACTCTGAGCTTCTTCACTTTGCATGTCAACCCTTCCGGGCACTGTGGCTTGAAAAGCGGACAGTCAGGTTGCCCACGTGACATGTTGTACTTTCCCGCCTTCGGTGATGCTTTCGAAGACCATCGCTTCCAGCCACGAAAAGCACGAGGAGCAGTCGAAAAAGGAAAGGCCTGACTGGCACCAGTGGGAAGTGGCTGGAGGAACATCTTTCGGTTCTGCAACAACTCGACCACACATTGGCTGGACGAAGCCAAGTGTCGCCATGGCTGCTTGTTGAGCCGGCCCGCTACGTTGACCCGAGCTTCTGCTCTGTACAGAGCTTGCAGCCAAGGAAAGCAAATGCAACAATGTACGGCTAGAGGCACTTTAGCTACTCGTACGCTCAAGGAAGTAACTACTTCGATGCTGACCAGACTTCTTTTTTGCAGCCTTCTTGACACCCCGCATGATTCTCCCATTAGCTAGATCCTGAATTGGAGCGCAGAGCTCGAAAGCTGAAACGCTGCTTTCTTTGAAGCAGAATAGAACCTGGAGTGCCTAAGCAAGCTAAGAACGGATGTAAATGAGTCGAGAGATGAGAATGCTGGTTTGTGCTGTTTTCTGCAAACACTGTTCGGAAAGGGGAAGGAGCAGTGAAAGGTCTTGATACGGGTATCGATACTGCGATGTGAAACGGATGCTGTGACACGCATCTGTCATGGCTCCAAGGACATATGAAGCACCTGCGATCCAAGAGACTGGCTCAACGCTTCTTTATCGACAAGATCTGTGGATTTGCCTCTGCTTCTCGGCAGGCTGCAATGATTCCAACAGCGCTGTTGAAGCGACCATTCACCTGCACGGGAGAGCAAATTAAAAGCGATGGCAGCTTCATCGTGTCATCTGTCCACACGCCCATATATCAGAGCTATAAGAACACCTACTAGTAGAAGCGCATGGATGGGCGCGAGCGATGGTGATTTTGGCTGCAGGCCGTCTGTGTCAAAGTTTGTTCACTCGTCGTCGCACCATTTCCGGCAATTTCTTTTCGTGCAAAACATACCCGGCCGTTCACGATGAAATTTCACATTGATGACGCCGCTCCATCCCAGTAGTTAAACCTGTGGGCTCGAGCAGCTCGACAGAAGCGAGCCTCCTAACACCACGACATTCGTGTCTAAACCTTTGCGGCAGGCGTCTGGAAAGCAATTTCTGACACGGTCCTGCAGATAGTCGTTCTTAAAGTAGCGCATGAAGCTGTATGAGCTTGTGCCGTGCAGGAAAGCATCTGTTTGCCGGCAATGAACGGGTTACAAGCTTGAAACGGATCAGCCTTGCCTCCACCACTCGCATGCCTGGCTTCACGACCTCTCTGGATCCGGGCGGTTGGGCCTGATTCCACCTTCCAACATCGTTCAAGAATCGCAACTGGAGCTGCAAGCAGCTGCAAGCAAAACCACATCGCCAACGATGCAGCGGTGCACCTGTCTACCAAGCCTCCTGGGGTCACGCTTTTAATTTCAAGCGTGCCCACCTGCAGTGCAGCTGCAAGGCAGCATCACAAGTGCGAGAACTGTACAGCAGTAAACAAAACGGATATTGGACGTCCCACCTTCTCGGGTGCGGCATCTATGCCCAAGCTGTCACCCGTCCTGCTGGCGCGCTCGTTCCCAATGTGCTTTTGACTCTGCAGGCTTGGACGTGTGACTTGACGATTCATTGGCATCAAGGCTTCGTCCTTCTGTCAATGACAATTGTGAACTCGGTTGGAGACCTGCCGTGGCTGCCCTGCACTTGTGGACGATGCCAAGTCGCCTCAATGCGCCCAGCCTCTTTCGTGTTTGTCTGCCAGGCCTCAAACGATATGAAACAAGACTCCGTGTATGCTGGGGCATGCTGGGACATGGTCGTCGATCGCAGTAAAGCGCCTCCTGGAGTCATCTGCCCCCTGCCTAGGGGACAGGGCTTCAGACTTGCAAAATCGGGTTGGGAACATGCTGACTTCACCAGAGGCATGTGAGACAAACAAGTCGACCCAGACATGCTTGTCTCCAGCTGGCTCAGTGTTCTCCCCAACCGCACGAATGCACAAAGACACAGAAAAAGACCGAAGCAGAGATAGACACAGACACACAAAGAGACACGCGACACACACACCGCATATGCACACACTACCCGCGACACGCACTGCGCGCGGCGCACAGTTTTCGGCTACATGAGTGAGCGGAGCGTGTTCTTGTCAGAAAAGAAAGAGCCCTTGGAGTTGGGAGTGTTGTGCAACTCCAAATTGCTAATCCGAGCCTTAAGCACCCAAGCCGCCACCTGAAGGATTTTGGTCCAGAAGCACACCTCACTCCACGACCATTCGGGGCTTTCCTGTTGGCCGCATGTTCTTCGTGCTGGTTGGCATCTTGGTAACGATGCATTCTGAAAGCACCCCGGATGCACGGAGAAAGCTGAGGGAGAGCCTGATAAGTTGGTTTCGGAAAACTGAAGCGCGAAACTCGCTAGGGGGCTCGCAGTTCCCGAAATCCTACTAAGATTCCCGGTGCCTAGCCGAGCCAATGGGCATTTTTGCTCCAAGATCCAAGTGCTCGCATGCGGAGCCTACTGGGTACTGCGGTGCCATTGAAGACCAAGACTGTGGCAGATCATCTTCACATGAGCAGCAGGACCCTGTGGCCCCCATTGCCGTCAGGTCCTGCGTTGTCAGTCACGTCACAATGAGGATGAAGGCCTGGCTGAGCCTAGCCTTTCCTGTTAGCTTTAAGCGCTTGCACCATCGGTAGCCTAACATGAGCCCGACCAGGCCGACACACATGAGTATCCTCTTTTCGAGTTTTTTTCAGTTCATGTCTGGACATGGGTCTACATGGGTCCTCGTCAGGCTTAGACGCCGGGCCGGGACAGAGAAACTTGTCTTGGGCCAAAGCGACAACAAGGCTTGTCAAGGCAAAGGCTCACGCGAGCGATGTCATAAATTCTTGCACAAAGGTGACCAGGCATGTTTTCCGTAAGCGAACTGCTTCGTTAACGTGGGGGAGCACCCCAGGGGATGGTGCGAGACGTGCCCACAGCACATCACAAGAAATCTGTGAGCTTACTGCTCTTCTCACCGGCTCCTGGCATCAGACTGTGCTGTCTGCATGATCCCATGCTTCGCAACAAAAGATAGTCGCTACCGTCATCGTTGTCGCCATCATTTAGGTGTCATCACCATCATCGTCATCATCGCCATCCTTCGCCGTCGTCGCAATCATCCTCACCATCCTTTTCATATACATCATGAACACCACCAGTATCATCCTCATCCTCATCATCACGAGCTATCCCCGCATCACGACCATCATGACCCTTGTCATCGTCATCATGGTCATGGAGCGACGGCCGGGGCCAGGATTTTTGTCTGGGCAGCATTGAGCATTTCAGCAACTGTCCTGCTGAGCTGAGAAAGGGAGCCACAACCTCACGCAAAATGAGCGCGCTGCTGCTTCCAAGATGGGACCATTGACCAAGCCATGGCCGAGGTGGCAGCCGACAGAAGAGGTGAAACCTCGCTGCAGGCGACATTCTTCATGGGTTGGCAAGGATCATTCGACAGCCAGGCCTGGAACTCAAACGCCGCTTCTTCTCCCTGTACACACTGAGGCACTCGTGCTCGTGCAAAATACCTTGGCCAACAACCGGATGCTTCGTGACGAGCCTTAATGTGGCACTGGGTGCAGTACAACTACCTAAGTAGTAAAGCCGACGGAAACCTATTTGTTTCACGAGTTTTGTTGCAGCTAGCTGATGTATGCAAAAGTTAATTCGTTCAAGGAGAGTTCAATGAACAGAGCTTCCGTTTGAGCCTTGCCTCCAAAGGCAGATACAGCGTCAAGAGTGAAGAGCGTTGGCTTCAACACAACATTGCAGCACTCAAGGTTTCTGGCCTTAGAGGCCTTGGCAGGAAGCTCAGTGTAGCCTCATTTAAAACCTTTTGCTTTTTTGCAGACCGAAGCACCAAACACATTATGTGACACCGTCTGTGCTCGATTGGATCCCACAGAAAGCCAAAGAGTGCAGAAGAGTAGCTCTTCTCGCGCTGTCAGCCAGTTCTTGTGGCAGTCTGCCATGGCCTCAGATATGAACCGTACTGCTTGGTAACGCAGACGACACATGAGACGCGCATGAAATAAGTTTCTGTGGCGGGCATGTAGCGGTCCATCTTTTTTTGAGCTCTTTGAATGTCTTCCCCAATCTCTCGCAAAGTGTTTTCTTTCAGCGCTTTTTTACGGGTCCAGTGTGTGTGCTTCAAATCTAAGCTGATCGTCCAGACCTTGTGGCAAAGTCAAGGTCCCACTTTTCATATCTGCACAAGATCAAGAAGCTGGAGCCGGCATGCGTCAAGTTTGTGAGGCTCCGGCACCGTTGTGGTCGTCCATGAGCTTTCTGCATTCTGAATCGTGCAGGGCCTCTGCACACACGGAACGACTATGAACGGCTGAATGGGCGAAGCATGGAAAAGCAGCACTGGAAAACTTTGCGTCGACTTGCCGACTTAGAACTTCTGGCCTTCAGCAGCCAGAATGACGTCTCGTACCTAAGTTGCTGGCAGCTCTTTATACGGTGCCTGCGCTGAGGTACCAAAGCTAAGTCAATGTCTTTGGCTGTTGCTCCATGAAGGCTCTCCAAGCCTCCAGCTTTGACAAAAAGGCAAGACAAGAGTCCCTGCGCAGATCATTGCATCTGAAGGAAATCTTTGGCTGGGCTGCTCACATCGTTCACCTCTGACATCGCCTTGCAACTTTGGATGTCTGGTGGCGCGACAAATGTAGACTTACTTCGAAGCAATGAGACACGACAGTGAGTTGAACAGAAGATACACAGATATACACCGATATACTAGAGAAGTACTGCTTGAATCAAAAGAGTCCCGGCCTTGTCATAGTGCTCTCTGGCCCCTTCAAACTCACCAAATGCAGAGGCCATCTCCTGGAAGTCGCTTCGCACCATCGTAAAATGAACACAATGGCCTCGCTTGAAACCGCCGTACATCTTCTTGTATGCACGAATGGCCGCTGGTGGCTCAGCAATTGCAGTACTTGCCACTGAACTTCACCGGAAAGAGGTTAAGAAGGTCACATGCCCCTCAATTCGATCTTCATACCTCAAGGCTGTTTGGCGCTGGGCCCGTGCTTGGCTGACATAACTGTCCTGCAAAGCAAACCCACGAAGCCGAGGCCCACGAGTCGATGCTTGTGGGATGGCCACCCCCACTTAAGGCCGAAGAAATCTTAAGAACCTTGAAGTTCTGCAGGACACTGTGGGGGGGAAGGATGGAAAAGGAGCCCTTTCGGGGAGTTTAAGCCCAACGGCTCCTTGTCTGCGTTCTCTCTTTCCGCCTGCTGCCGCTCTCGCTCAAGCTCCTGTGTTTCGCCACCATCTTCCACTTCGGGCGAATCCCTACACGCTTCGCGCTGCTCCTTGGCGATCTCCTCCGTACCCTTCTTCTCCTGCGGTGCTCATGTTTAGCGTGAAGGAGAATCACAAGAGCCCATGCCGCAAGGTGATCTGAATGCTAAGGGGGCAGCCTTGCTTCCAAAAACAAGGTTTAGGGGAGAAGCCTGAGCGCTCGCACTCAGCAGAAACAGGGCATGTCCGACGACTTGGTGCGCAATGCTGGAACTTGGTTGACTTGGAGGAGAGCTGCGACATCCTTCTTCTTTGGCTTGTCCTTAAAGGAGATCGCGAATCGCACACCAGGTAGAAGCCACACGTATGAGCCACTCTTGGCACTAAGCCAATCTGGGCAAGCAGTACGTGGCACTACACCAGTACTCCAGGCTTCGGGCTGTGCAGTCGCATGAACGGCCTTTGCAGCTCTTAAGCGGTCTTGCGTGGTCTTTTTGGTTCACGGTATGTGGCATGCAGCATTTGCAGCCCTGACCAGCTGAGGATGCAGCCATCTTGTGTGCGACCTTTTCGTTTCAGTTTGACGGCCTCAGCATTCTGATCGTCTATGATCGTCTCGATCTGCTATGGCATATTGCAGCATTAGTAAGCAAAATCAATAGCCCTGCAAGAGCATCTGAGGCACAGTGAATGAAGATTCACAGCTTGGGTCCTGCCGAAACATCTCCCACACGCGCACTGAGATGCACTGTGGGAATCAGAGGGGGAGCTTGGAGATGCTGCGCCTGGGGTCTGCGTGGCAAGGGTGCTCTGTCCCACCTCTGTCAAGAGCATCCGAAGCGCCAGGGATGGAACGCATGAACCACGCAACCATACTCAAAACGGTCTCAACACTATACAGGGCCACATTTCCTCTTGCAGTCTGGTATCTGAGGGTAGGACAGTGACCAATCAGAAGGCGACCCGTGCAAGACAGCTGAAGGCATTCGCAACACAAAGTGGAGAAGATATTTTTAATGGGCTGGATTGGATGGTTGCTTTGCTCGCTTGTCTCCATGGAAGCAAAGGCTCCTGAGACTCTTCAGGGTAGGGCCTTGGGTGGAAATGGAGGACTTCAGCAAGCGGTGTCCAGCTTGCACGTTGTCACTGTGGCGCCGGCATATGCATGCTTATTGATCTGGTATGCTGCTCGTTTCATCCTAAAGTCATGGCCGTGCCCCAGCTCAATTCCCCTTCGTCGAACAAGGCTGCAATTTCCTACGCGTCATTGGAGTCAAAGTTGAACTTTGGCAAGGTGCATTCCGCTCGCTCCCCCTCTCACACGTACACAGAGACGGGGCAACAGACCATCTGCTCCAGCGTCTTTCAACCGTGCCTCGATTACCAGTGCTCTGCACATGGTGCTTGAGACATCTGTACAAGTACGGTGTTCTGAAGCCCCACAACTCTACAGATCGGGTTGCAGTTGAAATTGCCTGCTGCCTCCGATCAGCTGTCAAGCTGGCTTACAGCTTCTCGGGCCGATCGGGCCTCGTAAGTCATGAAGGATGGAGCCAGTTTGCCCGTATCATCAGGAGCAAGCCTGATTACAGCACCTTTGTTGCCAGCGTGCCCCAAGTAGTTTGGAGCAGAGAATACTGTGATGCAGTCAGGATGTGTCCACTCGAAGCCACCTACTTTGACCTCATGCGACCGGATTAGAAGCCGAAGACCGTTTCTTCGCAAGAAGGCGGAGGTAACGTTTGGACCAAAGATGTAGCAACCTTTCCGAACTCTGTATGAGGGACCGTAGCCCGTCTTGCCTCTAGGGTCTGCCCAAAGGAGATCAACAATCAAGCGCTGTACCTCCGCCTCGTCTTCCGGCAGCTTCGCCAAGGCTTGCAAGTCCGTGGCGGGATCTCCACCGCGAGGCAGAGCCGCGATATCTTCGAGTGTCAACTCGGTGTTGCGTGGCGGCAAGGACACATTGTCTGGATTGTAGCCTAACAGGGACAGGTGCTGACCTCCACCTCGTCGCCCGCTGAAGCCAACCGCATCGTAGCCTGTACCACCACCGCCTGAGTCACTGAAGGCGAGTCGAGGATCTGGACCAGGCAAACCTCCATGCACAACAAAGACATCCGAATTCAAGACGTGCGCCAGCGGCATCCATCGAAACATCTCTGAGAAGGCGTCAAAGAGCCTGTGACAATGCACAGACCTAAAAGCAGCTAAGGACGCGCAAAATGCATGTTTAGCATTATGACATGTGTATATATGCATATATAATATATGTATATATGTCAATGTTGTACCATGTCCTATACAATCCTTTGGTCGACATGCCTGCGGCCAGCGCAACCATAGCGGTCGCGAATCTCAGCTGCAAAGCCATAGCGCAGGTTGAGGTCAGCAGCTTCATGATTTCCGCGATTCATGTAAATGTAGGATGGGAACTGCATTTTCAGAAGCAGTAGCGTGAACACCACCTCCAGTGAGTGAGGCCCTCTGTCCACAAAGTCTCCGTTAAACAAGTATGGGTTCTTGTCCGATGGCATTCCCATTTCGTCAAAAATGTACAGAAGATCGAAGAATTGCCCATGTAGGTCGCCAACAACAATCACGCTGTCCACATCTACTCGCTGCAGCGTCCCCTCCGCCTGAAAAATCCTACAGGCATCAGTCACCAGCTTCACCGCATCATCGACCGAGAACATTGGCTGTCCGGCATGCTGTGCAAAAGCATCCAGCGATGATCTAACAAAAGCATCATCTACGGCATGGTTGTACCGAAGCGTATATTTGTTGATCGTCTCAGGCAAGCCATGCTGCACTTGCACTGGAACCTCTTCATGAGTATCATGAGTTTGCTCTGCGGGATGTAGCTGAACGAACCTGATTTCAGAGGCTCCATGAAAGTCTTCATGCTGCATTTAGAGCAAATGAATCTCTTAACTATTCAAGGAACTCAATCTTGACGGGGAGGTCTGCACAAGCATTTTGCATGGATCCTGGCGGCGGGAAAGCTTCCAGACACGGACAGCCAAACAATCGAGCTGCGAGGGACTGTGTATGACTGTGTTCATCTTGGCTAAGCCTACATAACTGCGCAACACCCGATTTACTTCGCATCGATAGCGCATGGGCGCGAGCCTCTCGAGACCGACTGGAACTTACCACCGGAGTTGTCCAAGATCTTGTCACCAAGAATATCCAAGATATCAGCAAAGTCCCAGGTGGAAACGTCCTGGCCGTTGACCGTCTTGACCTCAGTGGACTCGTAGAGGCTTGTCGTGATTTTCGAACTTAAGGCTTCCGAAAGACCTGGCTCCAAAAACCCTCCCCCCTGGATCAAAAAAACAGGGAGACAACCACTCTCAACTCTGAACCAACAAGCCTAAGTCCTCAATTCCTGGATGGCAACTAACTCAACCCCAAACCCGAATGGTCCGGTTGTCTGAGCCGGCCCGATATTCTGACAATTCGTTGGATTCGTCGAAGTTTGCCGTCGATCGTATGTCAAGTGGAAGCGACCTGCTTATTCAGCTAAAGCACCCCTCTAAGATCCTACTCCTTTCTACTCCACTGCCAGACCCAGAATAACATGGACCGCCCGTGCTAGAAGACTTGAAGCCGGTGGCGTTTCTGAGTTCCCTTTTGTCTCACTCCTTGTTTCAGCTATTTCCTCTTTTGCTGAAGCTGGGACAGGAGGAGAGTTCTCAAGTTTCTTTGCCTGCGCTGTCCGCATCCATCTCCTCTCAAGAGAGGAGAGGCCACGCAGCTTCCAGTTGTTGGAGTTGTTGGAGGTTGTGACAGTCACAACTTGCTCTCTACAAATATCTACAAGAACTCTACGGTCTCTAGTGCCGGATTAGCACCCAAACCCTGTACACATGTGATCGAGAAAGTCAAGCTGCCACAAAGCCTTTTTCGACTCCAGCCCTTTGAGCTCTGCCTTGTGGATCTCCGGGATATCGCTCCTCATATCAAAGTTATGAATCTAAATCTCTACGAACTCGTGCATGAGCATCAGGTCCTTGCCGAGCTCCCAAACCATAGCACCCTTGCCGCTCCTTACTTTAATCACTTCCCGCTACACATGATGTTGCATCCTGCCTTATCACAAGTTATTTCCGCCACCACAAGTGTCAACAAGGCTCGCACTGGGGGCATAAGCGAGCACACCAAAAGGACGCGAGCCGAACTCCGCCACATGTCTGGACTGGATGGAGTTCGGGTCGCTTGCGTCGAACACTTGCACATTCGGAATCCTCCTGCCCTCGCTGTCTCGAAGACTTGCCCTTATGGCGATGTTCGTTTTTTGCCTCCGTCTCATGAAAAGCGCAGCTGCGCTTGCGACTGCTTTGCAGTTGAAGGCGTTGATCCTCAACAGCCATGCGCTTCACGAGAACGACAAAGCATCCCGCTCACGCATGAAGCTGAACACTCAACAGTCCTGACACTGTTTGGCAAAGGGACTGTCTTGGAGGATTGAGCAGCGCCATCCCGAAGAGCCTCTGCGCAATCGAGGTCGGCCAGCCTCGATTGCATGACATTTGTATTGCACATGTGTTCGGCGCAGGTAAGTCCAGCGACAACTCTCAGTACGTGTTTGAAGACCGCTAAGCAGGATGGCAAGATTGCAAGCAGAGCCACCTCTTGCAACATAAAGTGCCTTGTTGCAGGGATGTTCAGAACAGTTTTGATCGAGCTTTCTCGCATCATTCGCATCATTCAGCCAGGCCTGATCATTGCCTGGGTCATGGAGAGCCAGCCTCCGGCATGGTGGATCCATTAGTGATCCATTGCTGGCTCTCCCAACTCTTGAGCCTTGTGGATGCTGGAACTGCGGCTCTCTGTCAAATGGCAAGTCTGACTCGGGTAAGGCGACAGTGTAGATATGTGTAGATAGGTCAAACAGCAAATGCAGTTTTCGCCAGCCTTCAAAGGTCGTGTCTCACAGTGCAGAGGGGTCCGCATGACCTGTACGCAACTTGTGCTTCAGCAGCTAATTACGCATCCCTTGCTGGCAACCTGTCTCGAAATGTCTCGAAGTGGACGAGTGACAACTTGACGAGCGATCATTGGACAGCACCGGCCCGATGGATTTGGGCCGTGAAGCGTGCCATCTGCATCGCTTCCACGTCGCGCTGAGGCCGCCTGGATTGTTCGCGGTTTCAGGAGCTGGCTCAGGAAGCTGGCATTTGTGGATCTCGTCTGTCGTTCTTCATGGGATAGCATGGGCAACGCATGCACCAGCAGAACTCGCTCGGAATGAGGTCAATTGGCCACGTCACTGTCGCTTTAGAAATGTCAACCTGGAAACAGTTGTGGAAGAATGAAGCGTAAGCCAGACGGTTTGGACGGCTCTGCTGGTCGCACTTGCCAAACTTCTGGTCTTCTGTGTCGCAGGCTGAACCCTGCAAGCAGCAGGGTGCCCGGGTTCTCACTGGAGCCGGTATTTGCATCATTTGCACATAAGCCAGCTGCCCAGCTACGACCTCGTCTGAGCTGAGCTTTCGCTGAGAATCGCTAGGAAACAGCATTAATGATGATAAGTTGTTGACCGGTCTTGCCCTGTTGCCTGGCACTACTTGCCTCCAGCGTCAGCTGTTTGGGGGCAGGCCTGCGTTGACACGTATCCTGATCGCTGGGGTGGCCCGGGCGTGCCCGCCCGCAGAATGTCCCTGGAGTGCAGGAGTGCCCACCACAGAGTATCCCTAACGTGCCCGCACGCACACTAGGAGGGACCAGCAAAAGATGCCTGGAGGCCCTTGAGGATGTTTGTTCTGAACTCACAGTTGGTGATCCGAAAACGGAAGTTTGAGATGGCATGTGTATTCATTTCAAAACCGTGCGTATTTCTGCAACGTGTTTAAAACCGTGTTAAAATAGGTGACCGTGTTTAAAAACTCTACAATTCGAGTGTACATAAGAAATATGCGTAAAAAATTGATTCGTGATGAAAAATGAGGCGTGTCTGTTTTCAAAAAGTGCTGCGATTTGCAGTACGCCTGTCTCCTACGCGCGCGCGGAAATCTTTGAATTTCCTAGACACTGTAAATGAAACCACAGCGCGAAGCGCAGAATGCTAGACACGCCCTCTGACCTCTATAGGGATAGCGGGATCAAGGAGATGGCATGAGATGGCTCTTTCCGCGAGGCAGCCCAGCCTCTCTCCGATGCCAGGTCCGGTGCTAAACTTAGACAAGACAACACCTGGACCACAGGGCATTGCTGGCAGGGCGCCTTTCGGAAGTTGATAGACATCTCTCGATCCACACCTGCTCTGTCGGACCTCGCACACGCGTCTCCCTTATAAATGGGAGCAAGCTGCAAGCAATCTCAATCTTTGTTGCTGGCATGTGTAGACGGAGTACACATACAGCTTTCATAGCATATCATATCAACAGGGTATTCGGCGAGAGGAACAGAGTCAAGCCTGCATGTTTCAATGCTAGCAAGTCACGAGCCAGCTGGAGGCGTCTTCCGTGCTTTTGGCAACAATCCAGAGGGCGGTAGGAGTCAAATGCATTCCAAGAGCTTCCACAGGTCTGCCATCCACATCCAATCTTGCAATCTGACGCCTGTGGCATGCACGCAATGTTCAGCACAACTACATGATGTTGCTCTAAGTGTCCTGGGCTCCAGGACAACACAGCGAGATCACAGCCGTGCTGCTTCACTTCTCAATTTGAGGGTTTCCGAAATTGGGGGTACCTCATTGAGGTCCTGATTTCTAAGAAAATCCTACTCTTTGGGGGGTTGTATGAGGGGTCCCCTATTTCGTAAAGCCCCATTTAAGTTTCAAGGAGGCAGTGGAACTGATTCATTCAACATCAGTCGGGCTGCCAGCAGACATTTCCGGACGTCGAACCGCCGAGGCTTTAAGGTTGGTTTGGTGCTGATGCAGAGCAAGCTGCCGTTTGGGTAGTCTTGTGAGGCCACTGGCTTTCATTGGCTGTCATTTCATGTAACAATACAGCTTCGGAACTGCGCTGCATGGTGGTCTCCGACATGGTCCCAAACGATTCAACAAGTGACTCAACAAGTAATTGTGTAGTATCGTGTAGCGAACAATCAACTTTTTGGGATCCCAGACTCTTTACGGGCGTTGCAAGCTGGACTTGCTTTTAAGGAGCCTGCGCTTGGCAGCCCTGAATTATCTGCGGGCAACCATGAATAAAGAAAAACTATTGCAAAGTCTTGACATTAAAAAGGACTATATTACATGCACTGTCGAAGATTGCGTCATCCAACCACCTCAAAGACCAAGTTGCCTTGGATACAATGTGCCGTTTTGCGGGCACAAAACCAATGATTCGCCCGCCGTACTGGAAGCCAGAATGCCCCATGTCTGCTCGCGGCGCTCGCGGTTGGGAGAAGAACACTCTTGCTCCGCCAGTCCGTCGCGAATCACAGCGATTGTACGCAGAGGCTCCAGCATACGCGCAACTTTCCAGATTCTGCTGTGATTCTGCCGCAGGTCCCATACTGTATGACCATCATGTTGCAAGACGAGTAGCTGAATAGGCTCCGAATTTACAGCTGCAATGCTGGCAAATGGCGCCCACAACATGTGGCCAGCATCATGGGCGATCTGAAGCGGCTGAAATGTTCCAGATTCCCCAGTGAGCTGCGCTATTTGCGAGTCGTACAATCCATATCTGTCACCTGCGTCGTGCCCACCAGACGTGTGGAGCTCAGATCATGTAGTCTAATTGGAGCTGAATAACTTCGAAGATATGCGATGATCGACAATGAGCGTGAGAAAGCATGAGTGCCAGAAGTGCCAGTAAGAACTGTTGGCACATTATGTTGATACAGTTGATACATAACGCTGAAACATGTTGAAACCTATAGTTGCGACTCCGAAGCTGGCCTAGGAGGACGCGCTCTCCAGCACAGGTCATCGTGACAGGCCTCATGCCGGAAGAAGCTTCGAGTCTGGAGATGAAAGTGCATGCGAATGGACCAGACAGACGTGCGCGTGTGGGCCTTCATGCGTTCGCGCGTTCGTGCGTTCGTGCATTCGTGCGTTCTCGTTCATGCGTGTGTGTGTGTGTGTGTGTGTCTCTCTCTCTCTCTCTCTCCTGCACGCATGGCCCCCCTCCGAAGAGGAGAGCCGCCCCCAGGGACGCGCGACGTCCACAGGTCAGTTTGTTGCGGTTACCGCGTTTTTCACGGCCCGCTCTGCAGGTTCGGGCTTCCCAAGCCCTGCTCATCCGTAAAGGAAATCCCCCCAAAATCCTCTGACACCTCTCTCTCTCTCTCTCTCTGTCTCTGCGTGTCTCTGTCTGTCTCTGTGAGCTGTGCGTCTCTCTGTGTCTCTGTGTCTCTGTGTCTCTGTGTCTGCGTGCGTGCGTGCGTGCGTGCGTGCGTGCGTGCGTGCGTGCGTGCGTGCGTGCGTGCGTGCGTGGGTGGGTGTGTGTGTGTGTGTGTGTGTGTGTGTGTCTGTGTGTGTGTGTGTCTCTGTGTGTGTGTGTGTGTGTGTGTCTCTGTGTGTGTGTGTGTGTGTCTCTGTGTGTGTGTGTCTCTGTGTGTGTGTGTGTGTGTCTGTGTCTCTGTGTGTGTGTGTGTGTGTGTGTCTGTGTCTGTGTCTCTGTGTGTGTGTGTGTGTGTGTGTGTGTGTGTGTCTGTGTCTGTGTCTGTGTCTGTGTCTGTGTCTGTGCCTAGGACATTGGCACAGATTGAGGAATTAGCGCGACCTATCTGAGAGCGCTTGTTTCTCGCGATAGAACATGATCGCGATAAAACAGGATGCGCAACTCAACTTTGCAAACTCAGCGAATCTCAGCGATGCAATGTGAGGATCCGGCGAGAAAAAGTCATGCGGCCATGACTTGACCTGGACCAGGTGGTTCGCTGTGAACGCTGGGTGGAACACGCAATACCTCAGCTGCTTCGCTGTATGAGTCCCGAGATGGCCATAGTGTGTGCTGAGAAGGTCAACAACCATTCTCAACCACTTCATCAATGAAATCAACCAAGATTGTCTCCACCCTATCTTGCCGGCCAGTCACACCATGGTAATGAGCCACGCCATGATAACGCTCAGCGAAATTTGCATGAAGTATTTCCAAGGCATGCTCGACTGTTCATGACCTCGGCTTAGCTGATCTTGAGCGCATCGGTATGCCTAGTTTACCTTGCACCTGCTTCGCCCCATCCTGTGCTCTGCAGCCAAAGCTTCAGCCGAGTCTCTGGAACCTGGCCTCCGCAAAGTAGGCAAGAACGGTCTCTGTGCGGCGGACATCGTGCCAACACCGAAGTTTGAAGGAGGCGCCTGCGGGCCAAGTTCGACTCCAGACCCTTGTGTTGTTCGTTGCCTTGTGCTACTGCATGTCGCTACGGTGGGTGATCAGCAAAGCTCATCTACTGCCATCTGAGCGGACTGGGCGGCCTCCACTTCAAAGCGCTGCACGCTGCTACGACCGCTTTGTCCGGTTCGCAAGACCCCAGTGAGCCGGTCCACTTCGGCCAGCAATGTCTCAACATCGAGATGCACAGCGCTGGGTGTCCAGGCGGTGTCAAACCTCTCGGAATGTTCGGAATGCGTGCGTCAAGCTGCACGCTGGTCCCTGGAGCCCTTGACATGCCCTTGACTTCAATCATATTCAATCAAGCTGCGTGTCAAGGTTGACGTAGTATTTCAAAGGTTGTCCAGTGTCGGAGATGACTTCACGCTGGAGCCTGGTGAATCTCATACGTTCTCAATACAGCCTTTAAACACACTAGGGCCGCTAAGGTCTGTGCCAGACTTCCATGTCCATCTCATCTGGATCCCAAGATGGACAACCCAGCTCAACCAAGCGATCCATGGCACGCTGCAGAGCCTGCACCTGCCCAACGTCACTCAAGTGATGCGACTTTCGTTTACGGACCTCTTTCTTCTTTTCCTTCAGGATCTATCTCTGTGCCTCTCTCTCTCTCTCTCCGATCATCGCCCCCGAAAGGGCTGCACCGAAGTGTGCTCAGGTCTCGGGCCAGTGACTGTCATGAACTTCCCACAATGTTCATGCTTGGTGCGTGCAGTGGCTACTCTGAAGCATTGTGGACAGTTTATAGCGCAACCCGTATGGAGACGACAGATGAGAGAAACAATAGGGGACAATTGCATGGAGAATGTTGTGCCTGGGTTGTGGGGACGACCGAAGGTTTTTTGGCGTCTGCACTTTGACCTTCTTCGTGTGTTTCGGATATGTCTTTCTTGTTTCGAGGGGTTTAGGAGCCAAGGGCTCGACATGAAAACGCCTCCGAGTCAAGTGAATTTCCTCGATTTGGAGGCTCGGCATGCACGTCTATTTGAGAGGTACACTGATGGCCTATTGATTGAAGGCCCCTCTGCTGCAATCGAAAGCGCATGCTTTGGTCTCACGTGTCATGTCCTGCTCTCACTCCTCTCAAAAGACTCAAAAGAGAATTCGAGCCTCCTCTGGAAGTAGCAATTCCTGGCTCTGTTCACAGCTCCTGAGCTCACAAGCGTGAGTTTCTCAGAAACCTGCGGGATTGTTTCGAAGGATATGCATTTCTGAGCTCTTGGCTGGTTCAACATCAGGAGGCGTCCGATCATGCCCAAGACCTGCTCGGCTTGGAGGTGGCCCGGATCGGACGGCTCATAGCTTGCCGAATCGTCGGACTCGACCTCCGGCCTGCATCTACAAATTCTGAGGACCCAACGACACAATTTACTGACAATAACTAGGGAATACTGATCACATATTGACGGCTGACTGGCGCTGCCCACTGGCCCCCGGCCCCATGCGCCGCTGCCGCAGAGCTTGCTGAAGCCGTCGGCGTTCCTCAGCCTGCCTGCCAACGTTCATTGGTGGCATAGCTTCATGCTTTCAATAAACCACTCTGGACGAGTGCCGCTACGCATCACTTTTTGCCTGCGGCGAAGGCCACCGAAGATGTCCAAGTAGCGGACAGATCTGAAGCTCATGGGCAGGTCCAAGTCTTCCTGCGCATGTCATGCGGAAGCCCGAGGATGCTCCTTTCTTGCAAGATTTGTTCTAGCTGGGGGGGAGGCGATGCAGACTGCTGAGGCTTCAAGCGTTGCTACGTGCCTCATAGTTGGGGAAGGAGCCAAAAGAGAGCCATTTTTGAGTTCAAGCGGACCCACCATGCTCCCCACCAAGCAGTTCGGACCACCGGCGCAGGAGTAGCGAGAAAGGCAGAGGGAGCCGCTGGCTCACGCTTCTCGGGTCTTAGATTCTTAGACTTAGATGGTCTTTTTGGGGTCGTTTTGCATCCCGGCCGAGCCTTCGATGGTCGTGCCTCCCAGATGAACAGAAGCTGCCAGGAAAGATGCAACAAGCATGTTGCACAAACTAGCGCCCACTGAACTAGCCCTTCAGCAGCGTGACCATCATGAACCCATCTCCGCACTGCAGCGCAGGATACCAGTGGGGCGCACACAACCACAGCTTTGTAGATCCGCATGCGCTGCTTTACAACATAGAAATCGAGCTTGTACAGAACCAGCGTAGTGAACATCAGCATGCAAGAGCCCATGAAGGTGACAAACAGCGCACCGGAGTCGTTCCAGTTTTGGTGGGCAATCCAAAAGTAGGCCAGGGCGGGCAGCAAATTGCCAGCACAGGCTATAAGGCAAACTCGCGCGTAGGCATCGAAGGGCAGAAACGTCTTCTGCAGCCTATTCCGCAAGATACTTTCTCAAGCTGTTGCCGAATGTTCAAAGCTGTTCAAAGGCGTGCCAAGGCCGCTCTTCCATGCTACAAGAGCTGCAATGTCCAACTAAGGTGAGGACTGCTGGAACAGCTTCACGTGCATGCCCAGTTCCGCAGACAAGCCTGGTGCCGTCTCCCAGGGGTTAGTGTTCTCCTGACCTGACAGGCAAAACTAATCGGAATTGCGTCCGCTCACTATGGGAGGATCATAGAAGAATCATAAGCACATAACTTTTGCTTTAACTTTTCCATTTCCTTCAGACCGCAACCTTGTCGCTCTTGCTGCTGCGCTGCTCCGGCAGGCAAAGCAGCCGGAATTGCAGGGCTTTCTGTCGAGGTACGAGAGGCCTGTGAGGCCTGTAGCACCGCAGGATCGCTGATGCAATATATTTACAATCAACTAAAATCAACATTTGCACAGAGAGAGAGAGAGAGAGAATGTTCCGTTTAACGACGTCTTGCAGCAAGCTGTGTGCCTGCGGCATGCTCGCGGGCAAAGAGGGCAGTTCAAGCCCAGAGGTGTGTGACGCCCCTTGCGACTGAACAGCATCTTTGCTGCCAAGGAGATTCGGTGGCGTGAAAAACTGGTTGGGCGCAGCTTCATACTGGGACAGCTCGTATTGAGCTCGTTGGAGCTCTGACGCGCTGGGATAGGGAGGCCGTATCGCACGCGTCAGCAATTGCACGCTGGCAGACTGGGCAGCTATTGCCCCATGCATGGCCAACCACACTGCAAGGAAGCCATAGCACATGGCCGCTATGAAAGTGTTCACCCAAAACAGCTTTAGCCAAGGCGGATCTCCCGGAAATCGAGGGCAGTTCCAGATAAAGCTCACGCTGAAGCCCAAAAACAGGGTACCAACCACCATGTAGGTGCTCATGTGCGAAGTGGTCAAATTGAAAAGGTCACGAATGTCCTGTCCGCATCTTATCCGTGCCATGAAGAACAGCCAGATCAGTGACATCTACGGGCACACTCGTGACATGTGTGAAGAAACTGTCCAATCTTTCGGCATCAGCTCCTCTCTGAAAAGGCCCCACTGCTGGATGCGGATGTTCATGACTTGATGCGCAGACGTTTGCTTCTGACCTGGAGAGCGATTGCAGCATGTGCCAGCTTCTGCCTTGCATGTTGAACTACAGAGTCTACGGAGCCTGCATCGAACTGGAACCTCCCTTGGTTGTAGGAGTAGGCCTTGGGCGTGCGGATGGGGCAGCGAGGGATAGCGAGGGGCAGAGCTTGTCAGAGCATGTCATGACCAGTCAGCATACTTGCTCCGAGTGTCTGCCCAAGCACTTCCCATCAGTGATCCCAGCACCATGCCTTCACTTCGTCTGTCCTACAGGTGCTACAGAACTCAACAGGTCGACGAAAACAGAGCTTGAGTTGAGCTTTGAGCCACATTGAGCCACGTCTCATGGCTGGCTCGATAGTGCATCCCTGGAATGCACGTGCAGCGTGGCGTGGCAGCAGGTCATAGCAGGTCGCATGATACTCAGAAATGTGCATTCACAGTTTGGCTTTGTGCCCCTCAGCCGCTGCCAAAGCATGTCAGCAGAGGTCCGCCTCTTTGAGGCTGTGTAGGCTCATGCAAACTGCATCGTATTATAGCTCTCTATATAAGAGTCTACGGAGGCTAAAGAAAAATCAAGACGTGCTCAGGTAAGAGCCGGTCTGAGCGCAAATCACAAAAGCAGCTCGGCAGAGTTCGGGGCACATGTTTCTGTGGCGCAGCCTGGCTGACCATCTGCATAGCAGCCTTTATCGCCCGGGCAGAATCGGTTACTTTTGCAGTGGTGGCAGCAAGGTCCATTGGAAGGAGCCTTCGGGCAGTCATGAGCAGCTGGCTTGGTTGCGTTGTGATTTGGTACTGGCGGCGGCTTTGGCCCTCCATGCGGCAGCAGAACCGCCTTCAGAAACTGATGATCAGAAGGAGCACCCAGAATGCTCTCTTGGCTGCAAAGTCCAACACCATGACTAGTGAAGATGTGGTCTGCTGCTTGAAACACATTGTCCCAAGCAGTGTCTTGTAAACCCTCACGCAAAGAAATCAGCGTCTGATCCCAGATCCTGCAGTTGAAATCTCCTGTGAAGATCACGACATCGTTTTTCTTGATGTGCTTCCACATCGATCTCATGTATGCATCTGCCACCTGCTGTCCACGCTCACCTGGTCGGCATGGACTAATGGCTGAGACGTACTGAAACATATTCAGCTACGTGACTACTTCCTTCTAAGCGGATCTGGTCCCGATCTACAGCGTCACGTGTCGAGGGCTGCATTGTATCCCTACCAAGATCATGAAGTTAATGCTTCATGCTGTCTGCACGTCTCACACAGTCGCTCCGTCTCTCTTTGACCTGCATTTATTAGCTCTGCCTGCACACTGGCCAAGGGGGCCATGGGTGTTGGCGAAGAAAACAATGGTATTGCTGCTGTGCTCCTGAAGTCGAACCCAATTCAACCATCTTGAACTGTATGTATCTTGTGTGATCCATTCGCTGGCCGGCCCCTCGACGACTTTGAACCTGCAGGCTGAAGTTGAAGTCTCTAGCAAGCTGGTGCAAGGAGCAACAGAAGACAGAATCAGCTAGCAACTATTCGTATATAAGATTATATAAGTACAAACAGGCTTTTTTGCGGAATTCCGAGCCTGTCCCAGCTCCAGGCCATCGGGGCATCATTTCCCCCCGGCGTGGAGTAGTAACCGAAGTTGGCGAGTCCAGCACCAGCCATCACTTGCTCCACATCGTCACACTCTTGGAAGCCAAATAGGTCCACAGGGTTCGAAGCAATTCGTTGGTACAGCTGCTGGAAGCCCCTGCCATATGCAAATTGTGGGCAATTCCCGAACTTGTCGGAGACACACCTGAGCTGCAAAGCTAAGGTTGCTACAAGTCGTGCTTCTGGCCGATGCTCAGGGGTCTGAGCTGCGCACCACCAATAAAGATTATACGTGGCTACAGCCACCTTCAGGCCGCTACACACCATTTGTGGGCTGGCCTTGAGATCGTGGCTGCAAAGCTTCACACGTCCGCATGTCAGGCGCAACCAGGCCCGGCATGAAATTTAGAAGTACTCCCGCGTGCACACGCACGCGCACGCCCAAAACAAACAAACAAAAACAAACAAACAAACAAACAAACAAACAAACAAAACAAACAAACAAACAAACACACACCTCCTCCCCCGCCTCTCCGAACAAACGCAAGCAAACAGAGGACCTTCTCACGCAAAACACACGCACACAAACACAAACACACACAACACACACACACACACACACAGACACACAGACACACACACACACACAAACAAACAAACAAACAAACAAACAAACAAACAAACAAACAAACAAACAAACAAACAAACAAACAAACAAACACACACCTCCTCCCCCCGCCTCTCCGAACAAACGCAAGCAAACAGAGACCTTCTCACGCAAAACACACGCACACAAACACAAACACACACAGACACACACACACACACACACACACAGACACACACACACACGCACACACGCACACACACACGCACACGCACGCACGCACGCACGCGCACGCGCACGCACGCGCACGCGCACGCGCACGCGCACGCGCACGCGCACACGCGCACGCGCACGCGCACGCGCACGCGCACGCGCACGCGCACGCGCACGCGCACGCGCACGCACACGCACACGCACACGCACACGCACACGCACACGCGCGCGCGCGCACACGCACACACACACACAGTGCACAGGCGCACAGGCGCACAGGCGCACAGGCGCACAGACACTGGACAATTACAAGAAAACATATACACACACACACGGACCCACGCACACGCGCGCACGCAACGCACACGGTCGAGAACGCACGTGGAACCCCCCCGAAGGAGCTAGCTAGAAGCTACAATCCCGCCACATCGCTTCTTCGACATCCATCTGCTGGGTCACAGCCTGCTTTTTTGAGGCTTCACGTGAAATTTGGCGATGGGTGACTTTTTGCATCACGAAGCCTCACTAGATACAGCACAAGAAAAGACAGCAAAAATGCTGCTTACAGCCTACACAAACGATCAACCCCGTGTTGAGCATGGCAGGCACGTCACTGGGTGTGCCCAATGATATCAGCACAAAACCCTGCTTGGTACTCTACAATTACAATCAAAATCTCTGCTCCTGGGACACAAGATGGCACGCACGCACGCACAAGGACTTGCACGCACATGGACTCGCAAACCCTCACGCGCACGCGGCACGCTCCTCCACGCGCCCTACAAGGTGCCAGTGATCTTGCGCTCAACATTGACATGGTCCACACTTGCGGGATTCTTGCAGGCACGGTCTTTGCGCGAGCTGATAGGATTTGAAAGTCTTCTACGAGCCTACTACTTGGAGTATGCCAAGCAGCAAACTTTGGACTGAGCGATACTGAGCGACAGAATCATGCCACGACATCACAAGTTTCCAAAGCTTGCACTGGCATACCGCAGGACCCGTCTGGCCTGGGAACTTCCGGGAACGGCGTGCAGTCAGAGCCTACGCACAGCTCCGACACATCTGCACACAATCAGGCATCGTCGAACCTGGAACCGGAATGGCGTATCGCTTTCCGATTGAATTCAGCCATGCTGCTGATGGGTGGCAGCCAAACGGGGCATCAACACTTCCAGTGGTTGGGTTGCAGATAAGCTGCACATCAGCTGCCATGCAGCTCTGGCGCGTCTTGCAGTCCAAATAACTTCATTTAAAAAAGTTGAAGGCAAAGACCATCCAATACACACTTTGAGGCCAAGCACTGTGGCATGTCTTCTCATAAGTTGTGCTGGAAAGTCTGTGAAGGCTGTGCCACAGGGCTCCCTGATGAACCTGCAATGACCCTCGTAGTTGGAAGAACATTACTGTCACAGCAAAGCCGAAGCTGTGCCAGGCTCATGTCGGTGCCCTCTGAGCAACGCTGTAAAGTGCTAAGAAACATTCAGAAACAACAAAGTTCATCTCGGCAGTCAGCTCTCCACGTGTTGATTGGAGCCACTGGAGTCTGTTGTCGGAACTGCACAGGACGTTCCAAAGTCTCAAGATAGGCAAATGACACAATCGAGATTTCTTTGCTGCAGTTGGCACAGATTGGCACAGCAAATGCCCAGCTTCGTTCGGGGCTTGGGGTCCAACACAAAGGAGTGTTCGCGCGCCAATGCACAGGCTCAAGACTCAAGGCCAAAGCCCGCTCCTGCAACGTGCAACGTGCGCCTGAGTATCGACCAAGTAGGCAGAAGAGGACGGAGACAAGCCATGCCAGCATCAGCGCACCTGATGTTTCTGCAAAACCTGTGACACAGCCACACAGCGACACTCAATCAACCCCCGGCCTAGCAACCCACTGCGCATCGCAGAAATCACAAGCGGTACTGGCCCTGCACGGAAGTGTCTTCCATTGGCGGGGAGGTTGGACTATTGGACTGAGTCGATGCACAGCGCAACAGCCCACAGGCACCTTCCAAGCCACTAGCAGCCTCTGCCGAAAACCCTGTGCGTTCTTGAAATACAAGCAGCGCCGACCTTGGACAGGCAGTGACTCTGCAAGTCCAGGTGTATACAGTGTATACCTGTCTGAGTGCCGCGCAAAGAAGCCAGCAGCAAGGCCTCCAGAAGAGGTCCAGGTTTCAGATCTTGACCACTCGGTTGACATATGTTGACATGCTTTGACAAGCAAAGTGGAACCATCTTGTCAGAACGCCTGAAGAGATTGCCCTCAAACCCTAGCAGATCCATTTCCGAGCCAACACCCGACATGATGACAGGGCTATGATATGTTGTGATGTTTTTGCCGTCAATTGTAAGGCCTGCCGAAAGTGGCTTCTGACGAAGCTGGACCTAAGGAGTGACATGGAGTGATTCAGCGTGCTGAGGAGTTGCCGAGAAATTGCTGACGGCTGAGAGCCCTCTCTAAAAGACCCGGGCGGGACGGCATTCTTGTCGGTGATGCCGCAAACAAGCCTGAGAAACTAAGATTGCGCGAGTATTGGCGGATCGTGATTCTCGCCTTCTCTGCTCACGTGCTGTGTTGCTGTGTTGCGCACCAACTGGCTGCCGTGAGCGCTCCCAGCGGTGATGACACAGGCGCGGTCAGAATCATGAGTATGGTCCACCTCAGGAACACTGTCGCGTGGCCGGTGCATCAGCGGGCATGAGAAGAAGAAGAAGAAGAAGAAGAAGAAGAAGAGGAAGACTCTGAGGACTTCGATTGAGTCACAGGCAGACTTGCTGCACCTTGGCAGTCCAGAAATTGCAACGAGGACGACCCACGGGGGCCCACGGGACCCAAGTGCCTAAGGGTCAGACCACCTCCGCGTCCAGCAACTGCTGGAGCCAATAATCGCAAAGCTCCTCTTGTCTCTGATTGGACTCCGAGGGCTTGGGGATCCTGGGAATCGTGCCCTCTAGTCCTGCCAAAGGAAGAAGGTACCCAAGCGCAGCCATGCTCCGCTGTAGGGCACTTGGCCTGGGGACATCCAAGAATCCAAGAATCTGCAGATATCCATAAGCATTCTATAAGCATCTTTACAATACAACACGCTTCGGGATGCTTCGAGCAGTCTCTCGAGCTTAGACCCGCGCCTCTGCTTCGAGGGCTGTGGCAGAAGTCCTCAGAAGCCCCCAAAACCCACACTAAAATCAAGCCAAGAGTCTACTACCTGCAGTAGAACAGTACCTCTTCAGTAGCTGACAACATGCCCTCCGCTCAAGCTTGGGCTTCTTCGCTGCGTGATGACCAGAATCGAGTCTGGCTTCTTTGTGTGCACAAAGTATGAATCAGTATGAGTCAGTATGAAGCCTTGATTTCTTGCCGAGCTTTTCTCTGGGGTTTTCTTTCTTCCTTTCGCTGGGGCTTCGGGGAAACTCCCCGTACGGACGCACCCCCCTCTTCCGCGCCTCCGCCAAAGTTTGTACTGGGGTTGTTTCTCTCTTTCTCGCAAGAAGTTCATGTTTGAGCGAATCCGTGTAGCTCGGGCAGATTCTTGACCTTCCTGACTCGTAGGTGGGTTTGACTCGGTTTGACATTCGCAAGTCCTGCCAATCTCGGACGACTCCATCGCCACAGCCTCTGGCCACCAAGTAGCTGCAAAGATGCTGCAAGCTGTAACATGCTGAAACATTGCTGTGGCCCACGTGTGAGTTCGGCGGTCAAGAAAAAAACGAAACCTGTCCTGCCTGACAGCGTTAGCATCACTTGACAATCATCGACACTTTGACCATGCTGAACTGTCTTCGAAACGTTTGCACTTCTCTAAGATCTGTCATGCATCTCAACAGTAATATTGACTGAGGCAGTTGTAACACTTGAGCTTTGCTCCCCGCGCGCCTGCGGTGCGGTTTGAAATATGCTGCAATGTATGCATTGAACCTCACCGATAGCGTTCATGCTCATGTATGCTCATGCTGGCTCATGCTGCCACGAAATCTGTGCATGACACTGGGTGCCCAACTGTCTCGTAAACTCAGGATCCACATCCCTGAACAGGATCATTCAAACTTCCAGTTGTGTGAGAAATCGGTTTTAGCCCTCTCCGTGCCAGCCATGGGATGGCCACCTGTCATTCGGAGCCCTGGAAGCACTGCTCTGAGCACCATCATCTTCCTCCTCGGCGAAACACACGCAAATGCCTCTTATTTTGCGTAGTGGATGGGCAAGAGCATCACGAATCAAGGCGCCGGCTCCGGACGATTCTCCAGCTGCTGCTTTGCCTTGCTGCGAGCTGCATGCACGGCGCACACCTCGGCCAGAGCTCAGTTTCTGTATGTTTCGGTGATCTTTAAAGTGGACTTGCCCGAAGCCCGGTTCGTTGTGCGGTGGGCCCCCATGGGGCCCCATACCAAATTGACCACACATGTAACAAGCTGCAACGCTTGCGGCGGCGTGCAGAAAGAAGTCGCAGACTGCTCCTTCTCCTTTACTTTAGCGCCCCTGCCTCTCCTCCCTAGTATCGTGGGATATCATTGGGCAACATGTGGCTGGATGTGGCAAGGTTGTCGTGAAATTGGTCGTTTTGAGGGCCACAGCTGCTGCTACACTGGAGAACACTTCTTAAAGCACACGGCACACATCGGCACACATCGGCACACTGCACACTCGAAGTTCTAGCGTTCCATCAAAGTCCTTAGCGGCTTAGCGCTCGGGGGTTGGGGATCGGCAACCGCAGCCACCTCGACGCAGAAGACACGAACAGCATGTGCTCAGAGCTATCCTCTGTACCTGCAGAGTGCAGTCGACGACACTGACAAGATATGAAAGGACGCAACCCAAATCCTGGAGCGCACTAAATGAGCTTGACCTCCTTTATGCACATCCTCGCCTGAGATGCCGATGCTGTGCAGGTAGGGCGCAGCAGTTGAAGCTTGAACGCTTACACCGCTTGTCCCTGTGCTGTGCCTGCCCCGATGTTCCGTGCCACCGGGCGTGGCCAGTTTTCAACTCGAGACGCCTTCAAGGGAACCGCGAAGCGCAAGAGGGACGAGTGAAATGAACTGGCGACATTAACTTGAGAAGGGGCTACGAAAGCTAGTCACCGCAGGGGGGTGGCATGCAGCGAGTCGGGGTTTAGGGTTTAGGGTTTCACGGCTCCCCCAAGTTTGATGGCGTGCACATGCAGAATGGGTATCGCTGCTCCAAGCTGCAGCTTCAGTCTCGAATGCATGTTTGAGCAGCTGTTAACAAGCACGATTGAGTCCATGTAGAGACTCAACCGGTTAATCAGGTAAGATCGAAGACCCCTAAACTCGAAATCTGAAGCCCTAAACTCCTTCAGCCCCCTTGCTTCCCCCGCTGGAACCCCGTGTCGCAAACGAAGTTTAGGTACAGGGACGCTCTGTTCAGTACGACCTCTGCAAAGTACCACAGACCTTCAGAGCATGGTGACTGTGGGGGGCGGGGGAGGACCTTGGGGGGGGGTGGGGGGGGACCTTGTGGGGGGGGGGGACCTGAAGGTGGTAGGGGGGGGGCCCCCCCCCCCCCCCTTATCCCACACGCAACCACCTTAAAGGGGGAGGGGGGGGGGGGGGGCGGCCGGCACCTATCCTTCGAAAAGGCTTCATGGTGAGGTGAGGGGGGGGGGGGGCCCCCCCCCCCACCCCCACCTTAAGTCTTGGGTTTCGGACCTGTTAAGGTGTGGAACCCTTTTTTTCCCTGGAAGCTTCTTAACAAGGTGAATACCAGTGCATGGGTAAACGACAACTCCCGCCAGCTCCACAGAGCTAGCTTTCGTGACAAGCCCAGCTGCACCCGACTGCATCCCAGATTGCACACACGAGCTTTGATGCCGGGAATCTCCGAGATTCTGACAGTCAAGCTGTGGCACCGCAGGGTCGGCGGCAGCCTTCGAAACTCTTTGAGTCATCGGGTTCCAGTGTGAGCGGCGCATGCTACATACAGCAGATGATGATACATGCGCACATGCACAGGCCTGGAAATCCCGTAAGCCATTGCTGTTGCACTGTTGCACTCGGGTGCACAAACACACATTCCATTCTCTACGCTTCTCGAGACAAACGGCCGATCAGAGACGCGCACCTTAGAATGCCAAGGTCTGCCAAAATCCCTGGGGGTGTGATGTGCACTAGGCCCTTTGACATGATGCCGAGCTGGCCTCCTCAGACGTGCAAGGCTTTCCAGCTCAGTCGCTTCCTGTGTGTTGAGACGGTTGAGACTGTTGGGTCGCCTTTTTTCATCTTGGTGCTCGTCCTCGACTTAAGCACCCATGTCTTCGGGCTTGGACGGGCCGGAGGCGTCAGGCGCCCCGTTTTGGTCGGTGAGCATCCTCAGCAATTGCAGAAGAAAGGTCGTGATTGAAGAGGCCGGGGCTGGCATGGTTTGCATGGTTTTGCCACGTCTGCGTCCAGCTCCCGGTTCATGGCGTCAGACTTTGAAGATGCTTGATATATGATACAGGCAGGTTTAGTGGTTTTGTCTTCTGCCGCGCTGGCTTCCAACGTTTATCGGTACGGTAAAGGCTGAAGAACGGCATAATTTACATACCTCAAGATAGCCTGAGGGCGCTGTAGCCAAGCCTGCTGGGGCCTCAGATCTGGTGAAAACTCCTCGGTGCGCAATCATGCCTGGACTTTCGTCAGCCGAGCTGTCAGGACAGGCTTTCGGACTGGAAGGCCAAACAAGCAAAACGGTCGGCCAAGCGCAGAGCTTTGGCTTGTAGCAATCTCTGAGGCCTCATGTGCGCCACTGCACAATCCACGCTGCGCCACATTGAAGTCGATTCAATGGTTGGCACGATCTTGGGTTCCTGCTTGTTCTTTTCTGGCCTTTGGCTTTTTCTGCAAAGATGCCCTCGGTGGTGACACCGACCTGCTGGACCCATTCACCCGATCAACTCGGCGGGATTGGGTATTGCAGCGTGCTGCACTGCTCAGTTTCCGGCGAGACCCTCTCCGACCACCAGAAACAGGTCAGTCACAGGAACAAAGGACCTGGCAGCCGACATGGGTTCACAAGACACTTCCAGGCACTTCCAGGAAGGTGCTAAGAGGATGCAAGAGTGCTGCAAGAGGCCCCCACCACTCTGGCGGGGTGGCCCCGGGCTCCAATGGCTCCAACCCTCGTGAAGTTGACATCTCCTACACGCGCACTTTCTGTCATGTTGGGCGACTACTCGAAAAAGACCATGATGTCACATGCCGTCCTTGCCATCCCATCCGAATGTCTTGGATGTTTGATGGTCAGCTCCTGAGTCAGAGCGTGAACACTGGCTTACAAAGTTTCCCTCACATCTGAAACAAATTTCAAAAAAGCCACACAGCATTCCACGCACTTCTTAGGTGCAATGGGTCCACACGCTCGGTGATTTTCTACAGTGTCGCGATCTTCTGCAACTCTGCGACTGCTGTCACACGTCTACACAGCTTCAGGGTGTGGTAGCAAAAGTGACACATCTTCCAAGGCTTGCTGGACCCACATCAAAGATTCTGGATGATACTGGTGATGCAAGGCTGAAATTCGCTGGGTTCGTTTCGGTGTGCAGGTGCTAAGTAACATAGCCTGGGAGGCATGCTTTCTTAAAACTCCCTCCGCCCAGTTCCGTTCCCCCGTCAAGTCGCCCCATGTCCACCTGAACATCCGGAAGAGAATACGAAACACAACTCTACATCCAGTCGTGCAAGCACCGTACTCTAACAATAAACTCTCTGCTTGCTTCGCTGGCCAAGGAGGCTCGGTGTTGATTCTTGATGACCACACAAGCCGTTCAATTGAGTACGCTCGGAGCTTTGGAGTTGAGAGGGCACTGAGAGGCCGGTGCCTTCACAGACCACAGACCCTGCCGAGCTTCTGAAGAGCCCAAGGAAGCGATTTGCCTCTGTCTCCTGCACCCATCTGACGATGTCCTGCACAGCGGACACCCAACAAGACTCGATGAGAGTCAGATGACAGTAGACCCATGACACAACGGATCACAACGGGCTCTGAAGACTCTGAAGACTCTGAAGCCTTCCACAGCAAGAGCCCCAGCTTCCTCACCTGGCAAAAAAGTGATCTCCCAGATGCTGAGGATCTCCCACTTGGACTCCCAATGATCTCTTCCAGCCTCCGTGTCCGTGAGGGGAATGGCAGCATCCTCGGAACTTTGCAACACGGTTACAACATGATTAAAAATCAAAAACCCGTGCGTTCTCAAAGAAATATTTAACAAAAAAGACTCAAGTGTTTCAGCACGAGAGGTGGCAGAGTTTGTCATACTTGGGGTGCAACGAAACCGCTTGGCAAGATGGCAGCCATGGCAGATCTCCACTTCCGTGCCCATTTGCAGGCACGCCAGCCAGTAGTTGGATGGACCTGAAACGAGCACGCATGCTCGAGGACTTTGACACTTCTCACTAAGCCACACCAACTCTTCCACCCTTCTTACCCTTTTCTGCACGAAGTGCTTGAACGGTTCTCACAACGACAAGTGTGAGTTCACAACTCAGCTGCAGTTAGTCACCCCCAAAAACCATCTGTTCATCAACGGAAGCCTCTAAGCCTTGAGGTTCGCACAGCAATGACCTCACGGGCGTCTCGCATCGGAGGAAGCTCTGCAGACTCCTCTGGTGCGGACTGTGCTGTGGATGTTGAAGATGAGCAAGTCAGCAAGGGTATGTCCCATGACTGGGATGGGAATACATGCGTGCAGGCTCCTCCGCCTGAGCTGGCCTCTGCCCATCCTCATCGCTGGTTGTCCAGCGAGCCTGCACAATTCACTTGACTGCAAGCAACTCTGATAGCGTCCAAAGCCTTTTTGGCTAGCATAGCGGCGCAAGGCGCGAAAGCACAAGTGTGCCTCCCAGGCCAAGTCTCTCTTTCGCTCGCGTTCCTGGGCAGAATGAGATCTCTGAGTTAAGCGGGATTAAGTTGGACTGTGACGATGTCTAAGCTGGTGGCAGCCATGGAGCCTCTACCACGGCCTAGAGGGAACAGAAAGGTGAAGTACACCGAAGTGCCATCGTGTGGCACTTAGTAACGGGCTTCGAATCGGGTTGCGTTCATACCAGTTGGTGTCATCCCGATGGCGCCGGCCATCATCAACCTGTACACCAAGTCACCAAGTGAACTTATTCGAAACATGGTGGAATGTTGTGGAATGTTCCAAGAACCTCTTCGTCATGCGAGGAGCGCCGGCTCTTTTTGTCGTCCCTGTGACGACGCCGACTTCGACTCCGACTCCTCTGAGGAAGACAAATTCGGGTTAATCTGGAGTTGATATGCCGGGTTCGAGTTCGCGTGCAAGATGTGCTTCCACGTGGTCCCCGCAGAGGAAAAAAAGTCCTTCTTCTGCTCTTGCTCCTGACAGGCAGGGCCAACCAGGGCTAACCCTGTCCTGACCTACTCGAGCTGTGTGGAGAATGGCAATACTCGATGGTGACTCCTGCTACGCTTGCCCTGCTCTGTCGGCACTTCCTGGAAAGAGATGGGAAAATTCGAAATCATCTGAACATCTCCAGGTTGCGAATATTTTCCCAACAACCCTAGTCCTATCGAGAGATTTGCTGGCACTGTGCTGACACTGTGGCCTCTGGAGGTGCTTCGACAGGCTCGCCGCTGCTGTCCCACACACGGGCGAGGATGGCCTGAAACGTACTAAAATTTACTAAAACGCTGCTGTGCTGTTCTCCTCTGGCGCGCCGTTGCGTGCCGTATCGAACCAGAGTCAAACGTCAGACTCTCCCTTCTGCCGGACAAAGCATGCCCTGGGTGTTTGGGTGGCTGCGCCAATTGCATCCGTGAGTGCAAGCCTGGCGAAGCTCGCGCCAAAGGCTCATTTCCGGAAAAGTCTGCATGATCTTCGGCCAGCCTCGCAAGTTTGCAAGCCAGGTTGAACAGGTGCGCTGAGGATCAGTTGTGTCCGCTGCCGTTTGAGGCTGCGCCAAGTGGCAACTGTGCATGATAACAATCTTTGCCAATGTCAAGCTCAGTCGCTGCCCCGCACACAGTCATTGAAGCGCTTCGCCTGTCAAAGCAAGCTGCTACGTGTCCGGGCCACAGCACTGCTGCCACATCGCCTCTGCCATGGCTGCCCTGTTGAGGAGGCACAAAAACTGTGCCCGGAAGCATTTCGGGGCCTTGCATCTAGGCAGGCTTCTGCCGTCAAGAAATTGTCCACGCAAAGATCCGTCAAGGTCCGAACACAGTCGTATGCTGTCCTGATAGGCACCTGGGCAACTCCGGTTAGATCTGGAACGCACTTGAGAACCTTCCGAAGCGGATACCCAAGAAGCTCACGCTGGCGTAAAGATCGAGCAAGTGCGTCTTCTCGAACCTTTCCGATGCCAGAAGCGAGCATCACGCCCCCACTAGGCTTTCACTTCCTTCACACGCAAAGCCATGGGAGTGGCACCACTCTGCCATCAGCGTCTGCATGTGACAGCTGTAGAACATTCGGGATGATCGCCTTGCATACGGACGTCACCTTTATTGAACTGCTAGAATCGACACAAAACCAAAAAGCCTTACGACAAATGCAGGCAAGCTGCTCAAACTTGACATGGGCTCGTCCCTGCACTCCCAGCACGATCCAGCATGTGCACAATATGCCGCCAAAACGACATGACACTGCAGCATGTGCCTGTCAAAGCGTGCAGGCATGGGCAACACTTGCTGCCATGTACGTGTAGATGCTGGTAGCATGGCCTGTGCCACGCTTGAAACTTCCCCCTCAGTCACTATGCCGCATACTGCACCTGAGATGCAGCAGCGAGAGTGACACAGCAATGTTGGCATTTCCCTGGCCACAAGCGTCTGAAAGGTCGGCACAAAGCAGCCGACTAGCTTCCGCAAATAAAGCCTGCAGACTTTGCCATTGCATCTCACATTGGCACTGACACGTGCGGATGACGCCGGCCTCCTGCGGTCTTTCGAGCATTGTCTCGGTGGCTGTGCCGCCCATGACGCCGACCTGGATGTCGTAACTTGTCCGCGAACTGAAAGATCGATGCCATGCGAAGTGAACAAAATGCATAGCTGCACCGGATACAGGTCTCCCGCGATGAGCTTCAAAGCGTGGCGTTGCTCTTGGAGTCCTTGCCGAAGTTCTTCGGATGCCTGCTTCAGGTGCGCTAAGCTGAACTGCCAAGCTGGTAGCCACGCATTAGCATCCGGGCCCGAAGCATGTGATGATGGAGACACTAGGGTTCAAAGAACTATGCACGTTGTGCAAACACAACTGTCTCTTCTAGAGGTTTTTTTGAGTTGGTTGACTGGGTGGGATCCAGATGTGCGCAAGCGTAGTGGAGCAGTGTAGCAGTGTTGGCAAAATCCACTTATCCTTCAGGCCCATCAGTTGCCCGACCGCCAACCCACCCCATGGTTGCCACCTGCAAGCCTCCAAGACTCGTTTAATGCCGCTGTAGAAGGCTCCGACTAAGCTACCTGGCCTGAAGCTCCCCAGCTACTGATATTGGAGAGACACGCCACGTTGTTGAACACGGGTTGATGGAAGGGTTGATGGTTATTCTGACAAGCGTGCACTAAGCCGCGAAGCTAGAGCTGCGAGCAGTTGATGGCACTTCCATTGCCTCCGAGAGTCTGTGGAAGGCAGCTTGAGCCTCAGAGAAGTGCGAAGAGAAAGAGTTGAGATACGCTGCATGGCAGCGTGCTCGATGGCACATATGGCACATATGGCACCCCTACGTGACCTCTGCGTAAGTCCTGAAAAGGCACTCGTTTAGAGTGCCTTTAGAACATAGGAAAACCTAGTGATACATCATGCACCGGTCAGCTAGTCAGTTTAGACTATGCTTGGTCGATAGGATGACTGTCCAGTAGCACCATTGAAACCAGGCTTCTGAAAAGCAGGAATGCCCGAAGCGCCGGAGGAAAAGCATTCTGCAGAAGTACCCAACAGATCCCAACAGCCCCAAAACAGAAACTCTTCTAAATAGACCATTGATTGCGCTGGTGGAAAAATCAGTCAAGCAGCCTTCTCCCCCAGGTCTGGGTTCTTGTCTGGGTGGAGAGCTCGAGAAAGCTGCCAGACAAGGCTTCTCGACTTGCTTCAGCCACTTGTGCTGGAGAGTAGGAAGAAAAAACATAACAACAAAAACACACATTATACTGTTTAAGTCATTTCCTCAGTCCAGGGGTTCTGCATGGTTCTGCCTGGCGGTACGCATAGGCAACGTCGGACTCCCCGTAGCCACCAAGGTGAGCACCACCGAGTCGCAGCACGGCTCCAGCGAAGGGAACTCGACCATCCTCTAGCCCACTGGCCCAAGCACCAGGTGCTACAATCCACCCTTCGGCTTGTACCCGGCCTCTGGACAAATTCTTACCACCTCATCCGATGGCAATCCCACCAGGATCTTCTGCTCCTTGTGGGCATCCGCCACCTGGCAGAATCTTCCGTTGCTTCCCGTGACTTCGGAAAGCTCGCGCGGAATTTCACCTCCAACTCTAAGTCTTAGGCCGACTCGCGGAGCCGACGTCGAATGACTGCATCTGCAAACCTCAAACGAAAGACAGAAACCCAGTGTGTAGTCTGCAGATATTACAGACTCCCCTCCCCCCCCCTTGGCAGTGGCTGTTCCGAAGATGCCTAAGCTCGACACCATGGTTCGTCACCACAGACCTCCACGCCGTCTAGTCGGACTATAGCGACCCCCTGGCAGCATGGCTGAGATCTCACTGCCCCCGTGCTGATCTTCACCGACTGCTGAGCCGCTGAGCTACTCGCCACATCTGAAGGCGGTGGTGGCGGCGCAGGTGGCTGCGGTGGAGGAGGTATGTGGCCGGGCACCTGGGGCACTCATTGGCAAACTTCATGCTCTTCGCCGGGAGAACGTGAATTTTGCCTGAACTCCGGCAGTGGGAGCAGGTGGCGCTGCACCTCACAGAACTTGGCTCTAAGCTGGGTACATGGTATGGATCATGCTCACCTGCCTTGTTTGGCCAGAGGCTTTGTGGCTTGCTCAACCTTCTGGGCCTGGAAGCTGCGAGCAGAATCGCTTCAACAGCTGCGAAGCAGTGAGGATTCTCCGTTTTGGATTGTCCACATGTGTCCACTGCTTGAGGTGCCTTCAGCCGTTCCAAGATCTTCTGCTTTACAGCGGGAAGCTTGGCTTTGCGAGCGGCCTCAGGCAGACCTGAGAAAACTTACACAGTTGAACTGCGTCTCTGCTGCAGCAATTCGGCTCAGCTCTGCCTTTTTAAGTTCTGCCTTTTTGGGACTTCTCGAGCATGACTGCACGACTCAGGGCAATGCTTGCAGGAAGTGCCTTTTCAGCCATCTCCTTCAAAGTTGACGTTGCAAATCCGTAAAGAATGGAGCACGGGGGGCAATGTGGGCTGTTGGTGTGGGCTCATGCGCGTGTTAGTTGGCGATGGGCAGAGCTCACATTGGTGCTGGTCATTCTTTACTTGTCCACTGCTGTTCATCTTTGTTGCTGATATGTGCGGATCTGAGTAATAGTACCGAACATGATGCGTCTGCATCAGAGTTGCTTGCAGTGCCCATCGGTTGTCGGGCAATTTTTTGCGCCGTCGTTACTTCGAGGCTTAGCACTGGCACTGCCTGGGGTCTGAGTTTGGAGTTGGAGGACGTGAACCTTAAGGGCTTAAGGTTCCGGAGTTGTGCCCTTGTGGCTCTGTTGATGATCGCACTGCCTAGGGCCTGCCAGTCTTGTGGGGGTTTGAGGTTTGGATTGGTCTGTGACTTTTTGAGATTTGTGGGCCAGGAGTGCAGGGTTAAGAAGGAGCGGTTTAAGGGTACACGCTTGGCACTCTTGAGGGCGTTGAATACTTGAATATTTGAGGCGAGAGAACGAAAAGAGGTGGCCTGGGCCTGCTTCTCCAACTCATCGGCTCCCTGCACATGGGTAATAGGTGAAGCACGCTGAAGCATTTTGGAACATTTTGGATGCATTTGGAGCTTCAGCCCCGCTCGAGGATCCGGCATCTGCCATGATGCCCTGCCGGCGCCTGGGGCAACGAGCAACGCTCGAACAAACAGCTGCACCGCACAACCCACGCAGCCTCGGCTGTAGCTCGTCAACAGCACCCTGCACAGCTGCATCTGTAATGACAGGCAACAATGACAGATTCAATAGTTTCATGGGCGCTTTGATCAGACTTGCGCATGGCCTGCTGCGTCACCCGGTGAAGGCATCATGATTGAGTGGCTTGTTCATGATATTAATATGATAGTAGAACGGCGTCTAGGACCTCCTCACACCACATTCGTTGGCTATCCTCTTCAAGAGCACAACCTGTACTTCCTGTAGCACACCTGATCACCCTACTGTTGCCATTGGACATCAGACGTCTCTGACGAGGGTTCTTATTCCCGATATGCTGCAAGCAGAACCCATGAACTTGAGCATTCATGCCAGCCATTGCCAACTGCTGCAGCGCTTGCAACGCAAGTTCGTAAGAGCAAAGTGCAATAACAGCAATCTTGACCGATGTACAACCTGACAGTTTACAGGAAAGCCGCGAACCGAAACGCAAACAGGAAACGAACCGCCAGGAACCGCACGCACAAAGGAACCGTGTGGGCGGAAGCCCCGGTGTGATGAGTAGAGTGTCATGCCACCAGCACCCCACATCCCTCGTCTTCATGTGAAGCAACACCAAAGACCCGGCTGCCTTCAGGACTCACAGGTTCCTCTCCTATCCTCTCTCGGGGTGACTGTGCGTATCCTGCAGAGGGCGTCAGCCATAACAAGGTTAAACCTGAAAGTATTTGTTGCCATCGAAAGCAAGGGCGTTCTCCAGGGGCGGCAGAAGTCCCCAGACGAACATAGTGGTCGAAACCAAAACGGCAGCTCCGCGCCTTGTGTGCTGGCGCTACATAGTCCGCCACGAACATGTGAATTTGCAGGAAAAAGCTGCTTTTCCTCTTGTTGCTGCCCCAAAAAACTCCCAATTTGAAAGCCAAAGCATCTAAGCACCTCCTCTGAACTCCTCTGCACCTCTCTGGGGCGTTGTGTTGCCTACCGAGCTTGGAGGCCGAGCGCACACTGATTGTGAACCGGCTTGATTGAGATGGGGGGGCTGAATGTGTGGATGTGTGGTTCACGCTTGGCAACTAGCAGACTGCCCTGGAGGGCACCTCTTGGGGACGAGCCCTGATCGAAACTAATTACACGAAGATGGCAAACAGTCCTGCCCTTGTCTCTGTCTGCCTGCTGGGCACGATTCTTGGTGGCGGGCCGAAGTAAACAAAGCCTTCCTGAGCGATTGGCCCAAACTTCGTTTCTGCATCGTTGTTGCGCAGTTGGCTGTTCGTTGTTTCTTGTCGCCTCGTGAGTGCTGGGGTTGACACTTTAAGCCTTCGGGCCGGATGTGTTGCACGCGCTGGGCCAGGCATGTACATCCAGGCGGTGCGTGCCGCGGTCGAGGATGCACCAACTCACTCACCTCGCTCCTCTGGACTGACTGGGTTCAAGGGGATCTGTCTCGCTGGACGGACTTTCATGATATCGTCAGCAGCAAATGCTATTCTTGGCACAGTGTACATTTTGCAAGAACCAGATACGATGATACCACGTCATGTACGCCACATTTCGCACAATTCCCGACGTGAAGACTACTTGACATGCCATCCAGCTTCGACAGCTTGCAGGCCTTCAACAAAGGCCGACCTTCAAAGCCTGTTCCTTTTGCGCCGGCCGATGAACTCGTTAGAGCGAATCGAGGCTGCTAACAGAGGAACTAGCACAAGGGTTCTTCACCGTGGCGCCAATCAACCTGAACTAGGCGAAGCCACTAAGCTAGGTTCGAGCTGTGCATCTGCCTACCAGGACCATGACTCTTTGAGCATTGTGGACGAGCTAGATATCATCCCGCCTCGCCAGTGCAGGTGGAAAAAATGCACAAGCCTCGATGCCCACTAGTAGCCAGCACTTGCTGGCTAGAGCTGACGAGATGTCAGGCTTCGGGTTGCAGCTGGGAGCATTGCTTCCATGCAGACCCGGACCCTGTGAGAAAATCCTCCACAAATCTGGGCTAAGTCAGCTGGTGATGACCCTCTGCTTGCGGCAAGAGGGCAGAGAATAGACGTCAAGAGCGTCTGAAGTACTTCGCAGGATGTTGAGAATACGAAGGTTTGCCCATGCCACTTCCACATTGAAGATCACCATCGAGCTGCTTGCCGCCCGTCCTCTCATGCTTGAGTCAAAAGCCACAGGCCTGAGCAAAGGGCCCGCATGAGAAAGCTGAGAGACATCTGATTTCAGACTTAATTGAACAATTCCTGCAGAAATGAGAGCCTCCTGTGCTAGCAGCGAGCTAGCTTGACACGAGGCTTCGAAAAGAACTCCGATAACTTGGACTGTGTCCAAGGCTTCACAGCAAGAGACTCCACATACATACACACATGCACACCCACACTCACGCGCGCACACACACACAGACACACGCGCACGCACGCATACACACGCGCGCACGCACGCACGCGCACACTTACATAGACGCACATACACATACACATACACATACACATACCCATACCCATACCCATACCCATACACATACACACACAGAGAGACACAAATATACACACATGCATACATCCATCCATACATTCATACATACACTCCTACAATCATACCCGATACTACGCACACACACACACACACATACGCACACCTACATACACAGGCTTGCATACGTACGTACGTACATACGTTCGTGCATGCACACATGCACACATGTACATACATACATACATACGTACATACAGACATACATATACATATGCGCACATACGTACATGTGCGCACAGACGTACATGTGCGCACAGACGTACATGTGCGCACAGACGTACATGTGCGCACAGACGTACATGTGCGCACAGACGTAATTCATGCAGACATACGTACATACATTAATTATGTGCAGATGTACATACGTACATGAGTACATATGTGGTTGCAAACGTACATGCATGCGTACAAACGTACATAAATCGTATACATGCGCACATGAATACATCACATTGCATGTTGCTATGTAACGCTACATTGCATTACACACATACATCTATATCTATATGTGTACTAAATAAGAATAAAAATATAGGCATGTATATGTATAGTAACATATTTACACACACATACTTACTTCCATAGACATACTTGAAAAAGGCCGATGGCCTCTTTATCTGTTTCCCCTATACCTTAACATAGCCCCTCGATACCCTAGTAAGAACCACCCCTGCAAAACATAAGCCCTACTTAAAGAGACCACCAATCAATATAAGACATACTTGCATACTTAGTCTACATGACTGCTTGACATGCTGCTGCTGCCGGAGTTTCATGGAAAAAGAGTCGACGTGCAAGAGCTGCGGTGTTTGCCAAAACCTCTTGTAGCTTTGGCGATGTCCGCAGACTGCTCTCTCATGATTACGAATGCTTCTTTCCATCCTTGACCCTCAGATGATCTCAGACTCAAGTGAAGATGTACATGCCGTCGTTGCCTTCTGCCTGACACAAGTGGGGTAAAAGGTTGGTGTAGGCATGTGTCGCGTACGCTCGACGTCACCTTTTGCACAGCGGTGCAGCGGGAGGAGATTCGCCACAACGCCTTGCAATCGGCAGCCAGCTGCAATCGGCAGTCAAGGTGAGATTCGGTGAACCCAGCCTTGTGGATCGGAGTAGGGTCATACAAGTACAAGTCCGGGAACTTCTCCTGTAAGGGCAACCGCCAAAGCAACACGACATACAACTACTCAACTAGACAACATCCGTCGCTTCATTTTAGGTCGCCAGTAGCCATGCACACGGCTCCTTAAGAGCTTCAGTCGCCTTCTTCGCCTTTCTGCAGAGCAGCGGCACAGCAACACGCCTTCCTAGGCACGTAGTGTATCCTGTTTGCATCCTCTTCCCTGAACAGCCTTACACTCAGACTGCACGGGAGCCATAAGGAATCACAGGTCAGGGGCAGCAAGCAGGCTCATTCCACTGTATCGAAGACCATCATCCCTCGCCGCCTTGTAAAATGGGATGGCAGAGCAGACGTGGTGGGCCACGTGCGTAGAGCCGATCCTGAAGAAGTCAGGAGAGTCACTGATCCAGCGACAACTGTGGGGCGACTTCTTTCACCACTTGCGCCTGTGGTGAATGTAGTCCAACACTGGGCCTGGGTTTGCACACTGAGTCGCACCGTGCAGTAGCCTTCCGCCTGTGGCAATTCTACCGGCTACAAACTTGTGAATTCGTGTAAGGAGAATCTGTGTCGGGCGGGTCAAAGATGTCACTAGCTCTAGGGCGCCAGCCATAGGGCCGATCGACAGTGTGGAATGCACCCTTGACCCAAGTCCAATTATCCTGGCAGCCAGCGCAACGAGCAGCTGGGACACCAAGCGTCAAAGAAAAAACGTAGCAAAGGAGGTTACAACACGACCAGAAAAAAGGCATATCCAAAAATGGCCGTTGGCTTCATGGCGAGCCCTCAGCCGGCAGACTAACTTGAGAGGCCCCCTGATGAATGCTCCTCTATTCAGGACCTTTGGGTTCGAGGTGTCCGGAGGTAACTGAGAGTCATGTACCAGTTTCCCCCAAGGACTAAATTGACCAAAACGACCGCTAAAGCTCCGATGGAGCTCGCTCTCGTGACTGTTTTGCATTCCGATTCTGACAACTATCATCACTCCTCATCAAAGTGCGGAATGTCAACATCGGTGTGCTGAAGCCAGGTGTAAAGCACCAGCCAGCAGTTTGTCACCTTGGACGAAACATGTGTAAAGGACCAGAAATGCCAGTGACTGCTCCCAAATCCCGCCCTCTTTCATTCTAAACTTGCGCCCATACAGTCATGACCGAGAGGCAGCGCAGATGACTAAGCTACTGGCCATCAGCGGTGCAAGGTACAGCGCAAAGACCGGCATAAATCCACTGGTCTTTGCCTGCACTGTTCGCAATGCTCACGTGCCACTCACATTACTGAAGCAGTAAGGTCGAAGCCCACCACATCACGAGGGCAGCCATTCCAACGATGCCCACATCTGAGAGCAGCACCTCCACCAGGACTCCATCAGGACTCTACCAGCATTGCTGAGCTCAGATCTACATTTTGTCTAATTTCACGGTCGGTGCATTCAAACATGAAGTCCACCGAAGGCCTTCGACTTCCAGCTTTTGGGGAACAGATCCTTCTTGCCGTTTCGGAAGGGCGGGAAAGGCCTTCGTCTCATGTGCGTGCCATGAACCCATCACCTACGTGCTCTGAATCTGAAAAGCCTATTGACAAATTGACCTGTTCTGAGCAAAGTGGCCACAAGTGGTTCGTGTTGCCATAAGCTGGGCCACCCGTGGCACCAGCAAGGATGTACCTCACCCCACACGGTCTGAGCCAGGATTCTGCAAGTTATGCCGTGCCAGGGCTCCCACGCAGGCCAGCCAAGCACGAGGTGCGTAATCATCCGGGTCATCGCAACTGAGCTCTGACCTGAGAATCTACACTCTACCAGCAGCACTGCCTGCCTCGCTTGATTCCTGGGACCCCACCGCTGCCTCAGGCCTTCTGCACTTTTTGGCTGAGCGCTCAGCCAAACCACTTGGCCAAATTCTTGTACTTGTTGGTGGATCCTTTCTGCAACCTGAATTGTCACCCTAGTCAGTCAGTGACTCCAGCATACTCCAGCAAGCCCTTCCTCACCACATTCGTAAAGCTAACGCCAATGGACTACGCACATGTGACAGCTCAGGTGCACCCGGCCTTGGGACATGCGTTTCGCCTTCGGTCATATGATTTGTCTTGGAGTGGTGAACGGCGTGAGATCGCTGCCAAGAGAAATACGGCACCTCAGAACACCCAAAATCCACACTTTTGAGTTCACTATCCGAACTGCTGCTCACAGCATCTCTCGAACAAATTGGAAAACTGTCTCCTTAAGCTGTGTGGGCGCACCATCAAGGCCGTGTGCAACACCTAGGGGATGCCAAGAGGCCCATGGACATGCGCAAGCGGAGCAGCGACACCCTCAAATGAATCCCCCAGAGGTGCGCACGTATCCAACCAGAGTTTGCAGCCATTGCTCGTTGCAAAACGCGTTGTGGCCACACTCATGACCTTAACCGAACGGTCCGATCAAAGCTACTGTGCTGTCAGCAGAGTCAACACCCTGTGAAAAGAATACAAACGAAAGCAAACAAATCTACATTTTGGGGCGCAGGGAGCTTTTCGTGTGCTTGTGACACGCAGCGACGGCAGCATATCTTCGTAGCATTTCTAGGGCCGAGGGCGCGGCCAATGACCCAAGGCCCCGTGGCCAGAGTGCCCTGCACCACAGCGTAGAGCAGCCACACGGGGATAAAGGCCGCCGTCCTGTCGCTGACGTCGCACTCAGTGCTGCTGCTCACTCTGCTCTTCGGGCCCAGACATCGGGATGTACTTCCAGGCAAGATAGCCGCAGAAAAGCACCTGCATCGGACAGAGACATGCGGAAACAAACCAAAAAAGTGCCCAAGGCGCGCTGACCCTCGAAATTGGCGGTTGGGGGCCGGGGCCTAGGTCTAAGCTCTGCCTACCCGCCTGACCAGCCCCAGCCCGTGTCCCCCCCATCGTTAGTCTTCGTGGGGTTTCTGAACCGGGTCGAGGCGGTCCACACGCAGCGTCTACAAGAAACCAAACAGTGCGAACCTGTATAAGATGTTCTTTTCAAGGCCTGGAGAGTTGACACCGCGGCATGTGCCAGTGACCGTCCTGTCCTTGGTTTCTACATGCCAAGGTCGGCCAGCTTGCCGTACTTAACATGTCACGAAGCCCTCTGAGGTCCTGGCTCTTTGACCAGGCAATCCTTTGGAATTGCCTTCAACACTTCCCCCTTGCTTGGCCACTGCCTTGCAGGTTACGACAAGGCCAAGACTCAACTGTAGATCATTACCCCATTGCTTGAAACAGATATCCGCAGAACATCACAGAACATTCACTCATTTGTGGGAACCGACTCTGCAGAATGCACGAACTGACAAACGGCATAAACACAGTGGGTGGGCGGTCGCGCAAGGATTGATCAGCAATGCGCTCTGACAGGAAAGACTCGAATGTCACTGAAGCACGGCGGCCTCTGATGTGGTACAAGGCAGTAAGACCCGCGCTTATTCTGCCTCAACGCAGCTCCTTGCAGACCTCCCCGCTCCAGAGCCTTCCTCAAAGACGCCAGTCACATGACACGTACACGACGGTTGTCAAGCGTAGCAAGTCGAAAGCTGCCATGCGGGTCTAATCATTTTTGAGCTAGAGCCGAAGGACGAAACGACAGTGGCCATGAATGGCTCACTGCATGGATAGTTCGTCAATCTGCAACAAGGCCCCTGGCTCGACTCTGCCTTTGAGCTCATTATTCCCATCGACCTTCCAGCCTGCTGCACGATGGAGAACGGAGTCCAACTACAGACAATCACACAAACACATACACATCAACACAGACACAGAGACGCTTATGGGCCCTGCCCCCCCCTGTAATATCCCACTCAGTTTCGCAATCACTTCTTGGAAGGTCTCATCTTCGTGCTGCAACAGATACACACACGTATACGCAAATAATGTATTATATATATATATATTACTACACATATGCCTATATGCACATGACACAAACACGCACGCACGCACGCGCGCACGCGCGCACGCGCGCACGCGCGCACGCGCGCACGCGGCGCGCGCGCGCGCGCGCGCGCGCGCGCGCACGCACGCACGCACGCACGCACGCACGAACGCTCGCACGCACGCACGCACGCACGCACACGCACGCACACGCACGCACATACACGCACATACACGCACAGACACGCACAGACGCACACGCACACGGGCACACGCACACACGCACCACCCACCCACACACACACACACACACACACACACACACACACACACACACACACACACACACACACACACACACAGACACACACACACACACACACACACAGAGACAGAGAAACAGACAGATATATATATATATATATATATATATATATTCATATGTACATATATACATTTTTATATGATTACACACATATGTAGAAAACCGCAGAAGACACACATGAAAAACAGGAAGTGTTGATGCCGTTCGTTTCTTGCAGCACCATTGAAGTTAAAAGGTGCACATATAAGATCACAATCACATTGGCATGGCAACGACAATGTCTTCTTCAACTTTTTAGACAACTTTTTGGGCTTCCATTTGGCTGTCGATTGGTATGGGCGAGAAACACAACTTCGAGTATCATTTCAAGATATGCTTCATTGAGACTTCTAATTAGTAGTCTTCACTCAGAATGCAACAGCAGCACGGCTATCAACTTTCGATTAAAAAGAAAACGAGAATACTGGTGGCAAACTTCAATTTGCGACGTCTACGATACTCGAGGCCGCTGGTTAGGATGCCAAAACATCACAGTTTTGAACGGCGGGCGGTTGTGTTATTACTTGTTACATTCAGTTTTCATGTTGAAGTTTCTAGTAGAACGCAATCTATGACATGAAGACAGGCAAGAGATGTAGTCGCGTAGTGGAAGGCGTAAGACTGCGCCAACAAAATGTCGTCAACTCGTGTCTGTAAAGAAGGAGTTTTTTCCATGTCGCTCGGATGCAAGCAGCTCACGAAAAGCCGGGTTCACGTCAGTGGACACGAAAGACCTCGTGAGAGTAGTCCTCTAAGGTAAGGTATTGGGGCAGTTTATCTGGGGAGGTGGGGGGGGGTCGGAATTCGGAATTTATTCCTAATAGGGTTTGGGGCGGAGGGGGGGGACCCCCCTTCAAACACAAAAAAAGAAAATGCACCTACTTACTTGTAACTATGCGTTCCTGCAGCGGTGATGTTGTGGCTCTGTGTTTTCGCTCCTTCCTGAACGTGAGTGAACTGCACGTGGGCTCCTTCTGGGCATTTTAGAGGCGGCGCCTAGAGGGCGGGAGAACCCAGCCAGGACTCGCGGGAGAAATAGGAAGAAAGAGGGAGGGGGGGGGGGGGGGGGGGGAAGGAAACCCTGCGCTGGGCCGGTTTTCATGTTGCGGGGGGGGGGGGGGGGTTTTTATTCCTAGTTCGCGGTGCCGGGCAAGGCCCATGGGCTCTTTCTTGCGAATCCCTTGATCCCTAGAGGCGGAGTCCTCGTCCGGGAGACTCCCGCAAGGCCCCAAACAGGAATAGACAGGGGGGGGCGGGGGTGAAGGAAACACTGCCCTGCGTGAGGTTTTCGTGGTTGGGGGCACCCGTTTTATTCTTAATTCGCGGTGCCGGGAAAGGCCCGTGGGCTCTTTCTTGCCCTAGAGGCGGAGTCCTAGACAATCTGGGAGCCCAAATAGGAATCAAGGGGGGGGGGGGGGGGTTGAAGGAAACGCTGCCCTGGGCGAGGTGTCATGAGTCATGACGGGGGGCCCCCATTTTATTCCTAATTCACTGTGCTGGGCAAGGCACGTGGGCTCCTGCGCCTTGGGGTTTTGGGTTTATGTGTTCGTGGCCTTAAATTTGCATGGCGCGGCTTCCCATGATCCCACATGTCTGCTGCACTGGGCAAGGCACTCACCACAACAGGACCAACCTCACACAGCAAGCAGCAGCGAACAGTCCATTAGTTTTTTTTCTGCGATGTTGGCTGCTTTATTCCTAATTCTCCCCTCCGCCCCTGCCCCCCCCCCCCGTTTTCCGGGATAGGAAAGAACTTCCTGGACCCCCCCCGCCCCCCAGCAACCAGAGATAGACTGGGGCAATGGTAAGGTGCAGAATCTGTGGCACACTCCTTGTTTACAATCGTATATTATGAACGAGATTTGTGCCGATATTTGTGGTGCTTTCAATAGTTTTAGGGCCGCGGATACCGTCGTCAAAATCCGTCAAGGTTGGTCCTGGGGGCTGAAGGGCGGACCATGTAATAGGTATATGAGTATATGTACACACACACACACACCCGTTACCCTTTGGCCATTCCATGCCATTCCAAACTCTACTCCTCAGGTCCACGCCTAATGCTTCTGGGCTCAAATCCAGGGTGCTCACCTGACGGCCCAGAAGGTGACTGCTGGGACATGCGTGGTTCACCGATGGCCTGCGAACCAGCTTGACGTCTGCGCACACGTCTGAAGCCCTTCCTGGCCTCAGATTCTGCTCAGGCGCAATGACAACGAGACGACTTTGAGATGACTAGAGGAAAACAAGGCAGATACGAGCAGCAGCAGTGTCTCCATGGAACAAGCAAGCAGCTTCTTCGACCTATCGAAATGTATATTCCGGGGTACTGCCGCCAGCGCTGCAGCAGCGAGCCCAAGACGAAGCGGCCCTTTTGCGGGACGGTACTGGGACAGTGCGACTGTGAGGCGCTGGGCCGAGTCCATATGCACTGCAGTAATATTTGAATCTGGATTTGAATATTTCAATGTGCTTCTCTCAGGGGCCTCTCGGCTCCGGCTGGCTCGAAGGTGCTTGGCCTTTGAAGCGAGCAAACGCAAAAAAGACGTGTAACCGCTGTAACCGATGCAACCAGTCTAAGGCGTCTCGGACTCGTTTGGGACAGAGGTCGCCAGGTTGCGCACGACTGAGACGTTTTTGACTCTTCACTTCCCTCAACTCCCGCCTGAGAAAGAATGACTTGGGACCTTCGGCCGCTGCACGCGGGCTGCGGGCCGCACACCCTGACCTCGGAGGACAGAAAGCACAAGTGACTCATACGAGTATGCTGTATGACCATCTCTCTGAACATACGAACACGAAACAGAACAACTCTCGTCTGCTGACGCCAGCCGTCCCTGGCAATGCTCTACGCTCCCACTATCTCAGACTGCACTTAGGCGATTGCTCCTCGAGGTGGTGCACCTCGAATTCCGCAGGCAAAGAAGTCAACTTCACTCGGTCTTCGCTTTCCATCGAGCAGCATTAATGTGCTATCCTGCCCTGCACTATCTCGCACTCTTGCACGTAGAAAAGCGCGACCCTGCAAGCGGTAGCCGGGCCGAGAACGGCTGCGCAGCGTGACCTGCGACGAAGGCCAAATCCATCCTGGCGCAACAGTGAATTTGAAATCTCAACAACCTTCAGGGCCTTTCTGCAAACTAGTGGCCTGACTCCCCGTACAATGAGCTGTTGAAACACGACGGCACCAGCGGATCTTGGCTGAATGCCCTTGAGCTGTAAAGGAGACGGACAGGATGTGAAGACAATGTAACAATTATTTAACAATCCATAGTCTGCAGTGGGTAGCACACCTAATTCGTTGCTGGCGCTCATCTTGATACCCAGGTTTAAAGATGGCTAGTCTCCAGACGAGTTCAATGCGTTGCGATGCTCTGGGCATGCTAGGCAATCGCCACACTGCATCTCAAAGCCTCTGCCAAGCATAATTAGCCAGCAAGCATGGAAACACGACACAAGCTTTCATTGGTTTTGATTCTGGGACGCTAGTGCCGCTAGTGCTCGGGGTGGTGGCCCGCCAGCATCACCAGCCCTCTGGGCAGTAAGATGAAAACAGCGTCCCAATTTGTCTACAGTACAGTAACAGTACAGTAGCATGGGCGTCATACTTGAAGCTCAGCCGGTCTGGTTCAGCAAGGCATTGTGGTATTGTGGAAAAACCAGAAACCCGCGACACGTCGCGTCAATCTGCTCGATTTGGAGCAGAACGCGCGATCAGCCTCAGCCTGCAATCTGCAATCCTTCTTCGTTGAACATCCAGAAGGCTCACTTGTTTGTACCAACATGGCATGAGGCATCGATGTCGGTGCATTAACGCGCTGTCGATGCTCCCTGGTCCTCTTCAACCAAGGATGATCACCCCTATGCCTATGCCCTAAGGCCCTGTCCCTATCCATGGCTTTGAACCTTGAACCTTATTCGCCTGCGACTTTCAGATATCGTCTGACATAGTCAGATTCCTCTAGTAGCTCATCGGAGTGATCATCCTTGATTGCTGGCGCAGCCATGCCTGCTGCGGAGGTCACCCTCAGATTAGCAGAGCAACAGAGGCCGCTCCAGATCTCCTGAAGCATGTTTGCGAAGACACAAATAAAAAGACTTGCGTCTGCTGCAGGCCACATCAGGCTGCAGTTGCGTCACAATGTCCTGTCTGTCATCCTCGGCAACTCTATCCATGTGCCAAGGACGGGATCAAAGCGCTCTGCCGTCTCGAGGCACTGCGCACAGAGGAATGCACACAACATCGCTAAGTGGGGCATCCTATAGCCGGAATCCTAGCGGTCCTAGCTTGACTCAAAGAGGGTCCGCGTGGGCGAGGCGGGAGGTCTCAATTTCTCAATCAGGGTCTGGGCCCAACTCAATGGACGTTTAACGCAACTTCGTAGGTAGCGGCTTATCATACAACTGGCGGCCTCTGGAAGAAAACAACAGCGACAGCACTGTTCAAGAAAGCTTTGGTTTGTTTAGAAACGAGCACCCTCGTGTGGGGACCCCCGGTTTGAAATGCGAAAATTGAGAATCGAGGGTACCCTCATCCTGGGGACCCAATTTCTTACTTACTTCCGGTTGTTTTGCAACAGCCCTTGCTTCATTTGGCATCCCCTCCAAATAAGAAACCCAGCCCATTGTAAGAAATCCCGCCCCTTCGATTTCTTAAATTTAAGCAATCCAGCCCCACAATTTCTGAATTCAGAAATGCAACCCCTCAATTTCTTAAATTCGGGGAATCCCCTGAATTCAGACTTCCCCCTGCCTACAAATTCAAAGATTACCAGCTCGACTCCCGAATCCCAATTAAGACTTAGAACAAGAAATGCGAAGCTTGCACGGTTGGCGTGCGACTTTGCTGTCAAATGGCTCAAAAAAGTCGACACTCGGAAGAATCGCTGAGTGATGCTAGCTGCTAGCCGTTAGCCGCCTGAGAATCTCCCACCTGTCAATGGGGTCAGCGCCCGGGTGGGTGGGGGAGGGGTGGACGGTGGACAAATCGCTGAGAGACCTTCGCTACGAAGAAACACGTTTTGGACGGCGTGCTGCCTGTAGACTCTGTAGACACCCGTCAGCGATGTCAGAACCCAGGTGGCTGGAATTCATCGCTGCAGATGCTTCCGTATTCGCCCAGCTATCATGCTCGTTTGGCTACACATCGTCGGTATGAAGCCCGCGCTCTTGGATGGGGCGCCATGCGCCTTCAGACTCCGGGTAGCCGAGCCACCATGAACCACCCGAACAGAGCAGTGCTAAGAGCATACAAGTCCGTAACTGCATCGCGACTGTGCTGCACAACTAAGAAATCTTCCTCTGACTGCAGTAGGCACAAATTTGGTTTTCTTCTTCCATTCCTAGATTTCGCGAGAAACCATGTGCCTGTCCGCCATCACTGCCACCAAAAACATGAATTCGGCCAGCAATGCCAGCCGCCGCAACATAGGCACGACCTGATGAATTGCCGGGTCCACGAACATCCACGTTTAGTGACTTCAACTCTTGAAGTCTTGCGCTTTGGTCCGGCACGCTTCAACATCGGTGCCAAGGTTTCCCAGGTGCCAACCTGCACCGTCATGGAGCCACATGGAGCCTAGTCTCTGCTCTATCCTTGTGTCGTACCATTTAAAATTTAACCATGTCCATGTCAATCAATCCATGTCCGCTCCTTCGGATCGTATCTCTCGACCGAGTTTAGCATCTGGGCCTGGGAGGGTGCAAACTCGGAGACTTAATTGCAACAAATGCAGAGAGGGTTCGTCTTGACACAAAGCTCCCCTGTAAGGGCGCCAGCACCGAATGCTCCTCCACACACATAGAGCCTCTGCAGCAGCGACCCTTCACGTCTTGTCTCGAAGCTGCAGCAGCAACCTTTCACGTCTTGTTTCGAAGACTTAGTCTAACTATGTGTAACTTGATGTATAGTTTGGTCACACGTCCTGCAAGGAAAAGAGGGGCTGAGGATTATCGGTTTCGGAGAGTTTCTTCTCAGTCCGAGCGTTGACTAAGTAACGTGCATGATAGAGCAGGATAGCCGGCAGCGTTGAGCAAGGGGCCTGTCAAAATCTAAAGCTAGAAGCTTGTGCCTGCCACCACACGCTGCAGCTGACGCACCTGATTCAGGCACAGATGCAAAGCAGGTGCCTCGCAGGTGCTTCTACAGTACATGTTCTACCACACCAAGCATCACTTGCAAGTTCTTGTACGGACATTCTTGAATTTGTGCAGTGAGTACACAGAGAGGCGGGGCTCAGCAACAGAGAGCAACACATTGACAAGAAGTGAAGGCTTTCGCCTATTTTGTTTTTGCCATTTCCCTGCCTGCCCGCTGGCTAGAGAGCGGCGGAAGCCTGGGCCGCGTCGCATCGAGAGAGAGAGGGAGCGAGAGAGCTCTGTGTGAACGTGAGACTCGTGCAAATAGACAAATGTACACATCTTCTGCCTAACGAAGGCGTGCCATAAGTGCCTTCGCTTGAGGATCTTCAGGGGCTGTTGATCCAGAAGCTTTGGAAGATTCTGGAAGCGTCCATATCTTCCATGAGCTTCCTGCGGAAGCCAGATGCTGGGTGGATGATTCAGCCTCTCGACACCTCAGCACAAAGATGGACAACGCCGGAGCTTTGGAGTCGTTGGCTGTAAGGTGGCTGGAGGTGGATTTGGCAGAGGTCTGAAGTGTTCTGAAGCTGCGGCTGCTCAGCGGCTCTCGTTGCTCATCTCTGCCGCCGCACACATAGAGCAGTCCTGCACGTCACCAGCTTGTGGGGTCATTTCTTGCTGGTATTGCTGCCACTGTCGGCATTTTCGCCCACGGCTCCACGACCCCTCCTTGCAGCGACACGGCTGCAGGCCACCCTCGTCTCTCTGCCATGGCAGAAACTCCCTGTGCATGGCAAGAGGCATGGCACAACAATGTAGGACAACAATGTAGGACACCGTTCAGCCTTGTTGCAATTGTTGCAATTGGAGACAGGAACGGCCTGCCAGCTGCCTGTTGTCTGGACTCCGGCCTTGCGCTGAGAGGGCTGAGAGGGCTGAGGGCGGCTGAGGGGCGGTGCATGCGGTGTGAGGTGACCATTGGCACTACAGCATCGGAATATCATGGGTGGAGCACTGGTCCGCAGGAGGGCCCCCAAATTGGCAAACGGCAAATTCCAAAAAAAACGCCCGAAGGTCGGGCTTGCACTCGCGGAGTGACGTGCAGGAGCTGCGCGGGAACTCCTTGAAAGATCGATCCAAGGCTTTATGAACACTCGAATGCTGGAAATGCTTGAAGATGAGTGACGTATATTATTAAACAAATTGTTGAAAACTTGAAAATTTTGTGCATGGTACTTGTTACGCCAACTATACGCTCTTGGAAGTCACTGCCCTGCCTGGTGGAGTGAAGCACTCGACCGAGTTCAAAGGCTGCCTCCCGTAACGCAACGCTATGTAAAGCTAATGAGGGTTGGCAAAAAGGTTCCTCTGATCTCAGACGCAACACCATTGCGCACGTACTTGCAAGCAATGGCATGCAACTCCGGCTTATTTAGACCACGCACCTGTTCTCATCCAGACCACCGCAAATAAACAGGCGCTTGTTGATGACACCTGCTCAGGGTAGTCTGTGTGTGTGCCGTGTGTTTGTGTGTGTGTGTGTGTGTGTGTGCGTGTTCTGTGTCTGGGTGTGTTGTGCTGCTTTGTGCCGTTTCGTGCTGTGCTGTGCTGCGCTGTTGTGTGTTGTGGGGTGTGGGTTGTGCGTTGGGTGTTGTGTGTTGTGCGTTGTGCGTTGTTCGTTGTGCGTTGTGTGTCGTGTTGCGTTGTCTTGTGCTGTGTTGCGTTGTGTTGCGTTGTGTTGCGTTGTGTTGCGTTATGTTGTTGTGTGTTTGGTTGTGTTGCGTTGTGTTCTGCGCTGTGCTGCGCTGCGCTGCTTGTGTGTGTGTGTGTTGTGTGTGGTTGTGTGTGTGTGTGTGTATGAATTCGGTTTGTTTTTATGCGCGTGCTTTTGTGTGTCATGCTGAATCGTCTGAATCAAGCTGATAAGCGGTGGGTTTGTGCGTCGCAGTGCAAGACACTACCTACCCCTGGTACTAGAAAGATGCTCCACCTTGGTAGCTCAAACTTTCTTTTGCCGTTCCAAAGCGCACTTCGGAGGCATTCAGGTCGGTGCGAAGGCCTTCTCAATGAACGGATTCTCTGATAGCAGTGTGGGCGCCATTGCCATGTCGTAAAGGCGCTGCAAGAGTTCGTCCACCTGACTTCTTCGACTTCGTTCCTGAACATGACGAAGCGCCCGTGTCCTCTCCAGCTTCTGGACAATTTCATTGACTTTGGCCATAATGGTCTTGTCACGCAACATACGCTCGTGCAAGGTCTGCTTGAGCTGGTCTTCAGCTCTGGCTCGCCTCAGGGAGGCCAATGCCAGGTTTCCCTTTGTGAACTGAAACAGCTTAGTTTAACTTAGTGTCGCGAGACTTCTGGAGACCAAGAAATTGCGTAATTAAGGCCTGTTCAGGGTCTGAATAGCTTCCGATCCGACCTGTCGGCGCAGTCATGCGTGTAACTGGTCAGCTTGAACGCCTCCGCGTTTTTGGCCAAGACAGCTGACTTTCTGCCAATGTTCTGCACGGAAACATCGTGCAAATATGCCTCCAAACGCGCGAGGTCTTGCCGACATGTCAGCTCTTGAAATGAAGCCGCTTGTTTGAGCTCTGCAGCATCTTTGGAACAACGCATCCGGCCTGTGGGATTGTGCTGCAAATTGTTGCAAAACAACTCAAAACTTCTGAACGACTAGATCCTGAGAAGTAATCAAGAAAGTGTACTCAATCTGCAGGGGACTAGCTTGGACTTCCATGGATGCTCTTCTCAGTTGGTGTAGAGAAGATCGAACCGATGCCAGCTCCGCTTGCAATGACTCATGCTCTGCAGCGACCCTTGAAACTGCCATTGCAGCTGCCTGCGACCTCAGTTGTTGGTCCGCGGCCGTCTGCTGAGCCATCTGGAAGGAGTGCTGCAGAAGGTTCCGTTCGGCATGTAAGTTCGCCTCACGGGTTGAGGTTCCATCTGCATCACTGTTGTCCGTCCATGTATGAAGCGACAATATGAACGTGAAAGTCTACGCAAGCCAAAACAGTGGGTGCAGAAGCACCTGCGCATCGAGAAGGGCATATGCGCGCGACTGAGAATGCTGAACTTGTTCCTGGTGCCGCTGCATGGTATTCCGAGGGCTTAAAAAGTGCGACCGCATGTGTGTGTGTGTGCCGCTGTCGAGGTCAAGTCTTGGATGAGCTCTTCGCAGATTCTCGTCATGTGAGTCATTTGATGATGGCATTGCCACTTCAATAGTGGTGCACAACATGATGGTGCATCTCAGCCGACGCATGAGCCTTCCGCACTGAGAATGGAGCTGCGAGGCACGCAGTGGCAAGTCGGATGCTAGAATGATCTTGAAAGCTTTCTACTCGAAAGATCTCGGAAACTCTGAAGCTGCACAAAGTTCCCACCTGCTCCAGCGCCCCACCTGGCAGTGCACCCACGTTCCAGATTTAGCTTTGCTGCCAGAACCATGGTGCCAAGTGATATTTACTACATGATGTACTGATGCGTCGTGTCACAGACTGTAGCCAAAGGCAGAAGAAACGCCTGGCTACCAGCATCGGCGGCATGGGCGACCACCTGTTGATGAGGCCGGAAGCTCCCCAAGACATCTCCCAAAACAGGTACGGAGGAGGGACCTCTGCGTGTTTGTCTGCTGTGTCAGAGGAGCTCAACTTTCATGACCGCTCATGCTCAGCATAGCGATCCAGAACACTTGAACATGACCTCACACTTGCCTTGCGAGGTCCGGATCAAAGCACTCCACACTTCGGACAGGTTGGGGTCCAGCCCAACCTTGGCCCGGTCCCATCACCGAAACCACAGCTGATCAGGGCTGGAAGGCTGAGGACCAGGCCGCCGCAAACATAGATCTTGCCGGACATGACTCCTTCATGCATCACTCATCATCGGTCATGCATCGCGCGCGACTGAGAAAGATGTGCCTGCCATGGAGGGAACCAGAAAACATCTGTGACAACATGTGTAGTGGTCTTGAGATGCGAGATGTTTGAAAATCTCCTGCGCAGGTGTACTGACGAGCCTCTGTCATTGGTGGGAGCACCTTCCAAAAGGAAATGCTGAATTCTGGATTTCGTGTGAGGCAGACTCATGTAGCATTTGCAAGCTGCCTAGACAATCACAGCAGAAGACCGGCTCCACATACCCACATGATGCTGCGCCATCGAGTCGAGCACAGATCAAACCGAAGGCACAGCAGGAAACAGAGCAAGCAGCGCGCGCCTCCCAAACACCAGCCTGAGCCGGACATGGCATGTCATGCTGCAGGCATTCGCAGATTTTCGAATGCAGCATTCTTGCACTGCTCTAAAGATTGTTGCAGACCCCACATCACCAAACGTCACAGCAAGTGTGGGTCCCCCCCCCCCGGTCGCCACGGGTCCAGGGCACCCAGCGTGAGGATCTAATCTCTCCACAGAGCTCAAAGCCAGAGCTCCTGTGCTGTTCGCTGCATGGGGCTATGCCTTACTCAGTCCTACTCGTGTGACCTGAAGAACAAGCAGGTGTGCGGCCCTACTCGACAAGCCCTTGCGCAAAAGGTCTTGCAAGCAGCCGCAATCCTTCAAAGCCACCGCAGAGGTAGAGGTGGCCTACTGCAACAAGCTTGCACAGGCGACTTCCCAAGGTCCATGTCAAGGCAAAGCGACCTGGGCACAAGGGGTCCAGAATGTCAGCGGCGGCTGATCGGGCCGCCTGACACACCTCACACTGGCAAGGGATGCTTTGGGGTTCTCATCTGGCCTGAACGCTTGGCCCACCTCGCGCAAAGCCCGCATTGCAGAGTACCCAGCAAAACTGCCGATGGCGTATGCAACCGCCTCAAAGCACTGGTTTCCCTCCCCCAAGATGGGTCTGTTAACAAGCTACAAGCTGTACCACGTATCAGTCCTAGAGAGAGCTTAGCCAGCGTGCCCGGATGTCGATGACGGCGTCCAGAGGCGCCTCCGTGGGTGAAGTCTGTTTCGCTCAGCACAGCGCCTCTTAGCGCCTTCCTTCCAACTCAACTTTCTCAGCTTCTTTAGAAGGCCGAACTCTTGCACTTTTTTCTCCGAACAGCTCTGAGGCTCTGACGCAGGGACCGAGGCCATAGACCTCGCCTCAGATCTCGGAACTCGACACAGGCACCAATCAGTTGCACGACAAGTTTGCAGCAATTTGCATTATCCCAGCTCTGGGCACGCTTGGTTGAAGCGTCGCCGGTGTAGGTGAACCAGGAATCGCACGGTGTTGACCATCTGGGCCGAGCATGTCCCAGCTGAGAGTGTGTTCCATGTTCAGCCGAAGGCATCCAAACACCATTGGCCAGCTACCAAGCCAGAACAGATCACAACAGTATAGGCTTTGCAAGAACCCTCCACACATCTCCACTCACGCACTCTACGGAGGCCGAGTTCCAGTCGCCGCTGCTGGAAAGACAATCGCGAAGGGCTCCAACCTGCGCACACCCCCCGAGTCGCCGAGTCGCCGACACATTCAAAAGTGCTTCAAAAATCGGCAAGTGCAAAGTGCCCTGTCTCGCCAAAATGCGGCTCTTGGGCACCTCTTCTCTGCAAGAATCCACCTCTCTGCGCAAGTGCGCTATGAGGCCCTGGCCAGCAGAACATGAAGCCTAAACTCCGAAGCTTCTTCGTACAAAGCTGTTTCATAAGTTTCATATGCCGTGACATGCTGTGAGCCTGCTGGCGCGTCATCTCTTCGCTCAGCAGATGGAGAAGACTTTGCTCCTGTCAGATCTGGGGTCTCAGGGATTCTCATGGCCACAACGCTTGCCGCTTGACCGTCTTTTGAGTGGTTTCAATAAGTTTAAGGTCTCTTTCAGACTGCAAGAGGCCTGTGAACCCTGAAACCTTCTCAGTAGTCCAGGCAATGCACAAATTTGACATAGTGAAACTGGAAGGTCACTTGAGCACCCAAGATCATTAATGAAGCAAAGGTCATTGTTGGACAGACCCACGGAGTACTCACAGCAAAGGTGTCTGGCCTCTTCTATTTCCATGGCTGCAGAGGCTTGCAAGGTGTTGTCAGACTGACGACCACGTTTCAGCTCCGTTGACTGCTGATCCCTTTCATCTCGCATTACAGGAACATAGCATTGTCTTACTGTGATCGCTGCGCCTGCCAATAGCCTTGTAAGCTTGCATGGCTACGTTCTGGGCCTGCAGGGGTGCAAGATGGAACTCTCGAAGCCCGCCATGGCCTCTGTCACATGACTTTCTTCCATGGCTGGTTTGAGCCTCTGGGCCACGCAATGCAGTGTGTTGCGACAGAGGACTCCTTCGGCTAGTGGCGGCTAGTGATGTGCAACAGTCGCGGCCTTTAGCAGAGGCTTGTTTTGAAGCGACGCCGCTACCTGGCGCCTCTCAAACTCAGTCTAATCCCTGTTTCATGTAGCAGATGAAAGAGAATCGCACTAAGTGTCAGCCCAAGAACTTTCTCGCAAGTGAGCTTTGTTCGAGCTAGATGCTTTAAGGCAAGCTGAGCTGAGCTTTGAAGCTTTAACTTTGGAATGGCAGACAGCTGGAAACAGTGGAATCTTAACATTGCCGTGTGAGAATTTGCATATCCCCCGTTTCTGTAGCTGTCTGGCTCCAGCTCAGGTACATTTACAGGACCGATGCTGCTCATTGGCTGCGGCCGCGAGCCCAAGCCGGTATCCGGCAAGGCCAAGCTACATTTTCGGAGCTGTGGACGAATCCTTGGGTTCGGGGTTTGCCGAAGCGCAGTCTCTTTGGTAGCTCCCCCAAAAGAGCTCCCAAACATCGCAGGCACTGTGCCAGCAATGGACGGCATGACAACAAACAATACCCAGAACACCCTGGCAAATCGCACAAATCATCATTCGCCTTCAATATATTCAAATCATTTCTGCTAACCTTTCTGTAGGTAAATTATCCAACGTGTTTTCTTCTGCACACACACACACACCCTTGGTACCGCTGCTCAAGATCTCTCAATCCCACCCTGGGCTGGCCGAACGTGGCCGTTTTGGCTCCTGCAACAGGGTGTGGAAGCAGAGGGTGGCAGGGAGGGGCGTGGGGGCAGTTCACCCAATCGCCGGACGTGCTTTGGCTGTTGTGGCCTTGTCCGAGTTTGTCCTCGCACGACCACGAGGGAGCAAACTATTTGCCGTGCCTCGGCCCAAACCACGAGAAACAGATCAATTTCGTCTTGTCCTTCCTCGCTAGCTCCGCTCTGAGCTGCTGGCTAAATCTGCTGAGGTGTGCTAGAGACAGCCCTGAAAGGCGAGCAGGTCCAAAAAAAGGTTTGACACGACACTCTCATGATTTGTCTCAAATGCGCCTTCATCAGGGGCAACCTCCTTCCGGGCGTGCCGCACCTCGGAAGTCAACAACGGCTCGATGCCGCTCGGCTCATTTTGAAACACTCTGTGTCTCTCATGTCTCTCTGTGTACTCTCCATGTACTCTCCATGTACTCTCCATGTACTCTCCATCAGGGGGTCGCGCGAAGGCCTTGATAGAGGCGACCTTCAGCTCCAACTGCCTTCGCAAAAGTCGGGAACGTAATCGAAGTGCAACTTGTAAACGAAGCCCGGCATGGCCCAGTGATGCCCAGTGCCTGTTTCGCCGCATCAGGTCTTCGTAGTATGCCTTCGCCTCAAGCAAAGCCAGGCCGGGGCTGCAAACTCTTTGCAGACACCAAATTGGCAAGCTGAAGCCATCAAAAGCGTCAAGTACGACTTAAAGCAAAAAATCACAGAGAGCACATGAGAGCCCCGAAGGAGCACCGAAGGGGAGCACGCTGAGCACATCCCGTATCCGTATCATGAGTGTGCGGAAAGTTGTGGTCCGAGTTGCCCTGGTCTCCTGTGTCTCCACAGGCTCCTCCTCGGGCGTGCTGTTGTCGACTGCCACCCTGGGTTCCGCAGTGGCGACCTCGGCTCTCAGAAGACGGTGACCATTTGTCCCATATTTGTCCCATGTGTTGTCGTTCTCTTAGGTCGTTCTCTCTTGTCGTTCCTCGCTCCGTTCACAGCAAATGAGTCGCAGAAGCCGGCCTCGGCGGTGTCCTCCAAGATTTCAACCTGCCGCTGTGAGTTTCAGCATGCTGATGCATGCTGACATTCTACGAATTTCTACATTCTACGAATTTCTACGAGGCTTGCTAATTTTCTTTGGAGGGTGCAATGGGACCAAGGCCCACCAGGGCCTCCCGAAGCTTCTCAGAGACGGATCGGAAGCAGTCCTGACACCTGCGGAAGTTTGGGCTTGGGCAGGGAGTGGATCTGTCTTCATGAAGGGCGCACCGGTGCACCATATCCGCATGGTCACGATGTTTTCGAACCCTCTAAAACACTGTGAACTTGAGAGTGAACTTGAGCACGGCAGCGGAGCAATCTGCCAAGAACCGTTCACCAACCAGTACAATAACCCGAGGCCGCAGGACAATTGGTGGCTCGGCACACTCCCAGTATGGAGGGCTGTGGAGGGCGGGCCCATCTCACCCCTAGCCGGTACGTTAAGTACATGAAGGGGGCAAGTATACTCAGTGGTACTCAGTACTCCGCGCTCTACAGCCTGCGTGGTGCCTTCGCCCGGGGGCTTGGGAGAGCCTTGGGAGAGCCCTGAGGGGAGGCCTTGGGTGGGAGGCCTTGGGAGAGCCTCCTCGAGCACTGGACAGCTACGTGGGACGCCAAGGCGCAAGGCGCAAAGGCTCGCGTGTGGAAGGCAAGTTAGATGACATGTCGGCACATGCCGGCTGATGCAATGAGCATATTGCCAGTCACGTGTCCGGCCTAATGCAGTTTGTGGCAAGGCTCTCTACCTGGCACCGGCTCAATTCATGGCAGCTTTGCTGGCATAGCCATGTTCTGACATCGTTGCGTGCGGATGGGTGCGGAAGCCTCAAGGACCAGGCGGCGCATCAAGCTCTTCGACACAGCAACATCCAAGCCCTGCACAGGCCGCCTGAAGATACAATCTGAAATAACCATTTGTTCATGTTTTCAATTTGTTCCTGTTAGCTGCAAAGCTCTCGGACATGCTCCGACAACTCTGCGAGTAAGGCCCCAGCTTCATTCGGAGAATTGCTTCTATGAAATGGATCGCCTCCAGCTACAACACATCAAAGAGACGCACATGCAAAGAGGCTCGCAGACACATACCACTTTGCAAAGGCTTCGCCGGTATGAGCCGGGAGTACAGTGGAAGTGCGAAGGCACGCTGGTTGCTCCCTATTGCTGCTTTGAGGCCTCAGGCACATGGATGATTTTATGGCAGCTTGCCACAATCTATTCATCGAGAGCCTAGAGTCTAGAGCTTGCGCAACTTCGCAACGGCCGCAGGGCACGACTGAAAGCTGACTGCGCACAATCCAGCGACGACAATGTTTGGGAGTTCATCGTGGTCTAGGCACATCCTCTCATGCCTCTTGGCTGAAGAAGCACCTCCCGGCTATTCCATATTGCATCATCGGCTTTCCCTTTTCCGAAGTCCTCCGAATCGTGCAGCGCTTGTGCCCGGCTGTGTCCGAGCCCCGACACGGAAACAGACCGCTACGGCTTGCAGCTGACAGCCGCATGTCCGCAGCCATCGTCTGCCGTCGTTGAAGTCCCTGCCACATTTGATGGAACCCGCGGTCCAGGTGAGTTCTGGAGCGGAGAGGCACTCCCTTCTGCGTCGATTCCATTTGTCCAGCAGTGTTGCTCACACCTTGTACAGGAGCCTGCAATCGGAGACTTTTGGTCGAGCAAACATGCTGAACGGTGCCGAGGACGAAAGTCCCACACCCCTGTAGATGCAGGGATCGCGGGTTCCCCAATCGCACGTGCTTGGACCTTCGTTTCCACTCACGGCAGGAGCTCGAATGTTCTCGAAAAGTTCAAGGGCCGCACGGGGGGGACAGGGTCAAAGGATGCAAAGCCAGAGCCAAAACGATGGCTAAACCTTGGTCTGACGCAGGCGATCTACAGGGAAAGCAACAGGCGATGGTCGAAGGCCAGAGTGGCCACAGGCCCTGTAGTCCGGAGCATGCACACATCAAGCAGAGCTAGACCTTGAATGCAGTAGCTCCCCGTGATGTATCTGCTGCATACACTTCTTGAAGTCCATGGCCTTCACCCTCTCAGTGTTCGTCAAGTTCAGCCTCGCGTGAATTTTTAACAGAGTACTGCCACGGTACGGTACTCTGGTCCTGGAAAGCTGAGTTTTTCGCTTCTGATACACCATGAGGGCTTGATCTGGACGCAGGCCGATGAGCTCCAAACTGGGCAGAGCAGAGCAGAGCAGAGCAGAGCGCACGCAAAGCATATTCATCGCTACACTTCCCTACACTATCGCCACGCAGTCTCTGACAAAAAAGCTTGGAAGCGGAACCTTTTTCCGAACCTCTTGTCCTGCTTGCTCTGCTCTGCTGTGTGCAAAGTGCATTCCATGGGTGCTCTCTCTCCCTGCTCTGAGGACGCTTGATACGCCACTCTCCCGCTTCCGTCCTGCAGCAAGTAGTTCAGCTCCCGCATGGTCACGAGTGATCGGTCGACGGGCAACAAGTCCTTAGGCATCTTAGGCGACTTGCCCCAGTATTTTTCCACGCAGCCAATCTCATCTTCGACACAAACTCCACTTAAGGAAGGGGGCCTCCAGCTCCTCGGCTGTAATCATCCCAGCGCCCGGGACCATCCCACCCCTGACCTGTATTCTTGGCTTCAACAGAATACGGAAAGCGCAGCACTTCGATGCAGAGCAATGCAGAGCACACTCAGCTTGGAACCTTCACCGCTGTGAAGTTGCCTCCGTACCTCGAATGGAATCCCAAGAGGCCCTTGGTGGTATTGAGGGAGGCAAGCAGTTGAAGCATCTTGCAGCGATCTCGGCGACTGGCCGGAAGGAAAATACCTGGACAGATCTGGACAAGCTGAGAATGGCTGAGAAGAGGTATGGCAAAATCCATGCGTGCTCCACTGCCACGGCCTTCGACAAAGACACGGGCCGAAAAACTATAGTTTGAGAATCAATCCTGACAGCAAGTTGCGTGAACTTGGGGGACAGCTCTACCTGAAACTAGGCTGACACCCCCCCCCGGCTTCTGGCCGAGAGCGTCTGGAACAAGCAGACGAATTTGCGGGACCTGCCCGAACCGCTGGGGGCTTCCAGGATGTTGGCCGCGCCCACAGACGCCACGCCAAAAAAAATCTGTTTTGCGTCCTGAAAAGCCCCCTTTCCCCTCCTGACCCACCCCCAAAAATCTTTTTTGCTGGGACCCCTCGTCCCTGTGGCTCTCTCCGGCTATGCGCACGCTACACCCCGCAGGTGGCTGCCAAGGCGGCGCGCGCAGGCGTTTCCAATTAAACCTGACCCATAGACAGAGTGCAGGGCACGGTGTGCTGGCGATCTTAAGAGGTCTTAACAGCAACAAAAGCCATGGACCTTTAAGAAAATCATTCTTGCAATGTGGCACTGGGCACATGCACGGCATCAACTAAATTGCTTTCCCGCAGTGTCCTGTAGTGCTGATTTCGACCAGCTTCCTCATCTTCCTCCTCCGCTTGATGAAGGTGATCAGTCTGTGGGATAACCTCGGCTCAGCATGGCTCAGCAGTCCATCCTCTGCTGCACTTGGGACATACCATGTGGCCTCTCCTGTGACGAGTCCGATTTAGCTGTAAAACAGATGCTTAGGAAATGAGGATATGGTCGCATGGAAACTGAGAAGCGCACAAGGCATGGAGCAGCCTTGCCTGGCACTCGGCTCGAGCGCAAAACATGTCGCCACAAGCTGTCATCTCAGACAAACCAGACAGACTCGCCACCACCCTCCCAAGTTAGCAGGCTTTTCCTCAGAGCACAGGCAATCCCAAAAGAGCTCCAGCAAGAGGCAACAGGGATCCAGACCATGCATCGTTGTCGGCTTCCGGAGACAACTTCCGGTTCTGCAGCCAGGGGTTCAGCGCAGCGCGCGTTCTATTGATACTGCCGGATAAAAGGTGTACGAACCCGCACGTGCTCAGCGAAATGTGGGGAAACGCTGAAACGATGTGTGAGTCGGATTGTGCCCGTCAAATGTTGTGGACCTCCAAATCCAGCTTATTCATGGGCGTGCCATTTTGATTGCTTTTTGCAGCCCGCGGTCCAGAGACAAGAGTACATCCACGGCCACCTCCTGCTCTGAAACCTTGGCAAGCTGGCAGGAAACTGCAAGACTTGCCGGCACAAGCTCTAGCTTAGCCCGCGGCCCAGATGCATCGTGTAACCTACCAATACGAGTCTGCCAAGTTAAAGTTCTATCCCAGCCGAGCGCGGATTTCTGCTCGTCTCGCATGTCGACAGCAAGGCATGCCGAATGATGGTTTAGAATATGTCTCATCAAGCAGTGTCTTTTGGGGCAGGGCTCAGGTGCGGCTAACGCGAGTCAGGAAACTCTGGAGGCACCGTGAACATCATGCAACATGGGAACACCTTTTTTGCCGATGCCTCGGCATAGTTGTTGTCATCGAAGGCCGAAACTGAAAATGATGGCTCCTGATGTGACGATGCGATGGCCCGCGACTTGCAACAGTTCGCAACTACATGCTACTGGTATCACTGCTGCTCTTGGCAGCTGGCTTCGGTTGGACCGGGTGGAGGCAGGCCTCCTATGCCAGATTGCAGCACATTGCAGCACTACGAGCACAATCGCCGATAAGAAGTGTCGTGGTATACGGATGCTGGATGCGATCCTGGTCCTGGAAGTGGCTCCATCTCTTCTTGAAGCGGCACCCTGGATTCCCAAGATGACCGGAAGCTGCAAAACTCCACAAAACAAACTGCATCAAACTTGCGAGGCGAACGTCCAAGTGTCATTTGTCGTGAAGGTATCAGCTGATCCTCGGCTCTTCTCGGCTCTCGCTGGCCCCGGCAATTTGGAAGTGCACCCGCGCGGTCTCCAATGTTAAGGCCAGTGACTGGAATGGAGTTGTTGAGCAGCCTGCCTTAAATTCTGCGAAATTCGTCTATAGTCGGGTCCAATTGCGACATCAAGGTTTATACAGGTTTACTTGATTGCAGGCTTCTTCCTCAGGGCTCTTGGGGGCAGCCGCGCGCTAAATTGTGCGAGAAGGTTGAAGCTGCAATTTTGCTCAGTAACACCGCACCTGCAGCTTAGGCTCCGGGTGTCATTGCCCTGCTTGGAGAACTTTGAGGTGTGACGTGTTCGGATCCGGTTTACCCTCTCCTGCAGGATGTCAGCACAGTGAGAAAAGAGGCCCCCACAACTGCTAAACGCAGTGGCCTTAACCAGGTCTTGCTGCCTTAGAAGATGTCTGTCCATGTCGTCATAGCAATGCGTCATCACCTCACCAGTGAAAGACTGCACTTTGCGACCAGGTGCTGACATGCGCGCAAGCAAGGCTCCGAAGCTGATATAATATTGGTGCCTTGTGCATCAGGTCACGCGCGATCACAAGGCGGTCACTGCTTCTCTCCTTGCTGTCATCCTGCGGTAGCTCTAGGCCCTAACCATAATCCACGTTGCATGACGCGGCATGCAGCAGCTACTGCCCGGGCGATCACTATGCCACACTGCATACTGCATCCTTAAGAAAGGAGAAGGCAGTCTGCACCATGACACCCGTCACGAGATTCAACATGCCTGGAAAAATGCAGAACTCGATTGCCTAGCACAGCCAGCCACTTTCTGCGTGACGTGCGAAGGCACATCTTATCACATCTTCATATAGGATGGTGGGGCGTCTGCTAAAACGTTAAACGTTAAACCCTTGCCTGGCCTAAACTGCACACCGCCAAGAAGAGAATTGCGAATATTGGCATGAAGGTTGCCAGTGAGGGGTAAGCTGAAACTTCCGCCACTCGCAAACTCCAACTGCTGAATGTGCTCATCGTCAAGAGCGACAGCATGCTGCTGGGGATGTTTCCCCATTTGGCTTGGATGTTTTCATCGGCTTGGGTGTCCACACTCCGCCCAACAAACTCCACCATGAGAATGGCATTCGCGTAGATGAAGATTGCCATCATGCAAACAGACCTACAAATGAAGCGGATGTTGCCCACAAATCCATTGACCAGCCGTGAAAGATCCTTGATGAGATGAAGGAGCCGAACGAGACGAAGCAATCGGAACAAACCTACCAACTTCAGGGCTGGAGTCTGGTTTCCCGCAAAGCGGAGCACGAAGGAATCCAGCAACGACACAAGAACCGTAACCACGTCGAACAGGAAGAGCTTGTCCGTGAAGAGTCGCCAGGAATACTTCACGATGTCGAGTGTTTGGTTAAAGGTCAAGGTTGAAGCTATCTTAGGAACCACGCAGAGGAAGAGCTCATGCTCTTCCATCACTTCCACTTGATATTTAAAGATAGCACGAAGGAAGAGCTCAGCAGTGAAGGTCAAGGCAAAGAGGGCTTCGAGCATGAACCATGCCATTCCCTGAGCACATCAAGGTGCAACGAGCTCTGACCAGCAATCAGAGCAAATCAGAGCAAATCAGAGCAACCCCGAAGAGCTGGAGAGCTTCTTTCCAATCCAAGCGGCGGGGCTTTGGAAGCTTCTTGCACTCAAGTCGGACATCCTGGGAGGGGCGAGTGTGACGTCTACGCCCAGCTTGATCGCGTTGAGCACCTAAGGAAACATGCAGAATCACATGCCATGGGGCAACTTTGCTTTAGCTGGCCTGCGAAGCAGCATAATTCAGAGAAGCCACCAGAACGACCGCAAAGAACATGTCAAAGGATGTTTGGCTCCTCGCTGTGTCTCAAGATCTCTCAGCAAGCATCAAGTTACTGAGGGCAGGCTTACGCGAAAGTCACCCCGTCAACTTGGTGCCCCGACGCTGCGACCAGCCTTGCTTCCTGTCAGGACAGTCTCTGCCAGTCTAGCACAGGACGAACGCTGTCTGGGCCTGGGTATCATTAAGGTCTTCTGAGTCGTTCTGGAACAACTTTGACTTCTGAACGTCAGAGAACCGAACTCCAAGCGCTCGGCCTGTTCCTCGAACATGCGACGCTTCTCTTGCTGCATCTCGGGCGTCTCAGATGTGTCGAACTCGGACACGCCAGCCACTGCTTTCCCCAGAAGCGGCGCCTGTCAGAACTCAGGCAGAGTTCAATGCAAGACAGCTGTTCTGCTGCTTTGATGCGAAGGGGGTCGCACCTCATTCGGACACATCTTCCTTAGACGGCATTGCAAACTCTCCATGAGGCTCCATAAATACTTTCTGCTTGCGGCTTCCAGTTGCAACTCCGAGCTTCTGTAACAAAGGCTGAAGCTGGGTGCTGCACTCCTTCAGCGAGTTGCTCGCAAGTTGAAAAAAGGTGTCCATGCTGGACATCCTTTCATAGATCAGCCATAGGCCACGCATAATTCCTCAGTGCAATGAAGCAACTGCAATATGCGTGCTGCTACGCTTAGCGACTTGAGCGTCTGGAACGACACGTCACCCGCACCATTTCTGATCAAGTTGCCCACTATATCCAGCGGATGGGCGCGTGACTTCATGAATACGAGGCTCTCAATAAACTCATCGATGGTTATGCCTGTCAGACATGTGCTCCAACTATGCCTGACTGAGTCGCTTTACACTCCTAACACATCTGACAACCAGGCTAATCGCGAGGATGCTGCCAGCATTGTCGCCCATCAGATTCTCCACTTCAGAACATACGGCATCAATGTCTTCTGTAGAAACGCCCGCTGCCCTGAAAAGTCCAGGTATCTCGGAGCGAAGGTCTTCGATCTCACCTCTCACAGAGCATCAAAAATCTTAAAAGGCAAGGTGAAAAACATGGACCCACAACATGCCATGTGGAGCCTTCTGATCATAGGAAAGCAACATTCGAGCAAGAATATACAAAAGCAACGATGACAGCGTCAGGGTGAGGCGCAGGCTGCAGACTAGCGACTGATGATATGAAGTCAAACATACGACAAATTCTGGTCTTTGGCAAACATACTCAAAACATCCTGTTCAATGAGAGTCTGTTCTTCAACAAACCTGTGGCGCACGAAGCAGTGCCTGTAAGGCAAACGGCAAGTAATTACTCAGTTCAGGGTTTGCAAGGATGAGGAGTGGTGGTGGGTGTGGTGTGGTGGTGGTGGTGGGGTGTGGTGTGGTGTGGTGGTGGTGGTGTGGTGTGGTGGTGGTGGTGGGGTGTGGTGGTGGGTGTGTGGGGGGTGTGGTGGGGGGTGGTGGTGGGGTGTGGTGGGTGGTGTGGGGGTGTGGTGGTGGGGTGTGGTGGGGGGGTTGTGGTGTGGGGGGGGTGTGGTGGTGGGGTGTGGTGGTGGGGTGTGGTGGTGGGGTGTGGTGGTGGGGTGCGGTGGTGGGTGTGGTGGTGGGGTGCGGTGGTGGGGTGTGGTGGTGGGGTGTGGTGGTGGGGTGTGGTGGTGGGGTGTGGTGGTGGGGTGTGGTGGTGGGGTGTGGTGGGGGGGTGTGGTGCGAGGGTGAATGATGCCATTTTAATGGCAGAGCTTCTTGCACTGCGTTGTGTGGCCATCGTCATACTCTCTGCTGCTCTCAACTCGCAAGCAGCAGGATTTTCTTCCACACCTGTGGGGCTGTGATCGGCGTTGCATGAGCGCCTCCGTTCCGTTGGGCGGACGGGCCTCTCCCTGCCATTTTTGCTGCGTCAGGCCTTTTTGTGCCCCTGCCAATTGTGAGCTCTCAGCTTACAGCTTGCTGCACAAAAACTCGCACGGAACATGCGAAACCCCCCAAATTTACAAATGCGACAACATCGCAAGGCCTCTGAATTACAGGTACTGCAACCAGTTTCCTAAAAGTAACCGACACAACAACTGCTCCAGCAATGTGAGAAACACCGCCGGTAGCAGCTTCGTTTCAGCTTGGACCTTCACCTTCAAGCTCATCGCCACTGCAAGATTGTTGAATATTATGTTGAATGCGAAAGTTCTGACTGTTACTGTGACCTGTCCACATCTTCCTACGATAGTCCCTCTCTGTCCTCAAACTTGTGATCCGAACTTGAGCTCTGTGGCAACATAGCCAACACACACACACACACAACAATGAACTCAATGCGCTCAGTGCGCTCAATGAGCGCTCCTGCCTGGGTCCATCCTCACACTTCCGAAGCGCTTGGTAAGCGAACGCTTCACGGAAGCGAAGCGCAGCTTGCCTGCAGCGCACTCCGTTTGTCACCACAGCAGAGACAGAGAGAGAGAGACAGACAGAGAGACAAAGAGAAAGAGAGAGATAGGGGAGAGAGCAGGAGAGAGAGAGAGAGAGCGAGAGAACGGGCTCATGACTGTTAACCGGATGAAGTGAATCAAGTGAACGAAGTGAATGCAGTGGAGTGCAAGTGGAGTGTACTGAGTCCGAGCCACAGCAGCGTGAATACACGGCAGCGCAGCATCGGCCGCAAGGGCCAGACGCTCGCTTCCTTTTGACTCCCATTCCTCTGCCTTGCAACATCTTACAACTGCCATATCACTTCTGCCAACCCCCGAATTTCTGAATGTGAGAAATGTGAGAAGTCTCAACATGTCTCAATGGCTCTCGTGTTTCCAGCACCATGGCCTCTCAAGGTCTCGTTGTCCTTGTCGTCGCTTCCAGTAGAAGTCTGTCGCCCACGATTTGCACGGATGTTCTGAATCTGATCTTGCAGTGTCTGGTCGTCGTCCTGTGCACCAAACACAAGAACACGCTGCATATCTTGCCAAACAGCCTGACCAGGATACGGAAACAAACCTACAGATGCACGCGAATGATCTTACGAAAGTAAGACTTGGTAGGGCGTTTTTTCAAGTAGTGTCTCCTCCATTGTTCCTACGCATACTGTAGATTTCGTTTGTAGTCAGACCCTGTATTCGAGCACACATGCACAACGTTCCTCTCTTTCACCATCACGCGCACACACACACACACACCATCAGTTGCGAAGCCGCCAGGCGCCGGCCGAACACTGCCCCAAACCCTCCCCCCTGGTCGCAGCATTCACAGCGCACAGTGGGTGCAGAACGGGCGATGAACAGCTGAGCGGTCACCCAATCTCTGACAATGATTGAATTTTTCTGCCAGGAGTTTTTCAGATGTTTCAAGTCGAGGATCTGGGGACGACCCCTGGAATGTCGCGGAATAGCATGGAACGGGGCGCGAGGAATTCCAAGAGCTTTCGCAGTGGCCGGTAACCATGTCCAGTGTCCAACATATCAGATAGAGCTAAGAAATGTGATGCAGACTAAGTGGGTAACTCGCGAGAAGCTAAGGGTGCCCAAATGACATATTCACGCCGTGAGAACGACAGGCCATGACGTGCTCAATGATAGTCTCCGGGTAACAGAAACACATGCCGAAGTTTGCAAGAATTTCATGTTACGATTCGTTATGGACATGCATGTACTGGCAACAATGCTCAGGCTCTATGGCTAAATATTCCGCGCCCGCTCCTCTTCAACAGCCTGCGGCTCGAGCTTGCGGAGCTCATTGTCGGGTCCGCGTGCCCAGCCCTGCAAAATTCGCCGGGAAACCAAATGCGAACCGTCTTTCCCCTCCTGAGCACACGTGAAGAAGCTCCAATGAATGGTCTTGTAAAAGGTCCCATAACCGGCGATGTGCCTTGCAACAGCCAAGACTGCTGCTGCTGCTGCTGCTGCTGCTGCTGCTGCTGCTGCTGCTGCTGCTGCTGCTGCTGCTGCTGCTGCTGCTGCTGCTGCTGTTTCTGCTTCATCAGCTGCCATGTACACGCATCCCTACTGCTGTTTCTGCTGCTGCTGAGCTCTACTGCGGCCACCAAAACGAATTATAATGACATGTCCAATCAATTTGACCTTCGCTGGGCTCGTTGGGAGTTCGGATGCGCTAGAGGCTCATGCTCATTCCAAGTGTCTTTCGTCCCCCCCAGCGTTTTTTCTGCGTGCAGGTAGAGCCCGTAGCGAAGTCTCCGGAGTGCCCGGTGCTGGCGCAACTTCATGACCGTGTTCTCGAATTGGTCGTCCTGGCGATATCAAAAAAAAGCCCGTGGCTTCACAGGTCTCAAGAAAATGTCACATGCCATGCGCCAAAGGCTCCGACAGCTGGTGTTGAACGCCGCAAGTGTTACACATCTATACACATCTATACACACAACCTCTCATCCTGTCAGGAGAGAAAGCACCGACCTCACCCTTTACATGCGCCCGGACGTTTAGTTGGAGGTGTCAGAATCGAGGTTCAGTTTCCTGGACTTCAATACATTTATTCGGGATCTGCTACTGCCGTACCACACAATGTTGCGTCACTCTCGTCTCTCCTGCTCTCCACGATCTAAGACAGCGGTGAGAAGCACGCCGACTATGAGGTTGATAATCCCCAAGGAGGCGATGGCCATGAAGAGAAAAAGGGCTGGCATGAAGAGCCAGCCGACTGGAGCATCGATCCTCCACTCTGGCACTTCTAGAACTGAGCAATGCTGAGCACATAAGAAGAAACAACTCTCCATGACAGGTGCGCACCAGAAAATGCTTAAAATGTTCCTTTCCTCCTTCGAATCAGATCTATGCCGCTGTATGTTGCTATCTGGGCCAAGGAGAGCATGGACAAGACCACTCCATTCCAATCCTCTGCGAGATCAGGTCGTGATTCCAAGGAGCCCTTTGTAAGCTCGTACACAAGGATGCCAAAGATGTAGCAGATACATACGAGCATTCCAGTGGCCCATGAAAGGACACGCATGGCCGCCACCATGCTGCTTAGTAAGAGCCACAACTGCTGCATGATCTTCAGCAAGCGGAGTAAGCGCAGCAGCCGCATCAATCGCAGCACCCGCAACACTGCGAAGGCTGAGGTTCCACCTTCAATCTCAATCAGATACGTCATTAAAAGATCCAGCCATGCCAATATGAGGCACATCAAGTCGAACTTGGCCCACGAATCGCGCAGCAATGACCGCAGGCTTGGGCAGCAACGCTTCACTCGTACAAGTTCGAAACACCAATGAAGCAGAAACTCGATGGTGAACATCCCCACGCACACAATCTCAAATACTTGCGCTTCCAAACTCTCTTCGTCAACAATGCCCTGAGTCGTGATGCCCATCATGGCGCCGTTGGCCAAAATCACCAGGCCGAAGACGAAATCCATCCCCAGGGTACTCTGCATGGCCACCCTTTGCAGAGCTGAGAATCACCCATGCTATTCATCTTGTGCTTCTCCAGTCTTTGCCTAGTTCCCTATACAGCGTTTGCACATGTGTGAGAATACGTGTGTGAGAATGTGTGAGAAGGGCATAGAAGAGCTGGCCTGACGTGCTCCTCCTGCAATAGCTGTTCAATCTCTTCTTCCGAGAGCAGGCAGCCGAAGCGAGTTTCTTCCTCGGGCAAGACTGAAAAGTACCGGGCGCACATGTGCTCACAACTTCCTTAAAGCAATCCGTTATCGATGAGTGGACAATAACTTCCCAATCCAAGTCGAAGGTGAGGATCACTCACCCTGCGTGAGGCGATTAAAGACTCGACGTCCAAACGGCGCTGCTGCTCTTTAAAGTAATTCACAGCCTGCGCACAGGTTGACATACAATATCATGCAATGGGTGCCAACTCAAGGAAGCAACGTCAAGTCTGAGTTCAACCACATACCAAACATTCGTTGACATTTCGTTGACTCCGTCGTGAAGCAGACCTCCACGAACGGATCCTGGTCTATGTGCCGTGCAGCGACGACGCTTCCGAGATAAGCCTCCTCGGACACAGACAATGGGCTCCGACGAGCTTCACTTCGCCTATTTACTTCCGCACATGCAAAAACTCCCCCAGTCTGAGGTCCTCCTCCCGTATCTCATGTGACTTCACCGAGCCTCCAGAACTTACGAAGGACCTTTCGTGCACAGCACAGCATGTTGTCCGCAACCCTGACGACAGCTGAGAACCAGCGAAAACAGCCATTCACATCTTGCGAGGCTAAACAAGTCTCAAAGCTACTTTTGCGGGCTTCTGCCCCTTGCAGACCTGATGAGCGCTATTAACCTGCAACAGTCCCGAGTGATGCCAGTAGCACGTAGCTGAGGCGAGCCACGTGGTTCCAAAAAAGGATTTCCTCAGGACTTGCATTGTACAGATTGCCCAGCGGTCTCGCAGCATTGTCAGTAATTAATCAACTCGGTACAGCTTGCAAGAAGCTTGCAGCGAACCTATTTAAAGAACCGCCAAGCTTCACATTCGACATGCTGCTTTGTGTCAAGGTTACTGCCGGTGCCAGCACCGCTTCGGATTGGGTTTGGTCTCGGCTTCGAATGCCTCCTGATGAGTTGGTCGTCATTTTGGAGATCCGCAAACGCGGAGGCTCTGGAGTGTCCGGGCTCGTTGCATAGCTGACGGCGGACGGACGCAGGGCACGCGGAGCTGGCGAGTCTGGGGCAAATCCATAGCTCACACCCGAAGGGCGACTCCGTGAACTCCTCTTGCTGAGTGTGCTGGCTCCGCGCTTGATAGCTCCTGCATCGGCTCTGCACACGAGGTGTGATACAACAAAGGCACTGCGTTCTGTAGGTGGTCGTACAGCCTGGCCTTCTTTGGGAGATTCTGGCTCGGCCGGCTCCATGGCTGGATCATGAGGACAATGAAGATGAAGACCCTTCTTGGCACGAACATGGCGAAAAAACACCCTAAGATGAACTCAGATTCCAGAACATACTTACACCATCTTACGCCTCTCACTACTTTGTCAGACTGTGTCTTGGGTCTTGCATGATACTTGTAGGGATCGGAGATGAAACTATCCTCGCACCGCAAGTTTGAATTCGGGACACAGCTACACTGCAAGGTGACCTCACCGCGCAAGAAACTTGCCGGGAAAGGACTTGCAATATCTTGTAGTAAGACACGTTCGTGAGAGAGCGAGCGGTACTGTAGAGAACTGGAGAGAGACAGAGAAAGGGAGACGGAGAGAGAGAGAGAGAGAGACTGCTTCAGCGGGCGAAAGCTGGTGCAATGGTTGCAGGATGGCGGGTGCCTTCAACGATAGCCCTTGCCATGTGAGCCTCGAGCCAGCCCATAGCCTGCTTTAGCACTGACCAACCAAAACGCAGACAGAAGCAGCCCTACCGGCGCGATGATTTGGTGCCCATCAGCTAGGTTTGCAAGAATAAGACGTTGAAGACTTACGTGGCTGAGGGAAATTTGTCTTCAGGAGGCGGCATTCATGGTGCGAACCTGCACATCGTTGCACTGTAGTTCACCCCAACGACCAGGCAACGGCTCCAAAGTAAAATGCGGGAGTCTCAAATTCCTACAGAACCCCAAGAAGCAGCTTGTCTCCAGGTATTTTCAACTTGCATCTGATCCAGCCCCCGTTCGAAGGTTCGCAGCTGCTGCATAAATGAGGCCTCCAAGCAAGCAGCAACTGCAGCGTCTAGCAATGGCGCATGCATGTCGCGAGACGACGATAAGTGCACAGGGATCCCCTAAAGCAACTTTTGCCATTCTGCCACGTGCTTGTTGCATGATTCACATGGGACTTGTCCATCGCTCGCGCCCTGCAGCGCAAACAGCAACTGAGCTCCAAGCATTTGGTCTGCAGCTGCCTCTGCGATCTTGTAGTAGCTGCATTGCAGAACTGAGAGGCGAGGCACGAATCTCACCAACATCTCTCACAACAGTAGCAAGGCCTCAGGGACAACTGCTCGAACCTGGCAACGCCACAGTCAACTGTTCAGAGAGTCTGCACTGCACAGTTCATGCTCGTCTGTCTCAACAGGTGCCTCATCATGTATCCCAACACAAGTGATACTGACCTGCAACAGCAAGGGTACGGGCATGGCGAAAGCGGATTTTGGAACAAGTTTTTACCACTTTTGCCTCTCATGCCACATGCTGACTGCTTTGCCATGTGATGTCACTGTGAGCATTGACGATCAACACTGGTGCAAGTGGCAACATCAATGCAAGTCACTGAAGTCGCCAGGTTGTTGCCGAAGAATACCGATAACCCAGCGACGACTAGAAGATGATACCAAAACATGAAGACTAAGGAGAAGAAGTACCGACCATATCACGCACTGGATGTTGGCGACCGGCTTTTCGGTTACGAAACAGAAAGCTTGATAAGGATTACACTTATCCGTGGCAATGCACCATTGGCCATCGAAGAGAGAACTGAGGGCTGACAGATCGTGTCAGGGGCATCGTGATGTCGGAGCTATCAATATATGGTGCCGCGTCGCGTGTCAGTTACCCCTCTCCACCCCTAAACCCAGGTAAACCCCAAACCCTCATGTAACCCTATACCCCATCCCCTATACCCGGCCCTGTACCCCAAAAGCCTTCGCCCGAAACCATAAACCCCCAAAGTCCTAAACCCGAAAACCTAGAAGCCTAACCACCCTAATTCTGCAAAAAACCCACAACACCTTCAAAAGCCCAAATTAACACCCCAAGCCGTAGAACCGAGCCCCCCCCCACAGGGGGTGGACAGAAAGAACGAGGGGGATGGGGCTTGGTCTGCGGCTGATGTCGCACTGTGTTGCAGCCACACAGCAGACAGGACTTGTACAACTGCGTTTATACTCGTTACATGGAGTAGTGGCTGCATAAGGCTGGTATACGAGCCTCGAGACACCTTCTCGACAATGAACCAGCACACGGCAGTCATCATCACCTCGCGCATGCGCAACCAACTTGAGTTCCTTGCCAGGCTCGTGGATTTTTCTAGGATGCAGCTTTCAAGCTTCCCTTCAACTTCGTCTTGTGCGAGGCTACGCTCCGGTTTACACTGGCTTTAATTTGAAGAGTTGCGGGATTGCTTGCCGTGACTCCCAAGTCAGCTGCGCTTTGAAGTTCGAGCATCATGGATGAAGGCCAACCTCAAACCGAAACTGCCACTTCTTCGCTGAGGCTCACAGGCATGGCTTGGGAGTGTATCGAACTTGGTCCATGCATGCTGCGCTGCCCGCTATAAACAGGTGTCGAGGCTGCAGCGCAACATCCATGACTGCGAGGAGGTCTTCGGATCGATCGTCCTTTGGGGCGTATCTGCCCCACATTTTGTCAAACAGCTCAAAAGCTTCAGCGGTCGTAGAGATGCTTGCACTAGCAGCTCCTCGATGGGGACCTGATGATAGGTGAACTGGTCTTCAAAGGCATTGGGGGCCTGGGACGACACATGTCGAATGCAACCGACGAGCACGATTTTGAGGTTTCGACTGTCAAGGCCACCGGCAACCCTCTAGGAACTCGATGTTTCACGATGTTCCGAGCAGTTCTTCATTTCCAAGTTTGTACAAACCTTGCCAACAAGTACTACACTGCAAAAGCATACAGCATTCGGCACCAGATGAAGCAGTATGCTGTGAATGCTTGGGCGTGGCATGATGGATGGCAGATCAGACGGAAAGTACCATTGCTGACACAGTTGGAGTGGTTGGGAAGGCGCGACTGGGTTCCGTTGCTGCCTGTGCGAAGCAGGGTTTCACCCAGCAGAGGTATAGTTGTGTAAATCGAAAACATGGTGGAAAAGATGTTGCTGTTGAGTGAACCGTTACTGCGACAGGGCTTCACAGAACATCGAAAGTGCATGTGCATGAACCCTGCGCGTGGTGGATGACTCCGTGTCTAGGACAAGCATGGCCCGAAGTATTGGCAATGCATGGCCCTCACACTGTATTCAACAATGACACCCCGCAGTGCGGGCTCCGTGTGGCTTGGCTTGTGGGAGCTTATGAGGTTTGAATGTAGCGACCTCTGGCGATGCTTTGGACTTGCCTCGCATCAGCGGACACTTGGAGACTTCACCGGGCAGCATCGTGACGTGCTACCAAGCACTGAGCATCCTCAAACAAATCAGCTCCTCCTGCCAACACTCCTTCAACCTGCCAACCACTGCGCTAAGAAGTTCAGGCGAGAGATGTAATTGCACGTCTCTGACTTCGGCATAAACACGCAGCAAGAACTCACAATGCGCATGAAGCATGCGCAAAGCCCTTGAGGTTGTGTACCTTTGGGTTTTGCGGGAACGCTTTTATAGATCCTTAAGGTGGTATAAGGGCCAAATTTGGAGTATATTAAGGGGAATTTTTGGGGGGTACAACCTTCGGGGTACGAGTCTGAATCCCTTGAACTGAAAGGTCAGACCAAACAGCCCCTAAGCACCCGTAGTGGGGGGGTGGGGGCTCTAGGTTTCTCAAGTATGATACTAGGCGCCACGCCTTGGTGACGTTGACGATGTGAGTGACTCCAAGCCGCCTGAACACAGCCCCAAAGAAAGTCCGAGGGAAGAGTGCCGAAGCACGAAGCCTCAACAATGGCAAACTGTTGGCGAAACGAGCGCCGCCTGGCAGTGCATCGGGGCATCAAAAGAAGACAGCAATTGCAATTGATTCGGAAATCTCTAAGCATATGCCGCTGGCAGTGAGCAGCACAATTTCCTCGACTCTATATATTGCAGCTAAGCTTCTGATGTAAAGCCCGAACCGGGGCTCCGCTAGCACCTGACGCCGGTCATCCGTGACCCCACTCAAAATTCTTGCGGAATCGTGGGATATCTGGCTGCTTCTACCATCTTGCTGGGCACCTCATCGGCAACCGGAAGTGGCAGCGAGACTGGTAGGTCAGGGGCCGCTGTTGCAATAGGTAGCTCTTCTTCGGGCTGACAGAGTTGCCAACTTGACCTCGCAAAAAAACAAAAAACAAAACGCCCTGTGTTGCCGTTGATGCACAGCTTCGTTGTGACATGTTACGCATGTACGCATGTTGCCTGCTGCTTGACAGCAAGACTTTCACTGAAACCGGCGTCGGTCGCAAATAGAAACTGACCCCATCCCTCAACTGAAGGAATCGAAGGATTCACAACTAAGTAATCTAAGTCTAGTGGGTCCAGGTGGGTTCTCGCAAGGTAGTACATAGGAAGCCTCTATCCGACTCTATCCGCTTCAAAAACCTACTGGTCCGTGGCACGAACGAGTTCCAAAGCCCCTGGTCCGAGCCACCGGCCAGCCGCCACCCTCAGTGACGAAGAACCTGTGCCCGAGCACTCTGTGCTACGCGATTACAGCCAACGGTGAACGCACCGCGCCAACAACCCTTCCAAGCGGATGGCAGATTCAGGAACTGCATGAAGCGCCGGGGCACCATGCAATTAGGATGATGGCACTGGACCTGCATCCATGCATATCAGTGCGAATTGCAACGATGTCAAACATCGCGGTGTGAGCTGGGTGCCTTGCCATGACCAAGCACCTCTCCACCCCCACACACAAGGCTACGCCGGGCACAGCTTAGGTTCGGAACAGTATGGAACAGTGCTGCACCGGCGCACCTGCGCAAGTCTGCCTTCTCCAGCCTGCAAGGCTGGCGCAAAGCAACTTGGAGCTGAGCTTTTGAGGGATCCGGAGTTCCTGTGCTTCGTGACACGGAAGGAGCCAGTGCCACCACCTCAGCGGAGCTTTGCTGATGCATTCTCATAGATTCTCATTCTCTCAGGCAACTCAGGAGACGACCGAAAAGGGCAGCTAAAGCTGCAGCTGCCACAGCAGGACATCTGTTATCTCCACGACTGCAGTGGATCAGTACCTTGCATTGCCCCTGCATCTAGAAGTCCTACTTTAGAAAAACATCCCGACATCCCGGATACAGCAAGAAGCGGCGCGCGCGCATCCCCAATCCGCAGCTGACGCCACAGCACGACACATCTCACAAGAGCCCGTTGCTTAACTTGACTGAACCTCAGAGTCTAGCCTCAGACCTCCTCGGAGCTCCGCATGAATTACAAAGTAAACCGTTTCCTCAAGTCACCACCCCGGGATTAGGCCCAAGTCCTATAGTACTCACGCAACCTCTCATAACTCATAACAAGCAGAGCATAGCAGAGCCTTGCGCTCATGCTGCAAGTTCCTGTCGCAAAGCGGCAATCGACAAGAACCTACACGATTGCCTGCAAAAGAAGTACTGGGACATCAGGGCATGTCTTTGTGGTCTTGTCTATGTCTTTTGCTTGCATCCGGGGCCTCGCAATGAAGCGGAGCGCCCGAGGCAGCAGCACCTCCGACCACCAGTGCTTCGTCGGGTCGCGCCTCAAAGGTAGCGCAGTGTGAAATGAAGACGAAAGCGCGACAAAGGCCATGCTTGAATTCCCGAAACGGGGCAAACCAATAATTCCTGAGTGGAAGGCTTCTTTTCATCGGCCGCCGGCAAGTGCAGATACCGGGGGTCACCTCTCATCACTTTATTCCCCACCTTCGGTGTGGGGTGTTCGATTTTACAAACTAAACTCTTCTCCTTGCCCGGTCTACTCCTCGCCCACCCAGAGTATCCCCGGAGCGTCCCTAAATTTCAGACAGTGCCCGGAGTGCCCAACCCCAGAGTATTTCTCGGAGAGCCCCTCAATTGGCCCAACCCCAGATATCCGCAAAAAGTCCCGGAAGCGCCCAACTCCGGAGTAATCCCAGTTCATCCCTGGAGCGCCACAGTATACCCAGAGAATCCCTGGAGTGCCCAACTACCCCAGAGCAGAGTGTATCAGTGCCCAACGCAAGATTTTTTCAAACTGGAGTGCCCAACCCCAGAGTCTTCAGAGAATTTCTGGAGTGTCCAACCTCAGAGTACTTCTCGAGAATGCATGGAGTGCCCCACCCCAGAGTATATCCAGAGAACCCTGGAAGTGCCCAACCCCAGCCCACAGAATCCCTGGAGTGCCCAGCCCCAGACTATCCTCAGAGCGTCCCTGGAGTGCACAACCCGTCACAACCCCAGAATGGCTCGCCAGTTCCTCGCCCGCAGGGTGGGGATGTTCCAGGTAAAATAAGGAAAAGAAAATTGCTCTTGACCGATCGAGTCGGTGCTACATGGTGCGACAGTGCACAACCATGAACCACCTGTTCGCTTCTGCTTGTCCGAAGCCAACCCGGATAGCGCCTTTCATCTCAGGATGCTCTTCGCCTGAACGATGCAGACTTCTACAGACTCGAAGATTGTGCATTTCGACGCTGCGCTGGCCTCCACAGTTGAGCACAGCGTCGACGAGGTCCTAGCAAGTTCCGAACACGAAGGAAGCAAGCTGCCGGGAAAAAACACCGTCTCAAAACCTATCACTACTATAGTCTGAGAGCTTCTCGGACGAATGTCAAAGAACCCTTTTGATGCCAAGTAGCCCAGACTCTCGGCGGAGCTGCGGATGCGAAATCGCTTATGGCAAGTCCGGTGTCGCCAATGAAGGACAAGGCCGACAAGGCCTTTGTTGTGAGTTCGAGGCATTTGGGGGGCATTTGGGAGCCGATGCCAGGCACTTTGCCACTGAACTGAGGTGAGCTAATGGTAAACGGCTTGGGGAATTCGAGCCTTTTTTAGGTGACAGGTACCAGCTACCAGGCCTCGCACCAACTGGTCCATCTGCGGCGCCTTGAGACCAGTGCAGCTGCCATTCCGGTCTTCACATGTCTCCACGATTCTTCACATGTCCGCGTGAAACCCCACAGCTATCCCTGTCACGGACCGTCACAAGAGACGCCGAGTCATTGAGTACTTATCACTGGGTACATCCAAGAAGATCCGCGAAAAACCATGAAAAGTGCCTCGTCCTGCGTGGTTCCGTCCTTTCCGTCCACCTCCAACAGGGCTTGGATGACGGCATCGACCTGCACGCACAAGGAACCCGACATGCGAGCCTTTAGCCAGCAAGGGCGAATACACCTGAAAGGAAAGAAAACGCATGGCCAGCACCACAGCCCCAAATTCGGTACATGTTGTGGCGGCCTCGTGTCTTCGGCAAAAACAAAATGCTACAGCGCAGGGCGCGAAACAGCCTATAGGCTTCCGGGACAGCGGAGCGGGTTACCGGGGTACCCACATGATTATCCTTGGCCATGGACGTGCCGTCTTGACAACTTACTGTAATTGCCCAGTTGAAGTCCTGATGCACTGTACTTTTCGAAGCAAGCAAGCTGCACCTCCTGCGGTTTGCTGCGCGCCGCTTCGAGCAGAACATCGGCCTGGATGCTAAACACCAAGCAGAAGACTGAAACGGCATGGAGGAAGCGGGCCTATGGAGAACGAGACATGAAGCAGGCAGGAGACGGGTCGAGTGATCTCGATAGATGACGGCATGACGACGGCTCAAGTACGGTTCATCGTGGTTCATCTGAAGCCTCTGTTGCATTCCGATGCAAGTCTCCTCTCAGAAGCAACGGCCGAGTGCTCAACGTGCTGCCAGAAACGGGCTGGGCTGAGGCCGAGCTGGCGGGCCCAGGCCTTGAAAAAGGGCAATCCGAAAAATGTGCACATCGTCACATCACTGCATATCTGCATGTATATATATGGTACCTCCAACCCCCCCCCCCCCCCCCCAAAAAAAAAAAAGATCCATGCCATTATGCTTCAGTTTACGTCTTTGTCAATTTTCCTCGTGTGTTGTATGTCTTTTCTTTTGCGTTGTATGTTAAATCGATGTGCTACCAGAACTAAAACCCTTGTTGAAATATTGAATTTCAATAAGGGTCATCATTATTGAAGCCGATATTGAAATATTGAATTTGAATAAGGGCGGAACTAAGAACTAAGAAGTAAGACTGCCAGGGACTCCTGGTCTTAGTTCTTAGTTCTGAGTACCGCCCTTATTGAAATTCAATATTTCAATAACCGTTTCAATAAGGAGTATTATTGAGATCCTTTATTGGAATATTGAAATTCAAGAAGGGCGGAACTAAGAACTATATAAGAACTGAGATTGCCAGGGGCTCCTGGTCTTAGTTCTTGGTTCTTGGTTCTTAGTACCGCCCTTGTTGACATTCAATATTTCAATAAGGGTTTCAATAAGGAGTATTATTGAACTCCTTTATTGAAATATTGAATTTCAATAAGGGCGGAACTAAGAACTAAGAACTAAGACTGTCAGGGACGCCTGGTCTCAGTTCTTAGTTCTTAGTACCGCCCTTATTGAAATTAAAAAAATTCAATAAGGGTTTCAAAAAGGAGTATTATTGAAATGCTTTATTGAAATATTGAATTTCAGGAAGGGCGGAACTAAGAACTAAAAACTAAGATTGCCAGGGGCTCCAGGTCTTAGTTCTTAGTTCTTCGTACCGCCCTTATTGAAATTCAATATTTCAATCAGGGTTTCCATAAGAGGCAACCCAAGAACTAAGAATCCAAACCAAGAGTCTCCGACGATCTTAGTTCTTAGTTCTTTGTTCCACCCTTATTGAAATTCAACATTTCAATAAGGGTTTCAATAAGAGGTAACCCCAGAACTAAGAATCCAGACCAAGGAGTGTCTGACAGTCTTAGCTCTTAGCTCTTAGCTCTTAGCTCTTAGCTCTTAGCTCTTAGTTCTTAGTTCTTAGTTCTTAGTTCTTAGTTCTTAGTTCTTAGTTCTTAGTTCTTAGTTCCACCCTTATTGAAATTCAATATTTCAATACGGGTTTCAATAAGAGGTAACCCAAGAACTAAGAATCCAAACCAAGAGTCTCTGACAATCTTAGTTCTTAGTTCTTAGTTCCACCCTTATTGTGGTCTAGGAAATCATCAACGAAAGGTCCTCACGCGGGCATCTGCACACTTCAATCTTTCAACCAAGACAGCAACAAGGATTGCCCCTCCCTCCCCCTCCTCTCCGCTCCGCTCCGCTGCGCTCTCGTGTTGTTTTTTGAGGGCTTGTTCAAAGGCTTATCTTTGAAACTTATCGGTTCAGGGATTAGGTTTAGAAAGAGAAGGCCCGAAATTCTATCGGGTTTAAGGCTTTATCCCTAAGCCTTAATGCTTACACCCTATAGGGTTTAGGCTCAAGCCTTAAAACCTAAACCTTTTAATCATACATAAGGTTTCAAGGTAAAGCAATTCGACTTAAATCCTTAGCCGTAACCCTTTAAACCCCATAGTGAAGGTTTAAAGGTTTAGGGTTTGAGGTTTAGGACACCCTTAACCTTAAAGCCCTGGCGTTAAGGGGGTCAAGGCTTAAAGGTTAAGGGTTTCAGATTTAAGCAGTCAAACCTAAGGCCATAGAGTTTAAACCAGAAGTGGTTTAAGGCTTAGGCATTTACACGTTGACCCTAAACCCTGTAGGTTCAGAACCCGAAAACCTGTAGGGCTCTAAAAGGTTCAAATGTTTTCAGCCTATAGGCGCTGAAGGAATACTTGCCCAGACCTTAGGTTGCTTAAATCATTTAGCCCTGTAGGGCTGGGCTAAAGGTTAAGGGCTTTTCAGGGTGTATCTCTAAAACCCTCACGGTGTTAGCCCTCTAGGGTGTAGATCCTACAGGGTAAAAGGTCTAGGGTTTAAGATTTAAGCATTGCCTGTAGAATTAGAACCTTACGACCTGCTTATGTTTGTAGGGCTTGCCTCCTGTGGAAATGCAAAAAGAACACAGTATAAGTACTCACATCATGTATGTATATAGGGTATATGTAATGTAACGCTAGGAAATTATCGTCTGGGCTTCGTTCGTGAGTAAACCGAATTTCACAAGTACATTAACTGGCCACAGCCCAAGGCATCCTTTGTATGGGAATTACCTCTATTTACCTCTTATTAAAGACCACACCGTATCAAATCCTCCTCCGTACCCGATTCGCAATGAAATTTATTTGGAATTTAAACTCTAAGGACACACCCTGAGAAATCCTCGTCCGAGCTTCGTTTTTAATTCAACTTGATGGATTAAAACTTTAGATTCAGAGGCCACACCTCGAAGAGATTTTGCTCACGCACTGCTCTCCTGCTGCTAGATGGGCCATAAAACCATGGATATTTGGGGGGGTAGCATTTTCTATATATATATATGTATGTATAATATAAATATATATATATATATATATATACATAAATGTATGTGTATCTGTAAACCACTTGTACCTATACAGAGATTCTCTGACATTCTCAGACGTCATTCATGAATCACTGTGATCCCTCTGGAATTTTGCCTCTTCATCGTCACCAGCTCCCTGACACCAATCTCTCGCTCCAGACTCATGGATTTCACAGACTCTGGACGAGAGCGGTGGCCTGGATGTAACTCGTGCTTCCTGCTACCACCTGCATCAAGCTTCAGCTTCTCAACCAGCATCTCAGGAGACTCTTGAAAGTCGCTTAGAAGAACAGCATCCACACAAGACTGTAAGGAATATCCAATGATTGCACTGCGAGCTGTTGTAATTCAGGCAGCTCAGGCTAAGAATCGGATGCCGATTCCAGCACTTCAGTTGCTAGTTGCTGCTGTACAAGTATCATCAAGTATCTCACTGAGACCGATGCCAAGGCGACTCCAAGCAACCGCCCCCGTGCCTTCGATGCGGAGATGCACAAGATTACCACGTGCTTCGCCCGGAGAGCGTCAAGTTCCTGGCCATATGCAAACGCTGAGATTGACGCAGAAAGCAGGTCCAGCACAATCTGGGGGCCGATGGCCTCTTTGAGCTGGAGCAAATCCTCAAAGCCGGCATGTTGTGCTATGACTCGAGAGCAGTGCTTTTGATGGCCCTTGGTCTCCCACATCTGAAGGGCAGACCCAGAATGGCCGGAGACTTCTGCCTTTCCTGCAAAAGCGGTGGCGAAGCACAACGTGACATCTGCCATCTCTGAGCTCATCCGGAACCGATCAACATGCCAGGGCTCCCACAATGCATCTGCCAGTTCACTGGCTTCTGTTTCCGGCAAGACTTTGCGAAGCCTCACCACGTGAGGCCCAGGCCGCATGACCTGCGCATGTCCCTCCTCAGAAGGGAACCCCACTTGTCGACCCATTCTGGCAGCAGCTTCTGGATGTCGGGCCGCTCGGCCTGCGCCTTTTGAGAGAGCGCGATTTGAGATGCGAGGGGCACAAGGGGAGCGCAAGAACCAGGCCGAAAGTGTCGCAAGTGTTTTGAGCGCGCAGATGCGCAGAGGTGTACGCAGCAAAGCGCCTTTGCCTCTGAGTTGCCCTGGGGACGTGGCAGTCCGCAAATGAAGAAAGGCATCCACGGCTGAACATGCGTCCATGTCTGGTGCCTTGCACAGGCCATCTGAGCAAGAGTACATCAGTACGTCCTTGTACTACAGAAAAATTGCCACTTTACGGATGCTTTCAAAGTCGCCACCACGCTTTGCAGCACTGCACTCCAAATGGGCACCGTTTTGCTCCTTGTCACGATATACAGCTTTCAGCGTTTCAGCCTTTCGACCTTTCAGCCTCGGAGTCGACTCGACAAGGTGCCGAGGCGCGCACAACGAATCTGGGAACGTCTTCCTGAGAACGCAAAGATTTTGAGTCTCCAAACAGAAAAGGCCGAATCCACTCGAGGCATACCAATACATGCCCGGCGTGCTTGCGATTTCCGGTGCAGTCAACGAGGACAACTCCGCCACTGCCTCAGGTTCCATCCAGCATATTCGAATTACATCCGTTCCTGTTCTCTCGTCTGGAACCTCTTACATCTGTACTATATTTGGATGCCTACCTGGATGCTATCGCAAACCGCTGAACCCTAACGCCTTGCTACAGCCTTGCAACTGGTGCACACATGGTGTCAGAGAGAGGTACTGGAGTTGGCCGCCATGTGTGCCACGTGGAGGTTCAATCGGCCGAGGCTAAAGTCCCACTGATTCCTGTGTCTTCGAGCATTTCTGAACGAGATGTCTACGTAGAGAAATGTCGAGGAGGGTACACCCCATAATCTACAGTAGATCCTTCGCTCGGCCTTGCTTCAGCGACACAACATGGACACACGGGGTCCTGTGACCATCCATCGATTTGAAGTAGCAGCTAGCATCCACAGACTGAGAGGGCACGTACCAAGCCTCGAAACAAGGAATGTAGAATGGGCTATCACCTATTGAACTATCATTGAAAACCCTTGGCTTTAGACCCATGAACTTGAACCTGAAACAACACTGCAACCCCTACAAACCACACACACACACACACACTCAAACCCAAAATATCCTTCACCCCGTACAAGAGCTTGAATCCTACACCCCCGAAGCGGCAAATTTGAAAGCCCTAAAATCCCTAGAAGCCCTGAGTGAAAAATCTGAACTCAACCCTGCAAACATCAAAAGCGGAGGATAAGCCTGCACGGCCGGCAGCATGAAGGAAACTGTCGGGACATGCTTACCATTACTGTGTTGATCTGTTTGTTGATGCATGGGTGCATCCTCCACCCCTTCAACTCCCGCCCGGGCTAACACTCTGCACCGTCTGCACCTGATCTCACAGTCAGGGCGACTAAACAGCTACCAGACGGGGCAAATGGGCCACCCCATAACCTCGCCCGGGAAGGGTTCACGGTCCGTGAGATACTGCCCAGGTGGCCCATCCCCCCTGAAATAAAAACTCTTGAAGAGCTGAGGAAACTCGGAACGTGATGGATACCTTCCGGCGAGGTTTTGGAGGAGCTGGAGAACGCCCACGTGGCCTTCGTTTAGTGCCAACAGTGCTGGGTCCCAGCCTTCCACGGTCTTTTGGGCAAGCGACTTGCGAAACCCTACGTCATAGAGGAGCTGGAGCACGCCGGCGTGGCCATTCTGAGCCGCGAGATGTGCTGGGGTCCAAAGACAGATATCTGTGTTTGCTTTGTTTTTTCTGAGTTGGAGGGTGAGAGACTTGCGAATCTCTCCGTCCAGTTCATAGAAGAGCTGGAGCACGGCCACATGGCCATTCTCAGCCGCCAAACACGCTGGCATCCAGCACCACCTGTCTCTGTATGTGAGGGATGCACGAGTCTCGTCATCCAGGTCGTAGAGCAGCTGGAGCACACCGACCTGACCATTCTGAGCTGCCCAGTGCGCGGGGGCCCAGCCATCTGGATCCGACACAGTGAGGGATTTACGAGTGTCCTCGTCTAGGTCGAAAAGGAGCTGCAGCACCCCCACATGGCCGCTCCGAGCCGCCAATTGTGCTAGCGAGTAGCACTTCGGTGCTGTGAGGGATTCACGGGTCGTCTCGTCCAGGTCATAAAGGAGCTGGAGCACCTGCACGCGGCCATTCTTAGCTGCCCACTGTGCTGGTACCCAGCCGTGGATGTCCTTGTCAGCGAGGGACTTGCGAGTCTCCTCACCGTAGTCGTATAGGCAAAGGAGTGTGGCAACATCCCCGTCTGCGGCTGCCCTATGAGGAGAACCTGACACAACCACGTATGTGACTTCTTGATCTTGAACTTGCTGCAGTAGTGGATGGCGGTGATCAATGATCCTCCCACCTGATGTCAGTCGGAGACACTCGGCGGGCCGGCCAGTTCTTTCCGCCACGCGTCTTCCGACGTCCAAACCTGTTTCCAAAGCGTTCACATCCAGCTCAAAGGCTGGACCTGCAAGACAGCGGATTGTCAATGGACACTTGGTTGCATTTCCAAAAGCATTCGGCGATCCTGCATGTCTGGCCACTAAATGGGGATGGCGCGCAGTAGCCGGCCACTTCGCCAGCTGTTTTCGCTTGGAGACTAAGATGTGCAGCGCAGCGCAGTCCTGCTCCGGAGGCACATCCTCGACTTCCTGTCCGACACTGTTCCGACCGAGGTCCAAAGCTTGGATCACAAAGGTAGCATCGTGCTGTTTCATGGCCTGCTGGAGCGCATCTCTGCCAGTCTCGCCAACGAAATCGCAATTCAGTTGCACACGCTGTATATGTGCGCAGCATGCTTTAGACAGATCTGCTGCCAACCCGATGGCATCCTCATCCAGCAGACTCCGGCACTCGATCAACAACTCACAGGCACCAGACATCACGACAGCCAAGGCAACTTTCCAGGCTTGCGCTGGGCTTGCTTTTACCATTACCTCTTTCAACCCAGTGTAAAAAGGCAGAGCGGCAAGCAGGACTGCAAGCTTCTCAGGATTCAGCCGCTCTACAAGTAGCTGTGTTGTGCAGGCAGCCTTCTCATAAAAGTATTTCTGTTGAAGCTCGAGTACCTTGTCCGAATCTGAGCGATGGGTGAACTTGAGTTGCCCCATCTGCTTGCGAAACATCTCTGGAGGAAGCGGCACCGAATCACCTTTAAGCGAAGCTCTGTGGGATGCCCACTGCTTCTCAGCTTGGCACCACCCCCTCTCTTCGTAGGGGGTGGCATTCAGCTTCAGGTACTTGACAGGTACGCGTCTGAACTCGCCGTTGCCTTTCTTGCTTTTGCCTTTCTTTTTCTTCTCCCAGTACACAGGGATCAAGCGTCTGCTGGTGTACAAGCCTCGCACACTCTTCGGAGTCAGGACCTCAATTATTTGGACTTCTATTAGTTCATGCGCGTACAGAACGTGCATGTTGCCAAGCGCCAGGTTGAAGAGCTTCCTCTGATCGCTATCTTGGCAGTACTGGTACAAGGAGATGAAATCGAAAAATATCCACACCACGCAGTCAAGTAGTCGGGCACGCTGTTCTTCGCAAACTGCGTCAAGCTGAAACCTATCGGGCACGGACAATATTAGCGTGCTTGGGTGGAGCTACGTCGGGGGAATTCCTTCTAGACTAGATCCCTCCACGAACGCGAACCTCCAAGGATCCGGATGCTGCATGCTTTCCCAAACGTGGCTAATTGACACAATATGGACGCTGGCACTCCTCGGCATTGGGTCCCTGAGCAGCATGGACAAGTGCCCTGTCTCCTCATTGATGTTCAATTCCTTTAGCTTTTCACGGTCGACGAGGGCAGGTGCCCCACACGCAGTCCTCTCTTTCTCAGCTTCCTGTCGTCGAGGCAAGACCCTGCCTGACTCACGAAGCTCCAACAAATACTCGAGACGCACTAAGCGCACATCAGCATCGATGAGGTAACGGATAAGGCTCCGCGGATCACTCAAGTCATAGCACGTTGGCTGTTGTGTCGTGGCTTCAGCGGAGGAGCTTGATGCGGCTGGGGCTGCACTCTGCACCATGGCTAGATTCGGCTACTTGTGCTGACGCACTAACAGTAGCATGGCTTCTTGCATCTAGTTGAGTCCCCGCAGCCATGCAGGCAAGCACATTTCTAGCTTTCGGCAGTGAAACGTCTGCTGTAAATTCCTATCCTAAACCCGATAATTGCTTGCTTGTCGGATGGCTTCCTTCCGGGCACTATCATCAAAACATATATATGTATGACAACAAGCACAGACATGCATGACACTCAATGGCCATGAGGAGTCCCAAAGCCGGGGCTCGAGCACCTGCACGGAGGTTTGCCAGAAGCGGCCAGTCATGAACATTGAGGCTGGCACACCTGTGCAACCAGCAGCTCAGATGGGGAGGCAGGGATTCCTAAATTGTCACCAAACTCGGAAGGGGGGGTAGAGGGCAGGGGACGTGGCGGGACGAGGTTGCAAACAAAAGGGAAATCAAGCAGCTAAAGAGCTAGCTCTCGTGCTGAGGTTTCGACGCATGCGAAACAAAGCTGGCATCCTCGCTGATGCTCAGCAAATAGTTGGCCTTAACTCTGCGCTCCATCGAGGTGCAAACTCTTTGGGAGTCACGACAGTCACGAGGCCAGTAGTATTGGGCTCAGGGTCCGCAGTAAAGTGCTCTGAAAAACATCTGAGTCTCATGCTGTAGTCTTCCTGGCAATGTTCCTGGCTTCGCGGTTGCTGCATGCCTGGCACTTCTGCAGTCTGCAGTGCACAGAGTGCACTGTGCCAGCTGCTAGCTCTTTCTCTCCTTTGTCAAAAACGGAATCTGTTGTGGGATGTGCGGGCAGCTGCCTTTGCCTCTGCAATGTAACCTCAGCCAGGTTTGGACAGTTGTGCAGAGCCACGCGTTTAGGAGCAGCTCTTGCGAAGCTGAGGGCCACGCCTCTTCCTGGACTCTTGGCGCTGCAACTTCTAGAAGTCGCACACGCCACCTCTGTTGCTGCCTCGTCCATCGACTGGCGCCTGGGGCAATGCGTTGCTTGTCGCCACATGTGCCATGGGGCAAGATGTTTTTAGGCAGAGGCGGTGCAGCATCCAATTTTTTGGTCACACGAGCAATTCAACCTTCTGCCGGAAGCCATTGGAGCGGAAGCCACATTGGTAACACATGCAGGAGAAGTTCTTTGAAACGGTCAGCTGCTTCAGCCGTATCACAATCTCGGGCTTCCTTGCTGCCAGATCCAATATCTCCGAAGGATCGTGGCAGAGGTCAAAGAGGAGCATCGCGTCGGTGAGGCTGGGCCTGAACTTCACGGAGAGCAAAACCATGGAAATTCGGTCTTTATGCCGGTGCTGCTGAGAAACTTACTACGAGTCAGTCGCCGCAACTGTGCTTCTCGATAATTTTCAAGAGTGGGTGCACCAAAGGCTCCGCCAAGAGGCTGCCACGTCGCGTCGCTGCAATGCGGCACGACGCCTTTCCAGCAACCTTGACGTATCGTGTAGCCCGGCCCCGTCTTGCCATCAGAAGAATTTCCACCCTCACCAAGCCATGTGAAGTACAGATAATCGTGCTCCTGCAGATTCGGGCCATGCTGCGCCGAATGCCAGTAATGGCTTACATGAACAGAACTATCTTGTTACTGTCGAGAGCATATCGGGCTTCTCGAAATTGCGTGTGCGACCGGACGTGAAGCCTTTAAGGCATCCTGAGGCATGTTACAAAACTTTACAGACGTCTGTCCACGCTCTCGTTAGAGCTATGGTTAGATGTTGGACTCAACTGAGGACTTTCGCACTCGCGATAGCACTCGGCTCCGACGCTACGTGTGTGAACTTCTTAGGGTCACACGGTCACACAGACATTTGATGAGCTATGTTACGAGATGTCCTTCTGAGACAGGCCCTTCAGCTCCGGCACTATGCTGATGCCATCTAAGCCATCGGGAACGCTCGCCCCCGCAATCTCCGCGATTGTGGGCAGTGCATCCCAGAAGGCCCAAGCGAAATCTGATACACGACCGGGAGAGATGCCTACAATTCAACTGCACAGCCGTATGACTCGTCTCCACCACTTGCCATCCATGCGATGCTTGCAATATCTTGCGTTGAGCAGTTGTCATACTCGCTAGCCGCTAGCTCAAAGCCAAAACACCCGCTGGCCAGCGTGCCATCGTCGGCGAGCGGGTGCCGCCTTCGAACATGCTCCTGCACATGCACCAGCCCTGTACGAACGTGCTGATAACCTCTGGGACAACGAGGGTTTTCATGGTTTTCCAAGTGCTTCTCCATAGCGACCCCCGCACCGCCCACCTCTTGTAGCCTCTCAAGCCCCCTGTGGAGTCGAAGAACCGATGGTCGTGGCCTCCTTCCGAGTGCGCCCCGTTGTCCGAAGCGAAAAAGACCTTTTGAGGAGAGCTTGAAGAAAAAGAGCGGAGTTTAAGTGTTCAAATTGAAAAGCCGAACTTAGTTAGTCTTTGGAGAGCATCAGCACCAAGGCAGAAGGTGGCAGGACCAAGGCCAGTGCCAGGGTGTTGTGGTCGATGTCTTTGGCTTTCAGCCGTGCGAGGAGGTCCCCGACCTCTCTGAGTTCGTGCGCTTTACTACAGTAAGGTTTACTAAGGCTGTTGCTTCTGATGGCCTAATCCGGCGTAAACTAAGTCCTATCAAAACCAGGCCTTGGTATCCAGGTATGTAACTGCGGCAGCATGATCCTGCCGAGCAACTGCTGACAAGGGATATTGAATCCACTGAATTCCTCCTGCTGTCCTTCTCAACATTTGGCCATTTCTTGCCAGCATACCTTGGACATACATACGCACGGATGCAACGCAGACATCAGGTCTTAGTAAACTATGAAAGAGCAGCTACTAAACACAGAGTCCAAGCGCCACGGTGTTGCACATCTTTGCAGTTCAATGGACAACACGGATACAATGAGCACTCTCACAAGTACCAACAGCCGCGCTTTGGTCTGATAAACGTACCCAATGCGCGTTCGAACTTCGGAAGAGGGAGTGTCGTGCTCTGAACTGGGTTGCGCAGCAGGATATAGCAGGCAAGACTGTCTGGGGCGGTTCTGTTTCGTTTCGTGCCCGCAATTCCCCGACCCAGTAAGTCGGGCCGTAAGAATGAAAACCGAACTGCACTTTTTGCAAATATGCAGAAGCCACTCACTGAGACCGAAAGATGAAGCCAAAAAGCGCGAAGCCGACAGCTCAAAAAAAAGCTGCTCTCGAGACGAGGTACATTAAGTCGCAAGGCACGGGGTTGCCTGACTCTGGTGACTTGGGAGCATCACCCCAACCTCCTGCATGTGGTATGGTGTAGCTCCTGGGTCAAAGCTCCGATGTACTTCACAGCGGCAGACTGCTGCAGAGACATCTGTTTTGACCCAGGCACATGTACAAAAAGAAAGGCCCAGAACCAGCAACAGCCTCCATCCACGCCATACCATAATCATGAAAAACGTCGATCGTGTAGTTGTAGGCCTCCTTAACGGCACGAATGCAAGGACTGCAAGAGTCCTCTGCCTTACGGCAGCACCTATCAGTAGATCAGAAGCTTGTTCTCGGCTTCAGCCGGGGTGCAGGCCTCTGCATGCACAGATCACGGGACTTTGCTCCCAGGTTCCCGGTCAGCCTAAGAATCTGAGCTGCCTGTTGACTGCTCGGCTGGCCAGCGGGCAATGAATGAAACGTGAGCCCGTGTCCCCATTGTGCTGGGTTGAGTTGCGCGTTGCTTACGCTTAAGCTTTGCAGCTTGGACGCTCAAAATTCAATCGGTCCAGACCCGAATCGATATGCGCAGGGTACATGTTGTGGCAGAGTGCCTGCGGAGAACTGCTTTAAAGCTGTCGCTGAGGGTTCTCGACGCGATGCAACCTTCTGAGCAGCAGGCCTGGTCTACTTGTCCAAGGAAAGTGTCAAATCCCTGCTGCAGCGGAGAAGTCAAAGGCGCAACCTTGCCGAAAGCCCCCGTTCTGTAGCCGACCTGAATTGACAGCGGACATGATCAGCGCATAAAACTCGTAGATAGCATGGTTCGGACTCTCCACAATCAGGGCGGGGAATAAGCAACATGCCAGAACTCCTCAAACACAGGCCTGTTCCCGCGGCATTTGCCGAGTTCTGAAACTGAACCCTCAGAAAAAAACACTTGTTGATAACCCGGCCTGGCTTAAGAGTTGGGGCAGCAGCGTCTGGCTTTGGTTCGGTCGCAATGACTCACCATTGAGACCCCACTTGTGGAAGTTCCCACTGTGCCTGCCAGTGAAGAATGTAGTACGGCTCGGAGCACACACGGTGTATCCAGCGTACGCCTGTCGAAAAACTACCCCTTCCCGACCAAACTGGTCCAAATGTGGTGTAGCAATCCGGCCGTGAGATGATCGGGGGGCTGGATAGAGCCCCACTTCTCCCCATCCAAGGTCATCTGCCATTATCCACACCACATTTGGCCGCTCAGAATCACACAGGACTCTGCAAACTCCCAGGAGCGCCAGGAGCTCCAAACGCATATGGTCGCGGAGTGCCACGGATCGTGTGAGACGACAATGACAACGATGTTCTGTGAGCTTGAAGCAGCTGCTCTCATGAAACACAGAGAACTACCTGCAAGATCTTGTGAGCGTATCAACTTAGCATCAATTCCCTCAACTAAACCGCAGAACGGACCCAGGGGGCAGGCACCAACACTAGCACCGGTTTTACGACCCCCCGACACCCCTTGCGTTGGTCAGCAAAGCTGGGCCTTGGATGAAAACTTCCTGGAGGGGAGCTTGCCTACTATTGTGCAAACACTTCAGAGCCTGTTTGTGGATCGCCTGACATCGCCCAAGCATGACGACAGCAGCTACAACAAGGTGGGAACCTGCTGCGAAGATTGTCGAAGTCGTGTTGTGAGCTCCAACTTTTCCAGGGAAGTCAGCCCATGTAAAGGATTGTCTGGGTGTTGGCACAGTGTGGTGGTCTGTTCTGTCGTTGTCTATCCCAGAGGCGCCTGAAGCCAAAAGATGCCAAAAGCATACAAGCATCTAGATCAAGGTCCAAGGAGGCACAAGTGCTGCGCAAGCGAGCTGCTGCGCGATGTCTTAGGCTGGCAGCAAGTCACGATTTTTGCGATATTTTGCGATGGTGGTCGAAGCAATTGGTACACAGAACTTCACAGCAATGCCTTTGGCAAACGGCTCGTTCTCTTATGTAAACACTGACTCATGGCTGTTGTGCGACTCATCCTTGTACACATACGGAAGATAACCTCTCCATGCGAACGTTGTTTATGCAAATGCTGTTGGAAAATATTCAACTCATTCTGAAACACGCAGCCAGTGAGTGCAACATACATTTTACCAGCAAATCCGCAAAGATGCTTCCCGCTAGTCCTGCGCTAGTATTGGTATTTGTACAAACCACAGACCTGACTGGTTGTTGCATTTCCTCGCCATTGGGAGGGAGCATGTTGTGGCTGGACTGTTGCTGGACATTCCTGTACGATGTTGAAAACCATGAAAAGAATTGCCAGCACTTGGTGCGTGCAATCTGAGTCTGGACACCTCAACATCTTGTCAGAGGCGGGATTGGCCAGTGCATGTGCGTGGACATGACCAGACAAGATCATCAGTTGGACTCCTTCCGTTCCTGTCATCTGAGCGAGTTATCGACAGAAGCACCAGTGTTGAAGCCATTTGCCGGAGCTCAGCAGCAGTTGATGTAGCTAAGCAAAGTTCGCCTCTGGAAAGCATTGACAGGATCAGATGCATGGGGGCGTGCACAGATGACACATGTACACGCACTCTGGTAACGACTTTTTCGATTGGAATTGTATAAGTGGCCGACATTCCCCCAGCCGCAAACTCACAGCATGTGGCCTTTGCCTCAACATAGCAATTGAAAACATTCTATCACAGAGCGGCACTTTCCTGACCAGGGCATCGACATTCACTGTTACTGGAATGCTTACCTTGCCTGACTCTTAGCATATCTTAGCATCAGTTCTACCTCATCCTGTCGGA